TTATAAGGAAGTATTAAATTTAATTAAATATAATATCTTTAAGTTTATACTTTATAATAAGAAAATATATAATAGTATATAACTCTTTAAATTTTAAATAATATATAAGATTAAGGGCAAGATTAAAAAGCCTTATAAAAAGTTATACCTTATAATAGCTAATTATAATAATTATAATAAAAAAGAAATTCTTATTTAATTCCCTATTATTTAGCAATTAAGCTAATAACTTTTAATTACTTTAATATTATTATTTTTTTAATAAAAAATATATATTAAGCTTTAAAATATTATTTAAACTTATTTATAATTAAAGTTAAAGCTTAAATATATAATACTTATAAGGTTATTATTAAAAATTTATAATAAATATCTTTTTAACATCATTATATATATTATTAAACCTTTATATAGCATTATTAAGTTTAATATATATTAATAAATAATATATTATAAACATTATTATAAGGAATTAAATATAGTTATTTTTGCTTATAACTTATACTTCCTTATTTTAAATAATAATATAAATAACTTTAATATTATAGCTATGCAAATAAATAATACTTTCTTTATTATTACTTTAATATTTTTAATAATAAAGAAAAAAAAATTAAAAAGGCAAATATTTAATGCAAGCTAAAGATAATACTTACTCTTAAAATAATACTTAACTTTAATAGCATAAAGATTATTATTATAAAGGATAATATTATTAATATGCATTAAAAAGGCTAAGGCATAAAGATTGCCCTTATTTAAATTACCTTTCTTAATTAAGGATAATAATATGCTAAGCAATAGGTTTGCAATGCTTACTTAACTTTTATTTATTAATTAAAAATTACATTTAATTTATTTATAGCTGCTTAAATTATTAATTTAAGCAAAAAAGATTATAATAAACTTAATAAAAGGCTTTAATAATAAGCTAATTATCTTAAACGCAATATATAATATATGCTACTTAACTTAATTATAGCTAAATTATTTATCTTTATTAATAATTCTTTTGCTAATAATTAAGATCTTAGCTTTTAAATAAGCTTTATTATTACTCTTATTAATAAAACTTAGGGTAATAGCTTTACGGAATTAAATATTTATAGCAATATTATCTATTGGTTTTTCATTAAGTGCAAAAGAGTTATTAAAAGCGTTTTAGCTTTTAAGATTTATAATATGGTTTATAAATTTAATATAGGTATTATTTTAATAGCTACTTTACATTAAATTAGTATTTATCTTAGCATTAATATTATTCCTTTTATAATTTATATAAATTTATACTCTTTATATAAGTGCTTAATTAAGCTAAGCATAATTAAAGAGAAATACCTTATAATTAACTTAATAGCACTTTAATAATTATATAAAAAATGCAAAATCTTTAAGATTTAATAAATTGCTAATAATTATAATTTAATAAATGCCTTTATAAAGGGTATGCTAAATAAAACTTTTAAGCAGCTTATAAGTATTAATAAGATTATAATTAAGATATAAGGATATATTAATTAAGAATAATTATCTATTTAGGCAAAAGGAAAAGATATATTAAGACTTAATGCACTACTTATTATTAAGGAAAAACGTTTAAATAAAAGTTAATAAAAATCAATAAGTTAAGATAATTATAATAAGGTTAAAAAAAAAAACTATTAAAATAACTTAATCTTTACTTTTATTTAATAAAAGTATATAAAACTAACAAAAGTTTAAATCTTCCTTTTATTAATTAACTATAAATTACCTTAAGGAATAATATAATATGGCTTATATTTAAAATTACTTCCCTTTTAAGAGCAAACCTTATAGCTAAGATTTTTATAATAATGCTTATGCATTAAGGGTTTAGGTAATAAGGGTTACTATTATCTTATAAATACTTAAGTTGCTAGCTTATATTTAATAAGCATTCCTAATTAAATTTCGTAATTTAATACTTATATATTAATTTTATATATGTTTTTATTTATTAACTTAATTAATATTAAATAATTTCTTAATACTTAACTTTTCTCCTTTATTTAAACACCTTATTTACCAACCCTTATAACTTATCCTACCCATCCTTCCTTTATAACTAATTAATCTTTATTTAATTATGGAAATTAAGTATAATTAAGCTTAAGCTAAATTAAATTAAGGCATATTATAAGTTAAAGATTAAATAATAATATTATTAATTTAAAAGTTTAATTTAATCCTTATTTAACTTAAGTGCTATAAGTAATAAAAGCATAAATTTATAAAATGCATTATAAATAAAATATTTATATAGCAAAAGCAATAATTTGCGCTTTATTAATTAACGTAATTAAAATGATTTATTATATATAATTATTAAAATAATCTTTATTTATTAATTATATACTTTAATGAAATAATTAACCTTTAACCCCTTAATAACAACTTAAGCCTTTTTATATGCTTGCCTTTTATAAGCACTTAATATAATTAAATAAGCGCATACCTTTAATTAATTTAATTAATTAATAAATTTAAACTTAATAGCTTTAAGTTTAATTTAACTTCTTTTTCTTATATATTTTTTAAAAATATATATTAATTACTTAATTAAAGATTGTTAATATAGTTATAAATATGCTATAAGGAAATAGCAGCACTAAGCATAATAAGCATTATAGGCATTATAAGCAATTAGCATTAAAGCACCGGCAAGCAAGAATTACGTATGGCAGCACGTAACCACTCCTAAATAATTTATAGCCAAAAGGAAGTTTTGCAGCTTACGGCCGCAACCCTCCTTCCTTTTATATAGCTAATTCAAATACAACCAGTCTGCTATCAACCAACATACATTAACCCAACCAACATAAGCAAAGTTAATATATAACTTATTTTTAAAGGGAAGTAAAGTAAAAAATGTTATTATTATTAAGTGAAAGGCATTATGCTTATTAAGAATTTAAATAATAGCTTTAATAAGGAGTAGCTAAATTAATTAATTATTTATAGCTTATTAAGTAATGCTAAAGAAGTTGTTAAAGAGTTTTATAATTACTTTAAATAACTATATTTTATAAGGTATTATTATTATTTATAGCAAAATTTATATCTTCTTTAACTTATTAAGGATTATAATATTAGCTATATTAAGATAAAGCTTTTTTAAAATGGAAACTTTTCCTTTTATAAAAGCTTTTAAGTAAAAGTACTTGCTAAGCAGGATAATTGCTAAAAAGACTTCCTTAAGTTAAAAGTTAATTAAAGTATAGAAATAATTTGCCTAAGTATTATTAATAAAGTAAAGATTAAGTTTATTATTATTATAATAGTTTATAAGCTTAAAGATAAGGGTAATATTATTATTATAAAGATATAAGTTTAAGGGTTTTATGCTCTTATTTTATCTTTAAGGATATAATTAGCTTTTAATAATAAAAATAAAAATGCTTTAAAGCTAAGCATAAAGGATATTATTATATTAATTTGCTTTATTATTAATAATTTTTAGCTATTTTTAAAAATTCTTTAGCTATTTATTAAATTTATTATTAATAACTTTAAGGTTATTTATAAGGGTAATAAGGGCAATTTATATATTATTTTACTTTATAGCAACCTTTTTTATAAATTAATTAATATAGTTATATATAAAAGCAATTATAATGCTATAATTACCTATATAAGTAGCTGCAGTATTAAAAAAAGGAGGAAAAGCTATATTAAGGTAAAGTAAAAATAATAGTAATTAAAGAAAAAAAATTAATAAAAATAATGCTAAATTAATAAATTTCTTATTATTAATGCTTATTTAATAATTATTTACCTTATAGCTTATTTATTAGCTATTAATAAAAAGTATTATAATGCTTATTATTATAACTTTTAATTAACTTTATAAATATTTACTTATAAATAATAACTTTAATATAGATGCTATTATTATATAAATTAATTAATAAAGTTGCTTTTTAAAAATAAATTGCTAGCAAGGGATAAGGTTAATAATAGTGGTTTAATAAGTTTTAGTTGCTTAAAAGGTTATTGCCTTTAAGGAAGGCTATTAATTAATAGCATAAAGGTTTATAATTATAATTTTTATTAAATAAATATTTTAATAAAGTTTTCTTAATAAAAATAATTATTTTTATGCTTCTTTATATACTTAACTTATTAAATAGCATTATAATAATTATAAGAAATGCTATAAATTATATGGTATGGGTGTATAGGTTGCTTAATTGCTAATTATGCTTAAAGGGCAATGCCTTTAGTGTTTTAAGCTGCAACGCTACTTATGTAAGCAGCTGCCTGCCCGCTATCTACGGATCCACATCAATGAGTTAGTCAGAATGGCCTGTCAGTGACCTGACAGCTTTAATTCCTTGTTTGGATGTACTTTTTATCGCATTGAATATCTTTATTGACTTTATTAACAGGCATAACAGCGACATCATTGAAAAGTATCATTTCACACAAGGCACACGGCTGCTTAGTAGACATTATTTTACGTTTCAGTGCCGTCTATGTCAGTTGCACTAGGTCAATGGAACCAGGTGAAGTAATCGAATCACTGGTCTGCGCTGCGAACGAGCACTCTCAAGACAGTCGTACGCTGGCTGGTGGCATTCCATTGACCTTCGAGTCACAGTCCGCTCGAGCCAGGATTTAAAGCGCAGGTTGCAGGTCTCTTCCTTTCTTCATCTCTTCGGTAGCCGCAACGCAGTCACTGATGGCCGCCTTGGCAAGCTCGCCCACCGAAACGGGTACCTGCCTGCGGTTGTTTGCTCCAATAGAGACCCAGTGGTGCATTACCCCGTGTGCTAGCGGCTGGGCCCAACCTGTTGCCGGGATTCACAGCCCGCTGCCATTCATCGCCCCCAGTGAAACCAGCCTACCCGAGTACTTAAGGCCTAAGACGTAGGTACTCTCAAGGCCAACATCAACCCTCTTCTTTCCACACAGATACAGTCCACTTGACGTCGAATTCTCAGCACAACAACAAACAATCCTCCCAAACCGAAAACGTCATGGGCGACCCCTCTCGGTGGGCGACTGTTGCTCCCCCCGACCACATTGACACATGTTGCGTGTGCGAGGTTCTCGATCCAAATCATCAAAACGTCTTTGCGACTGCCATGTCAAACCTGCTCTCCACAGAAATCGCAGAACGAACATTCGCGCAGATAATCGACGGCCTCCCACTCAAAGACGTCGCTTTCAGCATGCGGACGCATGAGTACACTCGATACGACCCTGTCTTTTCCCATGTCGAGCTGTGTCCTGGCGTTCTCGAACGGACCAGGATGCTCAGAGATGCTTTCGACCCAAAAGCCATGGAATTGAGAACAGATGTACGTATCACTGAGGGTATCATGGAAGAAAAACAAGTTGAGAAGATTGCAGGTTCTTCAGAGATACCAGGAGGTCCCAGCTGGATCACGGGCGTCCAAACTCCCTCTGCTAGAGCTCGTAGCTGTCGCCGTCCACACCATCGCAGCGGAGCTTTTTGGGCTCGACGGTGCTTTTCACAAGAGAGACACCCCCTGCACCAGTCACAGGGGGGACGAGGGAGATGACATCAGTCGAATCCCACCCTGGCCAACCACCTTCGCCGTGGTAGGATTCACAGACACGAACCGGTTTCCCGCAGGAATCGCCGATGTCGCAGGCTATTGGGCCGAGGACATCATCTTCGGCGGAGTTGTTTTATTCGGCAGAGGAGAAAGCGGTACCGGCGTGAGTAATCTTCCCGCTGTAGAAGCTTAGAAGTCTCCGTGAAGTATTCTGTCCAGATTTGGCTGACAAAATTTCAACTTCTGTCTAGCACGAGGGAGTTTGGTTCAACTCCCACCGCCGCGACGTGACATATCGCATTTACGCTCTTACTTCCGACCAACTCGATTCCCTCCTGCAATTTCTGGAGTGGGTGCCGAATGCTCTTACGGGGGGTCAGGAACAACAGCCAGAATGCCCCCTTCCGATCCTAGGAGATGATAACAACTTGACCCGGATCCAGCCTGACGTTGCAATTCCCATGCATAATGTATTCCGGGACCGCTGGGAACGAAAGGCTGTGTGGAGGGACTATTCGCATTACTGCATGGGTTCCAGGCGCTGTGTAAAGACGGCACTGGACTTCCCGGAGGTCAAGAATACGCTGCCAGGGGCAGGTAGACGAAGGCCAGAGCACCAGGGAAAACCGCTGACATTTGGAGATTTCTTGAAGAAACGACAAGATGGAAAAGGCTCTGGCCCTCAGCCTGGTACATAGACCCTGGTCAAAGTGGGCTTGGGACAGACGGCCGCTGTGCCCTGCAAATTTTTGGAGTTCGACTAAAGGAAAATGCCGAGAGGAACAGCATGAGAAGATCCCAAAGCAGAATGCATATTCAAACAAGTGATTCCTTGCAATGATGCATTCCACCACTTTCGGAGCATTTGAGAATGCGATTTTGTCCAAGAACTGACAAATGTTTCAAGAATATCAATCAAACCATGTCACATAAGTATTCAGGCAATAATCAAGTCACGTCCTAGTGCCTTACAGTAGTGCGGATCGAGTCTCCAAATATCAAGAATTTGTCCACCACTTCCCAAGGTTGTGGTATGTACACACGCTTTTGATTTTCGAAAACAATATAGACACATGCAACCCGAACTATCAACAGGCAAAGCATACGAAACCGGCCTGAAAAAACGGTGAGTGACCTCCTCAAGCTTCACGAAGTGAAAAGAGCACCCCTTTGAAGTAGCCTCATGCAGACCGGGCTCTAACGTCTAGGCATCACACGCCAACACCAATCTCTTGATGCGTTTTAGTCTCCTTTTCCGTATAGGCAGATGACATCCCCATCATCAATTATAAATTCCACGAGCTCCCAAGAAGAATTACATCAGGAGGTAAGAAACGAAAGCAGACGCCGCACCGAGCACGCTGACACCGACAGAGGCAGCGGCACCGGTAACGATGGGGGTAGTGGAGGTCGAGTTGCTGCCAGCACCGCCAACAGCCGAGGTAGGACGGGCAACACCGCTGGTAGCGAGGCCGGTGGCCCCGGAAGCACCAGCGCCGGTGGCGGTGGCCAGGCCGGCGGAGAGCGAGGCGCAGTAGGCGCGGTTGCGGGCCGAGTCCTCACCGGTGCAGACGGCAAGGCCGCACGAGCACAGCTCCTCGCTGCGGCCGCCGGCGACGCACTGGCGCCACGTGGCCTGGCAGTCGTCGCTGTCGGCGGCCGCCGCGGTAGCGGTGCTCGCGGGGGCGGACCCGGAGGCCGAGGCCGACACGGCGGCGCAGTAGTCGCGGGTGCGGGCGTTGTCCTCGCCGGCGCAGGTGGCGAGGTCGCAGCCGCAGAGCTCCTCGCCCTTGCCGCCGGCGATGCAGGCCTTGTAGGACGACTGGCACTTGTCGCTGCTGCCCGTGCTCGTGGCGGTGCTCGAGGGCGCGGCCGCGGAGGCGGACACGGTGGCACAGTAGTCGCGCGTGCGGGCGTTGTCCTCGCCGGCGCAGGTGGCCAGGTCACAGCCACAGAGCTCCTCGTTCTTGCCACCGGCGACGCAGGACTTGTAGGTTGCCTGGCAATCGTCCGAGTCGTCGGTTGAGGCACCGCTCAGCGAGGAGCTCAGCGAGGGGAAGGCGGATCCGACGCAGGAGGCCACTTGGGCTGCGCAGCCAGCCTGGTTGCCAGAGACCTGTAGAGTGACGACGAATGATTAGAATTGATCGCTCCTACTTTGTGTTTATACGGAAGTTTCCCGAAAATATTACTTACGCCGTTGCCAGGCGCACGGCACTGGTTGTAGTCGGTCTGGCACTGCTCGCACTGGGCCTTGGCGGCAGCACATATGGCCTGGTTGGCATCAGGACCGCCGCGGCACTCGTCGAAGAGAGCGCTGCAGTCGGTGATCTTGGCCATGTCGATCTGGGCGTAGGAGACGGCGGAGAGAGCCGCGGCAACGAGGACGAGCTTCATGTTGACGGTATTAGGATAGTAATATTAGAAGTAACAAGTACAAGAGCTGTAGAGAGCGTCAAGTAGAAAATCAAGCGAAAAACTTTGTAGTTGGCTTAGTGTTGTCGGCAGAAAAAAACAAGTCCATCTATGTCAGTCGTAGCGTCTGTCTTTATATTCACGACTAAGCACGATAATAGTGGAGAGCAGCCTCGAAAAAGTCCCGAGTTCTGGAGACAACATCGTAATTGAAATAAACTCATAAGGTTGCTTTTCCCTGCCAAGCATGGAGCCTGGCAGTTTTTGACACCCACAGGACCCTCCAAAGGGGAGTGATCGCCCTGTACGAGAGACTTGTTTCGGCTGGCCCCACTTTTCGCACCCAGACCGAGCAAGTCCACCTGATGAACGGATCACGTCGCAATCCACTTTTGTCCGTGTTGGGCCTGCGTTAGAGGATCGACGTTCCCCACGAACTTTATATTTTTAGGACCTTAACCCACGAAACAATGTGTCAGTCAAACCCAATGCCTCCACGGCGAAGCCCGATTGGCCCCTTGTCGGCAACGGACCGAGAGGGCAATACGGGGGACAAGATGACAGGTCAACATCTTGTGTAGCCCTTCAGCTTGGGCTTGAGCATGAACTCAACACCACTTTTGGCAGGGCAATTTACTTCACGGTCAGCAGTGCATCGTCATTTGCTTATCCAAGTCTCTTGATATAAATTTTGGCCCACACATACACCCACATCCCGGGCACTCTGGTCCACAAGCATTCGAAACAAAGCCCGGGATAGCTCGGTAGACTTAGTACATGTGCCACAGCTTCCTGGGGTCGCATCTGCTTGATGTCCCAAACCTGGTGTGAAGCCGACATCCGCACACTTGCAGAATGTTCCCGTCGGCACTCCGGCCGTGGTGGACCCCACAAACATAGAAACACGCTTCACGATGGCAGCTGACGGCACGAGTCAGCATGTAAACTCGGATCCATCCGGCCGAATTTCGCAAATTGGGATGGCGGTGATGGCCTCCCTTTTTCGGAAGAGTGAGGTCAACCGGGTTGGTGGTACTTGGTTACACTTCGTCGCTGCCTCATCGCGAATCTAGGTCGTATCAATTGTGGTCAGGGGCTGCGCAGTAATTTTGTTGGCAAGTACGACCCTCGCTATTAGGAGGCTACTTTAGTTATCCCCTACGGGGCACGTAGCCTCTTAGAACTTAGACAAAACAATATTAATACATGATTGCTTCCCATACGATTATTATATATATAAGAAACCTACTAATATTAATTAGTAATCATGAGTACCATAGATTAATAAGGTAAAAGAGGCAACCTTATAAGGATTTCCTTAACCTAAAAATCATATCCTCCTTATTAATAAGCGTTATATAGCAATAATTACTTTTTTAGGCCTCCTTATATTATTAAACTTTCTAAGTAGATATTATAAAGATTAAATAAATTAAATGGCATTTCCTGCGATATTTATATGTATATTTATTGCTATTTAAGAAATATGCATTTATTATGCATAAAACTTTATTAAAAATAAACTTATTATAAACCTATTTTTAACTTTTTTTTAAAACTTAATAAAACTTAATAAAGCTTTATTTTACTAAATGGATAAAGCTTATAATTATTGCAATTATTAAATAAATAAAGCTCGTAATTATTGCAATTGCTGGAGCTAATGCAATGCTATATTATAAGTAAGCGCAAGTTATGCACTATGCTTTTAGCTAATATGGAAGGACTTAATAATAAGAGAAAGCCCTAGCTTTTAAGGCTTAAAGGAATCAATAACTTTTTCCTCTTAATAATTATAATTTGCTCTTTATTAAACTATTATTATTAACTTATTTTTAAATATTATTTATTTTATTAATATTTCTTTATTTTATTAATTTCATTCTTTATAATATTTACTATGAAAATTTATAAGAATAGCTAATAATGCTAAGGAGCTATCAGCTCTTATTAAAGGGTATATAATTAATAAGATGCTTGCTTAAACTTTAATTAACCTAACTTATTATAAACATATTAACTTAAAATTATAATTTATAACCTTTATATAAGAAGCATTAATAAAATACTTAATTACCTATTTAATAAGTATTTTAGCAAGCTATATATAATAAAACCTTTATAATAACAACCTTTTCATTACTTATCATAAGAATTATATAGCATAGATATAGGCAATATTTAAAGCACTACTAAATCCTTGCTAATAATACTTAAAAGTCTTTCTTTAAATGCAAGGCATTTATATAAAATGCAATAACCAACTTATAGCATTATAGTTAATTGCTATGGCTTAAGCTAAGAAAAGATTAAAATAAATTAATAATAAACTTTGCAATGCCTTATTAGCCTTAAAATTAAGCATAAATAAATATTATATGCAACTTTAAAAATAGTAATTATAAGCATAACCTTTATAAGAACTATAAGCAAGCTTTAAATAATAATAGTTGCTAAGAGGGCAATCCTTAGGATAATATTTATTGCCGTTATTAGCTTTAGGCGCGTAATTATAAAATCTAAACTTAATAATATAATCCATTAAAAACTAATATAATTAGCAAGGCCTATTATTATTAGCAAAGAAATAGAAATAAAGCTTATATTAAAGATATATACTATATTTAGCATAACCTTGGGCTGCCTTGAAAATACCTTTGCTAAATAAAAAGTATAACCTATATAAAACTCTTCCCTTATAGCATATTCTTAATAAATGCTTGAATTTAATAAAGTTAGCATAGTTTATAAAAACCTTTAATAACTTTTATAAGTATATTAAGGATTTATATAACTTATTAAATAATAAAATAAAGATATTTTTTAATATTTACTATTATGCTAAAATTTAATTAAGTTAATTTCATATAGTTTTTCCCTAAATGCTTAAAAATTAAGCTAAGGCTTATTATCTTTATTTTATAAATTAAATTAATATATTTGCAATAGTATATCTTAAAATTAAAATGCATTTTAATATAAACCTTAATTATTAGCATTATTATATAAATTAAATAATAATAATGTTTATAAAGATAAAAGCATAAAATTTAAATAAAAACCTATATAAGGTTTTATATTTAATGCTTAATAAGCTGCAACTTTGTTAATAGGTATTAGGCTAAGATTATGCTAAAGAGGATAACTTAAGAATAATAATAATTAAAGCTTATAAAGGAGTTTTTAAGTTGGAAATGGCTTTTTTTAAGCTAGCTTAATTATATAAAGAATTGTTTTTAAACTTAAGATTTGCAATAAAAATATAACTTAGCTATATAATTATAATTTATATTATAAATAAAGTTTTAAATTAATATTATATTAATTGTAAATATAATGGCTGGAAGCTAAGAGAAGAATAATAATTATAGTTTTAAGTGTTTTAAGGAAATTAAAGATTTAGTTAACTAAACTTAAGCCGTTTAAGCTTTAAGTAGCTAAGATCCTATGGCATTAGCTATAAAGCTTAAAGTAATAATGCTTATAAAGGAAAAAGAGAAGGATAACCTTAAAAGAAAAGATATTATATTTATAAAAAGAAAGGATGCTAATTAATTAAATATTTAGCTAATAAGCAATATTTAGTAAGAAAAAGCTATTTAATATAATATAAATATAAAGGTTGTAATAATAACTTTAATACTTTTTTAAGTAAGTTTAAAGGATATAAAATAAATAATAAAGATGAATTTTATAAATATAAAGATAAATAAGATTAAGATAATAATTATAATAGCAATATTTATATTATAAAGATAGGACTTAATAAGAAGGTTTATTATGCAAATATTAATTTCTTAGCTAATAAAGCATTTATGCATTAAATCATAGGAAATAATATCTTTTAAATAAAAATAATTATTGCAATTAGTTAATTTATCTTAAAAAATAAATATAACTAAATTTATTTTTAAGAAATCCTATTAAATATTAAAGCATTATTAGTATTTATGGTTAAACATAAGCAATTTCTTGCATTATAATAAGAAGACCTAAAGTATTAAATCAATTTAATCGCCGTAAGGAAAGCTAAAGTTAAATTTAATAATAAAATAACCATTAATTTACTTAACATAATGAAAGTTTCCATCTTAATTAATTATATTAACTTCTATATTATTTAAACATAAACCTTATTCCTACTTTACCTAGTAAATATAAATAGGCTTTAAGTATATTATAATAATATTATAAATAAAATAGTTTCCTTTAACAGTATAACTATTATATTAATACTTAGAAAATAAGGCTACTTATGGTTTTTCCTAAATTAAATTATTAATGCTATATATTTCCTCTTAGAAATAGAAATAAGGAGATTCCATTATTACTTTAAATACCCATTAATAGATTAATTATACTAAATGCTTAAAAAAGCCGGCAATTTAAATATTAATAAATAAGCAATGGCAGAGATTAAGAAGATATATTACCATTATTAAATAAATAAACCTGCACCTAAGCGTTTTAAGTTTATATTATGCAATAATCATAAATTTAACTATAAAATCTTAATTAACGTAATATATTTAAGCAAACGTTTAATCCTTTACGTTATAAACTAAGCCATTGCTTTTTAGGAAGCGAAATTCTTAAAATCTATATTTATAAAGACCACATAGCAAATACTATAAATGCTTTAAATTAATATATATTAAGAATTACTAAATATTATTAAATATAATATAAAAATAAACTTTGCATCCTTAGAATTCCATTTAAAAGCATAAATAATGGAAATTAAATATAAACAAGTTCTTATAAAGGCATATTAATTTATTAAGAAAGTTAAGAGATATTATTAAGCCCTTAAATAAGCATATAAAATCCTATATATTAAACTGCATAATAGCGTAAATAACGATGCTATCCTGCAAATAGCTATAAAAGCTATCAATAATACTACTAAACTAAATGAATTGATTTCTATACTTTTAGTCTTTAGCGCCTACCCATAAGTATTACATAAGTTACCATTATCATTATTAATATAAAAGTAAGCAAAAGCTATTTTAAAGGCTATAAAAATGCTGCAAAAAACCATAGCTAAATAGTAAGTACGAAATGCATTAAATATTAAAGTTAAACCTATCTTTAGTATGAAATATTCGCTATAATGTAAAGTTTATATATAGAGAGAGAGAAAAGGGATAAAAGGGTTTATATAAGGTTATTATTATGGATAGCCATAATATAACCTTAAATATGCTAAATAAAGCCGCGATATTTAAGTTAACAATCATTTAATTATACTATTAAAATAATAATAAGAAAATGCAACCCTTATAAGCAAAAGACCTAGCTATAAAACCTTAAATGCAACTTATTATATAATTACCATTACTAAAAATAAAAAACTGCATTATTATATTATATCTTAGAAAAAGAAAATAAAAACTATAACCTAGCAATTAAATTAAAATAAGATAAAGTTATTATAATACTAAGCTTATTATTTAAAGAGTTTAATAAAATGGAAATTAATAACTTTATTACTAAAGGTATCTTTTAAATTAAGAAATAATTAGCAAAGCAATATAATAAATATTATTTCTTTAAGTTCCATATAATATAAAAGGTAAAAGGTAAAACTATAAAACCCTATAAGAAATCCTAATTTATTATTTAAGGTTATAATAATAATAAAAAGAAATTAATCTTAATGCAAAGCTTAATTATTTAAAGAATAAGCTAATAAACAATCCTTATACTCACCCCTTTATTAATTTAAGAAAAAGGCATGGTTTTTATACTTTAAAATATTACTTAAGCTTATTCTTAAGCAAAGTTAAAATTGCATAAAATAATTCTTATAAAGCTATTAAAGGAATTAAGAAATAAATACCCTTTAAGCATAATTATTTATATCATTTAACCCTTATATAGCATAGCAGAATTTAGCATTTATTAGTTTAATATATATTAGAGATATTACTAATAAAAGCTTAAGATAAACTGCTTTATATATAATCCTTGCTTAATGATTATAAAGCCTGCATAACTTTTTAAAATGATAAGCATATAAATAAATAATATATTAATTTTATTTATATTAAAATTTCAGGATAAGGAGGAAACTAAGATAAAAGCTATAAAATTATAAGGAAAACCAAAATAAAAGCTAATGCCCAGAAACTTAATAAATTATAATAGGGCTTATATAACTATAAATATTACTGGCTTAATTATTACTTAATAAAAAGGATAGGCTAATAAACTTACCTTTATTAATGTAATAATTAAAGACGCTTCCTAAAGATACCTTGAATAAAGAGCCTGCAAAGCATATATAGCTTTAATTTATCAATTAAAAGCTTTATATAATCTTTTAATAGCTATATAAATGCAAAACCTAAAGGCAAAAGATTATAAGAGCCTAAATATGTAATTATTATAGTAAATGAATAATATTATATAAGGAATTAAATATATACCTCTTAATCTTAAAACAGCAAAACTTTTTATATTTATAAATAAATTATTTATAAATAACTGGAACTTAATATTTTAATTTAAATATATTATTGTTCTTGCAAATAAAACTTGCAAGGAAATTAAGGGATTTATAATAACGGGTAATATTTTCCATTAATTATTAATAAAGTATAAATATATTACTTAAAGTATGCTAATAAGCAAAATTTACGGCATAATAAATAGAGTGAATATTGGAATCTCTTTAGCTATAATAATTAAAATGGCTATAAAATAATTTTCATTGCTAAATATACCCTTAATTATTTATATAAACTTATATAGCTTATATAAATACCTTATAAAGCTAGGAATAATAAAGGAAAAGCGCCTTATAATTAATATTATATTATTATAAGAATTATATAAAATAAGAGAAATTGCTAAAGTAAGGTAAATAAATAAAAAAGATAACTCTATTAATGTAATGATAAAACTAACTTTAAATATTGCATTATAAAAGCTTATTAATAATAATAAGCTTTATATATAGGTAAATGGGTTAATTAAGAGACTTGGAGTAGCCCCTTTTTGCTAAGGAAGGAGCAACTTGCCGTTAATACCTTTTTCTTTTAACCTTATTGCCGCTAGTTATAAAACCTTATACCTTTTAAATTTAAAACCCTTAATATAAATTTTAACCTTTTATACTTTAATTAATATCTTTTTAATACCTTATTATATATAAAGATAACCTTATAATTATTAATATTATTAATAATTATTATTTTAAAATTAACCTTATTATTATTATTACCTTTTGCTATTATTTATTAGCGATAACGTTAAAACTAACTTTTATTAAATTTATTTGTAATTTATTAATTTCTTTTATAATTAAAGAATAAATTAATAATTATTATATAATAATTATAAAGTTTTATATTATAAATATTTATTTTAATTATTAAATTCCTATAAGATCTTTTTCTTCTTATTATAATAGAAAATATTAATAATAACTTGTAAGGGTTATTTAATACTTTTATTAATATGCCTTATAAGGATAATAATGATAAGTAAAATTATTTAATAAATATTATATTTATTGCCCGCGTTAAAGACATAATTAGTATAACCATTATTACAATTGCTATTAATATGATTAATATTAAAGGTAGCCTTATTGCAATCCTTAACTAGAATTAGGATTTCTTTATAAACATTGTAATTATAACCTTAATTAATAAAATAAACATTATAATTGCATTTTCATTAAGTAATAAGATAAAGATTGGAATTATTACTAAGGCTATAAGAAGGGCTAAAATCGTCTTAATTAATAAGGATAAAGATAAGCTTATTGATTTTATTAGCTTTTATGGCAAGGTTGTTATTAATAACGCTTATTTAATAGATATTAATAAGGATATTAATAATAATAACTTTTATTTACTTGCTTATTTAATAAATATTAATAAAGATATTAATAATAATAACTCTTATTTATTTAATATTAATAATAATTTAATTATTATTAATAATAAAGATAATTAAAACTAGGCTAATAAAACCTTAATAAAGATTATAAAGACTGCCTTTAAATTTACTTTTATGCTAGGCATTAAAAAGAATAAGCTGCTTATTAAGATAAACTCTTAAGGAATTATTAAAATTAATAAGCTAAAGGTTATGATTATAACTTAAGTTAAGATACTTTTCCTAAATAACGTTATTATAATAGCTATTATTTAAATTATTAATAACTTTTAATATTAAAATAAGTAAATATTATTTAATAATATGGTTAAAAAGCTATATATTTATGTTAAAAGCATTAAAACTCTTAATATAAAATTATATAGCATCCTTAATAATAAGAATTATTAAGGTAATTATTATCTTAAATGTTAAATTATTATAATCTTTGCAATAAATAACTTAATAAGGGTTTTAATTCTAAGTATTTTTTATATATATTAAATTAAAAAGATTTAGCTATTAAAGGATTGGATTGCTATGCTAACTTAGTTTTAAAACTTTTTGCATTGAATTATTAATAAGCGCGTGTAAGGCCTATATATAAAGGGACTTATTAAGAAATATGCGCTACTATCTAAGCAATTTAAATAAAAAATAACTATTAAGAAGATTAAAAAGAATAATAAAAAGCAAAAAAAGGACTTAATGGATAATTAAATTGCTTATAATGCTTAGTTTTAAAAGGATAAGAAGTAGCTAAAGGAGAATAATTTAAAGCAATATTAAGTACGTTTTAGTAATGAAAGTAAGAATGGAGATAATAACGTTTATATTATAAAGGTATGTAATAAAAATGGATGCAAGCTAAAGGGTTTAACATTAGCTTTATAGGCATTAACTTCCCCTATAAAAAAGAAATTTAAGATTAAAGCCCTTACGTGGAAGTTAATAATTTCTATAAAAAAGCAACCCTAAAAGCTAAGTATTAAGAATAATGGATATAATATTTAAGGAATAGTATAATAATAAAGATTGCAAGTTTAAGAAATAATGCAATAGCAAGGGTTGCTAAGATTTGCTTTAGAATTTATAAGTTATAATTTTAGGCCTCTTTAATAATGCTTTCTTATAATAAAGGTTATATATATATAATATGTAATAAATTATAATTTTAGGCTAACTATAATAAGAATTGTATATACTCATTAGAAGAAGAGAAAACTTTAAGTATTGGTAAGTACGACCTTCGCTATTAAGAGGCTACTTTAGTTATTCCCTACGGGGCACGTAGCCTCTCAGAACTTAGATAGAATAACACCAATACACGATTGCTTCCCATACGATTATCGTACGTACGAGAGACCTACCAACAGCTTACCGTCCGGAAAGCCCCAGCGACTGGACGGGTCGACCCTGAGCAGCAGCACAAAGTACTCCTTCGCCCCGCCGGGCTGCCGCCCCCGTCCGTTGAGCCTATCCATACTAATAAGCGCAGTGGCGCTGAGCCGCCCGCGCCGCAGGCGGAGGGTGCCGTACCGCGTGTCCCACAGCTCCTCCGGCGCCGCGGACACGATGTCGTAGTCGCAGTCCTTGACGGCGGTGACGGAGACGCTCGATATGCTCTCCATGGTCTCGATGCTCTCGTGGGCGGGCGTTGTCTTCTTGAGCAGAAAGATGAGCTTCGTCTCCGCGCTCTGGGCCACGTTGTCGGACACGCATGCGAGGGCGGGCGTTGAGGACGAGCGGCAGTATACGCCTGGTTTGAGGGGGCATGGTTCTATGTATATGCCCATGAAGCCTCCTAGTGGGTCTGACGTATGGCACCGTAGTATTGCAATCGTCGTGTTGCCTTCGACCCTCACGATTGGCAGTCGGATTCTGATGCCTTTGTTGGTTACTGAGTGTGGCTCTTCTTCGTCACCGGAATATGTTTGCACGTTGTCGAGTCCTTGAAATTGTGATGGGTGTGATGCGAAGGCGCCGAGAACCACATTAGGTGATTCATTCCAGGGACCAGTCTTTGCGTGATTCCGCCTGCCCCAGGCGAAAATTGAGTGGTCGTCGAACTCCTTGATGATTTCTTCCTGCAGCCGGATGAAAGCGCTGTGACCCCCTTCGCCGTATAGTAGGGGCATATGGACACCGAACACTCCCAGTAGGCAGTAAGCGAGATCTTCCGGCCGGGTCGTCTCCCTTTTAGCAGCCCACGATAGCCTTTTTGCGATGTTTGCCTTCTGCCAGCTTCCAGTCTGCAAGTACATCGCGTCGATCCCTGAAGCAGCCGAGACCGCGTCCAACACCTCAAACCTGGGCCCTAGAGATACCCAATTCTTGTCGACAAAAAACAACCGTCCCGGCGCAAGCAGCTCCTGAAGCGTCCACCCTCTTGTGAACCATCTGCACTTGAGGAATGCGTCTTCGCTGGGGCGGAACTGGCTTGAACTCTCCCCACCCGGGTGCTCGTAATCCTCGAGGGTGGCGACGCAGAAGACGGCCTCTTGATACCACGCAAACATGGAGTTGATGGCCTCCGACAGCTCCGAGCTGCTCGACTTGTCGATGCAGCACGTGTCGACCCAGATGTGCGTCGGCCTGTACGCAGAGGGCCACATCGCAGGCGCATTTTTCCGGCCGACCCTGCGATCCTCTGCACACCTTGGAACGCGCCCGACCGGTTTTGGAACATCCCTGTCCCTCACAAACTGGCCGAATTTGACAATCTTTTGATAACCAGCCTTTGACTCTAGATCCTCTCGGCTCCTAGTCGTCATGTCCGCATACGTGACCTCGTCCGGACCCCAGGTGTGGGACAGGATGGCATAAGACGGGATCTTGCCATACCCGGTGAAACTCTCCAGCGCGAGAGTCTCCAGGTTGATGAGCCTCATGCCGGGCTGATGTGGAGAGCAATGAGTCAAACCAAGCACCGCCCAATTGGTATTGACCTTTCAGTCGTCGCCTCACTCATATACGGTCATTTGAGCGGCATAGCCAAGCTTGTGATGTCGTTTTATGGGGGGAGGTCGCCGGCAACTAAGCGCTGCGCTGGCGTAGGACGAGTAAAACCGTCGAGATGGAGCACAGCCACGGAATCTGGACGTTGCATCAGTAGTGGCATTGCACGTACCCCACACTGTGCAGCCCCCCAAAAAGGACAGTGGCGCAGAGGGCGCAGAGAAGGCACTAGTCACGGCATTTGGGACTTCCACGGCTTCCATCTACCTTCAAGTGGTCGGTTTCATCATTATCTCCCTGCGTGCTGCATGCTGCTGCACTGCACGCTGCATGCGGGCCAAAACAGGGACTCGTAGTGTAAAATCTACCGCCAAGCTGAACCGACCCTGATCTTTGTGTGCCCCCAACTTTCTCAAATTTAGGAGGAAAAGGCTCGATGACGACTCCGCATTGAAAGTTCTTAACCGCTCAGCCGTCGGAGCAAAGACCCCCTTCCTGTTGGCTCCTGGGCTATGGCGCCAACATTTAGTGCGCACGCACAGACGGGGTTCCCTCCGATCAAATTAACCACCGCAGTGTCCCTCATCCCTTGCTCGTTCCCAAGTGCTTCCCTGTATCCGAATCGCAAGAAGTGAAAATAACGATCAACCCAGTCAACCCGTGCCCCCAATTCATCCAGGCAGCTCGGCAATGGGGTGAGCAGCCAACTCGCTCGGCGGAGGCCTCGCGTGACCAGCGCCACCCTGACCACCACCGGCGGTGTTGTACGAGCTCCGCGCCGACGAGTTGTTATCAAGCTCGGAGCGGAGCGACCACGGCCTGGCGGCCTTGGAGTCGAGCTCCGAGAGGGCGGGCGTGTCAGGGCTCGACGCGGTGCTGGGGCTCGGGACTCCTCCGGCGGCGATGCCGAGGTTGACGGGGTCCGGCTCGCTGGCGGCGCCGCTCTTGGTCTCGCCGTGCATGAAGTCGTCCACGGCGCGCGCCTCCTCCTCCCTCTGCAGCTGCTGCTTGCGCTGGCGGCGGCGGAAGCACATGAAGGCCACGAGCAGGAGTGCAATGAGCAGGGCGCCGGCTACGCCTCCCGCGATGGCGCCGATCTGGGCGCTTGGGCTGAGGCTGCTCTCATTGCCCGGGTTGTCAGTCGGGGTGCTCTTGGTTGTTGTGTCTGCTGCTGTCGGGGCGGGAGAGGCGATCGATGGGGTAGAGGACGAGTCCGATGCGGTGGGGCTTGCCGTGGTTGTGGTTGTCTTTGGATTCGGGTTCACCGTTGGGTAGTATCCCACACTGAACTGGATGCTCCCAAGTACATTGGTCGGCAGCGATGCGGTGCCCTGGATGATCGAAGATTGGGAGAGCATCTTGTGCCGATCGTTCTCGTCCTTTGGACACCAGCATGGATCGGGCTTGGTGAGAGTGGCCGGTTTCTTCTTCTGGTCGCAGAGCACCCACTCATTGCTTGTGCCATTGCAGTAGGCCATGCCAAGCCAGGGCGTTTCTAAGAGGCGGGTGAACCATCGTCAGCGGTGCAAACGGTGAACGGCGCTTGTCAAGAATATCATCGTCCACTCACCGATGTCCTCGAACTTGTAGGGGCAGGTGGGGTGCTGGTAGGTAACATCAGAACAGCCTGCGACGTATGTGACTCCAAAAGCAATGTTGAAGCAGACATTGCTCTTGAGGCAATTGTCACCAGCTTGGCAACACGCGACATGGTCGTTGGCATCGTTGCCGCAGGGTAGCATCTCCTTGTCCGCCTCGCGGTATGGCCCAGAATAGCATGTGCCATTCGAGACGAAAAGATTGATTTCATCAGGCATTTTGTCTTCTTGGTCGATGGTGGTGGAGGGGTCTTGGGGACGTCAAAGGCCAATATTGTTGTGATCGCGACCGGTGTCGAAAGTGTGTACTTCAATCTGCCTGTTGGCAGGAGCCCTTTGCATACGAGCGGTATTTGTTGACAGACTGCCCAGGAAGTCAGAAGGCCTGCAGCTTGAGTTGCTTCGCAGAGCCCAAGATCACCTGGGTAGCTTGAGTGCTGGAGTGTGAAAAGAATCTCCAGGAACGGAGTCTGGTGTCCGACCACCAAGAGGCAGCCTCAAGCTCCCAACTCTGCAGCCTCTGATCTGCGCTTCGATAAGCAACCCAGTGAATGCTATCAATCATAAGCGATAAGGGCCGTCTTGATAGTCAGTTCCAGTCACAGTGGTGGCCAAAGGAAGCCTCCAAGCTTGGTGGGGGCTTAGGGTTGGAAAGTGGTAGGTCGTCGCCCTGGGATGCTCCCAAGCTGCGAGTTTGCTACTGGTTCCCCATGTGACCAGTTACACAACCTCGTCTGATGTACATCCAACACCCCATAGCTCATTCACCCTGCCAATTATCCTCCGCCATAGCCTCCTGGGGGATGTGGACCCGTGGTCTCACACAACGGGTAGGTGCATGTAGTGACATGTCATGACGGCCTTGGTCATGCTTCTTCCGAGGCTTCGCCTTGCCCGAGATCATCACAGACAAAGGAACCAGGAAATGAAGGGTCTCATCAGGAGCGTCAGCTTAGCCGCACCGACCTCAGCTCCAAGACCCTCCCATCTGTAACAAACAGCACCGATTTGTATTCAGACCAGCAGACATGCAGAGTCTCAGGTTGAGCACCACATGCACTTGTCAAACGGCTGACTTGTGGTTCATGCTGTGTCACCCATTTCTAGACATTAACCGGTACCGACTTCGGGCCATTTCGACCAACTGGCTGTTCTCAAGATGTGGCCGTGACAAGCGGACTCTGTCAGTAGCAAAGTTCAATGCTCGAATTACACTCTCCTGTATTCATATCGCCTTCCAGAACGATAGCTGATAAATAGCAAGCCGAGTGTGTGGATTCTGTAGTTAAGTAGGGCTCATAACATTGAGTGGTAACCTCAATGCTCTTTGAGACCACAGGGGCTAAATGCCTTAGGAAGGAAAGTAGACAGCCTGAAAGTGATCCTACTCTGATGATGTCGAGGGCCCTCCATCTGCACAGTGCCCAGACCGGAAGAGATGTCACAGGTTGAAATGTGAACGCTGTTGGGGTCTGATGTAGTGTTCTCGATTTAATAGAGCATAACTACAGAAACCTCAAGGGGGCTGAGTGGTGGGAGCACTCGAGACCGGTCATATATGAAAAGCTCTTGGAACCCGGTCAAAAAGAGTAACCACATAGCTGTGTTAGCCAGCCTCGCCTCCCCCCCCCTAACCAACACCAGTGCCGCTCCCGAGCCAGGTTCACCAGCTCTCAGTAAGCATAGAATATCTTGGCCCCACTATCATCGCACCGTATCTTCTTGTTCTCTCTCATAAGGTCCCATCTCACGTACCAACTTATAGCAATAGTAGCGAAGCACATCCCTGCGCTCGTAGCCATGGGCAGAACATACCGTGGTGCCGCGGAGTCTGGCCAGAGATACTGCTCGGTTCAGTCAGAGACTTCAATACTGACCTTGGAGATCAGGGCGAGGCATGCCCATTCAGACTGGAATAATGTAACGTACCGGTGTCCAGATCAGACTAACACTCGACAAGGTGTTGACGGCCGCCAGCGACGCGGCCCTCTTCTCACTCGTCTGTCCGCAAGTAATGCCAGTCCACGACAGGATCAGCGGGCTCACGGGGTACGTCGCGGCCACAAACACAAAGGCAGCGAAGTACCTCGCGCCCGTGTTTAAAGTCGCACATGCCAGGACAAACCCCAAGATGGATATCAGCTTGATGATGGTGATGTGCCACGTCCGCTCGTTAAACCTGCCAGACGACAAGCCCCCAAGGATGGACGAGATCCCCGCCAGGATATAAGGCGGACAGGTGAGAACGAGCGTGACGGTGCGCGAGAAGCCCAGCGTCTCGATGAGCGTGGGCAGGAAGATGCGGAAGCTGCTGGTGGCCGTCTGCAGGTGCTGCGCCGCCATGAACGCCCACACCCGCCTGTCGCGGAGGCACTCCCGCAGGCCCTTGAGCAGGTTGACATCCTCCTCCTTCCCCACCGTGTCCGCCGCGATCCGGCCGGCCGCCAGCGTCTTCTGCTCCGGCGTGAGCCACCACGTCGTCGCCGGCTTGTTGGGGAAGAAGAAGAGTCCGACCACGCTGAAGAAGAGGCTCCACGCGCCCATGATCAGGTACATCCACCTCCAGCCCGAGAGCCCGCGGGCGCTGCCCAGCTCGCTGTAGATGGGTGCCGCGATGAGGCCCTGGAAGGCGGTGGCGAGGATGTTGGCGCTGAAGAGGATGCTGATGCGGGTGGCTATCTCCTTTCGCTTGTAGACTATGACAGTTTCTGTCAGTGGTCATGTGAAGAGGGACTCTTGGTAAACCATGGACATACACATGCTAACCATGTACATCGCTCCTGGGTAGTACGGAGCTGATATGATGCCCAGGAAGAAACGCTGCAGGATGAGGCCGGTGTTGTTCACAACAAACACATTAAGCATAGTTGTGATGCTTGTGAGAGCCATGGCGCCGCAAATGTACCATGTTGGTCGTACCCGTGTAAGAAGCAGGTTCGAAGGGATCTGGCCTAGGATATAAGAGGCGTAATGGACAGAGACCGCAGTGCTGAACTGGGTGTCGTTGATTCCAAGGTCCTCTTCGAGGCTATCCAAGCGAGCCACCGAGATTGCCTGCCTATTGAAGATGTTCATAAAGCACAATATCCATAGAAAAGGCTAACAAGGTTCGTCAGTACCATAGAGATGGTCAGATGGCTGCGATGTGGAAGGCCTTTTGGAAACTGGACGCTTACCATCATGCACAGATCAAGCTTTCTCACCAGGGCGATCTCCGCGGGGTCTGTCTTCCTCGACGCCCCGGCATAGTCGACCGATACTTCACTTTGAGATTCGGCCTCCTCCAAAGATTGATGTGTTGGGGACTGCTTGTCTGGTGCAAATTCCGTCGATGTTGTCTTAATTTTATTGTCCATCGTGCGTTCGATGTAGTTAGTAGTTTAGTAACTAACGGTCCTGGTCCTAGATGTAACGGCAGCGGTCACTTGATATTGATCTTGAAGAGGGTTGTCGGGAGAAGTTGCGTCTGGTCTTTTATATATCAAATACTGCAGAGTACTAAACAATAAAACAAATAGCTTGGGCTCATCATTCGATGACAACGCAGACCTCTTCAGGCTGTGACGCTGGCAGTGCAAGGCAGTACAGTTGTAGTATGCTTTGCCATCTGGGAGCCAAGAACGCACTGCTCATTTTGCCTTTCTTGACCTTGAAGCACTTCAAGCGTTCTGCTAGAGAGCGACCGCGCGATGCCAATGAGCCCTCGAGTCAATTGGTGCGAGGGGCCGGGTCCAGCCTTTGGTCAAGGTATGTCATGGCCTTGGCGTAGGAGCGTCTTAACAGGTTTACAGCTGCCGCCCCCGAGACAACCGCGAATGCAACCTGGTCTGCCGCTTCCATGCCACAGGCTTGCAAGGGGTCAGCTAGTCTCTTCAGTCAAGCGGACAGGATATGCTGAACCTCATGCCCGTGGGTGCCCAAGAGGACGCCAAGATATCATCGCTGGAAGGCATAATTAGACAAGTGTGCTGGGCCGTGCCGTGCTTCTAGCTCGATCGGGACGGTCACCCGCGAACAACAAATCTTAAACCAACACCAAGAGCTGACACTCTTTCCAGTGCTGCTCCATATGACCTAAGATTGGTTTGATGACTTTCATTTGTTATAGATGGCTCGGGCATATTAATGCCAGGCCGTCCACGCCCAAGAAAAACGCACGGCTGTTCTCAGACGAACCGGCTGGGCTGAGCCCCCGAACGAAGGGTCTACGGCGCCTCGACTGGTGTGGCTAAGTAGCCAATGCCCATAAACCTGTGGCAAAGTCAGCTTGTCAAAAACACAGTCCCAGGAAAATCGACGTAAGCCTTATCAGACCACTCATTCATCGCCCCAATGACGTCGGCCAGGCCACCCAGATCTCTCGATATACACACTCAGCCTTCGTCCCAGAGCTGCCAGCCGGTCTACCGGGAGACCACACGCCCTGAATACAACGCCCCACGTGTCATTCAACAAGGTAGCATGGCGATGAAATAGCCTTAACCTTTAGAGTTGTGGTCTCGGGGTGACCAGAACCTTGATTTGCCTCGCCAAAATGGTTGGTCGGGGAACACCAGGCCAAGGGCGGGGGAAAGTAAAGTCAGAAACAACACCCTGGGCCGGCAACCCCCAAGCTTCTATAATGTGGCCTCTGCAGGCAGGTTGGCGGGGTGTATGAGGTATTGGGGGACATAGGGCACAAGTAGGGAGAGAACGCAGATTCCTAAAACCTCGCGTGCACAGCGTTGATATTCGTGGTAGGTGTCGTTATCATAACTTTCCATGCCCTAGAAACGTCATACGGTCAAGCAACCAGTCACCCCGTTCAATATCGAGTCAAAAGCATCAACGCCCGCTCAGGAAACCTGCCTTCGAGGGTATACCACTCCTCTATTGAGACCTTTTACAACTTACGCGCCTGGTTCCAATCACGGCGCACCTATCGCTTCGATGACGACGAAGCACCCCTCTCGCTCTCAAATTGCCTGAACAGCCTGAGCTGCAATTTCTGCACCATATCCACCACTTTTCGCGTCTGCGCCGCGTCGCCCACGAACCCGAACTCCCTCTGGACCTCCCTCTCTAGCTCGCGCTGGACTCTTGGCGGAAGGCTCTCGGTCAAATACCTTTCGTACTCAGAGGCACTGCAAAGCCAGGGGTCGGAGGTCTCTGATTGTTTGGAATTTTCGGGCACCCGTGTCTCGGTCGGTTCGTCTTCGTAAACTGAAGATCACATGTTAGTCGGACATTCACTGGTGCTACTGGAGATGGGAGCATAGTAGCCGGTATCGAGTAGGTAAAAACTTACAAGGCGAAGGCAAGGCACCAGTCTCCTCAGGGAATAGCACAAGGTACACCTCATTCCACCTCTGCTCCTCCGTAGTATTTGGCGGTACTCGTTTCTTGATCCTCAAGGCCTCCTCCTGGGATGGCATCATTGTTCCCTCCGGGAAAGCGTCTGTCCTGGTCTCACACGGAACAGATGCCCGCTGATGAGCCAGAAGCTCAGACGCACTCTTGCATTTCTTGAGGCACCTGCTGCAGGTATGCTTGCCGATGGTGTGGCACCGGTACAGATGCTCTTTCACTCGGTGTACTGTGGGCCAACCTGGCCCGCAGCATGTTCTCTTTTGCCGGAATTTGCCTGGGTTGCTTTTATCTGTGTTGTCTTGGATTAGCAGTGGTATGCACTCATTGATAGAGCTTGAGGACTTACAATATGGACAAGCAAATCTCTTCTCACCAGCTTTCGAGCTGCTCACCGCAGGAGACTCCTCGGCTGTCGAAGAGCCACTTTCCTGCGGGCTGGTGCTGGTCTTGGGCGACACTCGCCTTTCAAAGCTCTCCACGTCGTCATTCACCTTCCTCTTGCGCTTCTTCTCAAGAGACACGCTGGCCTGGCCGAGGCTCTCGTTGTTCCACATCACTGGTGCCGTGTAGTTCCACGTCCCCAGGACATCGGCACAGTTTAGGCTGTTGTATGTCGCGAGCCCGTTCGCCGGCAGGACCGGAGCCGTGTTCCACTGGAGAGGGTTGAGATCCATGGAGAAGTTCCAGGCTGTGTTTGGTGCTCCAGTAACATCCTCGGTGGTCGTGAAGTCCAGGGTGAAGTCATCTGGCGTGGTCGATGACAGGGTCGTGATACTGCTGTCAGTGCTCTCTACCTCCCATGGGGAGGTGGCAAGCGGGCTTGGCGCGCAGTATGAATCGTCCTGACGACACTTCTCGTTCAGGGAGTTCATGTGCTCGGCAACCTCGTCACCAGATGCACGGTTGACGATGGCGTCTTCAATAATGAACATTCGGTGCGTGATGAAGTTCAAGAAGTCTCGGATGAACGGAGACGCATTCCTGTGGCGAGAGAGATCGTTGATCCAGGCGAGGACTGATCCCTTCAGGATGGCTCCTACTCCTCCGGTCTGGCTGGGGTCGATGAACGTGTCGAAATATTCGTCCGACAACTTGCCAGCAGCGGTCCTTGTGGTACGGCGCTTCGCGAACTCCTTAAGACCGGCACGACCCAGAAGGAACCAGGTCACGAACTCGAGATAGGTACAACCCAGACCCCAGACATCCCAAGAACGGGAGACGGGCTTGAGCTTTGTATCGTACTCGGGAGGTCTGTAGGTGACCGTCATTTGGCGCAGGGGATCGGGGTGCTTAGAGGCATCGTAGAAGTCACCACCTCCGAAATCACCAATGACAAGGTCTCGATCATCTGCGACACTTGAGGGGCTTCCGCTCCTCGAGCTTCTATCTGAGGGTGTGCTACTGCCTTTGCCAGTAGTTGGCGGACCCACTTTACGGACGAAAGTTAGCACAAGGACTTCTCCAGCGGTGCAAACACATGATTGGACGTTCATGGACCTTGCAGGGTGGAAGTACGGGGAAGGCTCGTTAAGAAGGGCAAACAAACGATGAGCGGTGGGCCACGGGTCACTTACTAGCAAGTTCCTTGGCCTTCTGGCCCTTTGAGAAGATGAAAATGTTTTCAGGTTTGATATCACCGTGAATACCGATTTTGTTCATCAGTCTCTGTTGGCCGGCAGGATCGTCGGTGGTTTTCAGCCACGATTCGGCACCAGCGTGGATGGACTTCAAGGCGTCAGCGATGCTGGCACATTGGTTCGCCAGCCAACGCATCTCGTCTCTGCCAGGTTGCTGCGGATTGTCGGTGGACTGCCACAGTCGCCTAAGATCACTCTCGGCCCAAGGGAACACCAAATGGTAGCTGCCTCTGTACTTGTACGTTGCCAGCAGGGACAGGAGGTTGGGATGGTCTGCGTCGTGCAGGCGCTGCAGGTTGCGAACTTCTCGATGGAAGGCTTCCTCGTCCTTGGACTTGAGCCTCTTGATGGCGAAGTACGGATTATTAGGGATGGCCGTTTGGAGGTTCTTGAAGTTGTGATGCGCGTCGTGGATCTTGACCTTCCACACCTCAGAGTTACCACCCTTGTAGTGGTTCTGCTTCTTGTTCTCCCATGATTCAATGTAAGGAAGAATCATCTTCTCCTCGAGGTCGACGTATTCATCCTCTTGCTTGGCCATGTCGTAGAAGACTGGCGAGAAGAAGCGCCACTGCAGCTTCTCGAAGGCTTCGATGTCGGTCTTGGACCAGCAGCTTAAGCAGGGGTTCGTGAAATCCATCAGCGGAAGAGTCAGCTCTTCATGTGCTAGGAAGACGACGATACTGTCGACTTTATCCAGGAGGAGGAGAACCCCGAAGACACGGAGGAGCCGAAGATCTTGTCCGCTGGCCGTGATGCTTGTGGCCATCTTCTGCACATCCTGGGCTGGCAAATGAGGGAAATGGCCAATAAGCTCAGCGTGCACTGCTTGCTGTGACAGGATAGTCTTGAGGGCGTCCTCTGGGACGAAAAGACGCCCGCCATCTCCACGGACAAGGGCATTGTTGATCTTGTCCTTTAGGGGCTGATCTGGTCCGTCTTGCAGACCCATCGTTGTCCACGACAGATCCATATCTCCATTGTCCGTCACAACGGTGTCAAGATCCGTTGCCGTGGGCATGAGCGCTTGAGGAAAGCTCAAGTCCAACTGGGAAGGGTTGGCAAAGTCGATAGAGTCGACACCAGCAGTGGACGTCTGTGTCGCATGACTGATGGCTTGATCCCGGCTAAGGGATAGAGAGTTGTTGCAGGACTCGAAAGGTCCAAAAAAGAGGTTATCATCATTGAAGTTGAACGTGTCTAGAGTAGTGTCTTGTGTAGTGTAAAAATGGTTCGACAAAGACTATGAGCATAGTCAGCACAGCGCAGCCCATTGATACGGGAGCAACTGAGTCCCTCTATGGTCAATACAGGGCCTGGACCTACCGAATCATGCCAGAAGTTGTCTAACTCCGTCTCCGCCGACGAGGTCGACGACCATGTCGACTTGGACTCCATCGTGGTGGTCTCGGCTCCGGTGATCGGGGCCCCGTTGAGATCCGACATCTCAGGAGTAGGCATCGCACAGACAGACTGGCCACTGCGCGCCTTGCTCAATGCTGCTTGCTAATTGCCCTTCACAAACACAAGGCAAAGTTTGTAATCATCCGCTCGGGCACAATTGAGCATTGACAAGAATGAGCAAGAGCAGGAGATTGCAATAAACATCGAGCAGCCCCAGGCCAAAAGAAGGACGAGCATACACCTTTTCCTGTCAGTCAAGTAGGAGGAAGGACTCAGTCATACACGGAGCGCCCGCCCCACCACCACACCTACCCGGGCCAGTTAGAACCTTCCAGAGTGGGGCGCCCGCGCGAATGCGCACACACAAAACGGTTGGCTCGAGCAGCGGGAAAACGGACCACCGTTTTGCAGTCATCTAGGAAACGCTCGTCTACTACAGGAGTAGTGCAAGTTTATACTCTTACGTGCAGTACTGCCAAGTTCAAAGTGCTGGCAGTTCATTGTGGTGATGAACATCACGTCTCCCGCTCGTTTGAGATGAACGGAAGTCTGTGCAAGCCCTGGATACACGAGATATATCTTGAGCAAGAAAGTCTCGAGAGGACGTACAGAGGAAAGCGCAAACGCCGCCCTGAAGAGCCCCCCCCCCGCGACGGAAGCACAACGGAACGTTCCAGCCTCCCCTTCGGCCAACACCGTTCCCACGCCCTACTAGCGCTGACACGACGACCACCGTCCCAGTTCGTGCTCAATTGCGCAGAGACGAAAGCCACCCTAATAAACTACACACCTTTCAGCCGTGCACGAAGCGAAAGCGCGAGGCATCGCATGCAGTAAAAAGGGCAGACAGACAGGACCTTGGCAGCTCGGCAGTTGTTCTCGTGTTACCCCAGGATTTTCGTTCTGACACGGACATCATAGTCGTCTACTACACGTTGCCCGGTCTTGCACCACCGTCGCCATCCTTCATCACCGTCGGTTTCCCCACGACCGCACTAATAACAAGCCGAACGGTGGGCGCAGACACGATTTCCGCGGTTGCTGCTATGCTAGCGCAGCACCAGCAAAGTTTCAACGGTCGCCCACCCCGGAGCCGCTAGACCTCATATGTATAAGAAATGCTAGTAGTCAAAGATTTTCTCCATGCTATCTCTTTTTCTTTGTCCTCGTTACACCGTGATAGATAGTGGAGTCGCATGCATAGAAATCCAGAATTCATGATAGTGATGAGCGCTTACTCAGCAACCGGATCAGCCCACCCAGCAATCCGCCAATAGCCTGGGTGGATGAAGTTGACGATGATCTCCACGTCTATCCCAGCAATCTGTCAGCTCTCGACGGTCATTCACTGTCAAGTCTCAGCAAGGCGGCCTCACGATTTCCACCTTCGGTAAGGACGACGCAGGCAGCAGTGGCAAACGAAAAGAAGTTCTCATTCACGACAAAAACCGTCCCCGGGCCGGACAATGCCAACCACGGCGTCCTCATCTCCTCACAATCTGCAACAGCCCGATCTCCCATCTCCACACATTCCTTCTCCCTGGCCAGATAGGTAGGTAGGCACGGGGGCCTGCGCAACGTCCCTGACCTACTACCCCAGTCCACAATCTCACTTCCACGCGCAAATAAGAAAGAACAAGCACCCATCAATCAAACCCGAACCGCAACAAACCCGGGAATGACCGTCCTTTTTCTTTTCGCCACACAGGCTCGACAAGCTGCAGCCGAGTCCCCCGTGTCCTGCCGCTCCACGAGGAATGTCCGGCCCCTTCCTCTTTTCTCTTCCCATCAGCCAAGAAAATGGGGTTGTGGAAGGCCTCCTACACTCTTTTTTTCTTTTCTTCTCTTTTCCTTTCCTGCTTCATCCTTGGCGAGCTCAGAGGAGGATGGATGCAAACAAAGTGTGCCCTTCCTCCCTTTGCTCTCTCCCTGGGGGTATCAAAGTGGTGTGTATTCCAGAAATTCGTCCTTGGCCCATCGCCCGAAATTCTCGAGCTTTCGTCGTCGGGTATTACGTCCACGCTCAACATTGTCGTACTTCGCGTTTGGCAGCCCAGTCTTGGAACCCCGACCAGGTTGGAAGCAGTACCGACCCGAGTCAAAGGATGAGCGCACTCGGACTGTGAAGATGTTGTAAAGGAAAGTCGTTTCCTAGGAGAGACGTGAAAGTCATGCAAGTGCGTTGAAATTCGTTGCTTTTCGGTGTCATAGGGTGCAAGAGGGGTTCGTCGACTGAAGTAGGTGTAAAGACCGAAAACGCCATGTAAAAAGTGATTCGTTAAGGCACCAGAAGGTATAGCCAAAGACCCATACGAGCCGAAGCCGCGAAGAGAATCAAAAGAAATAGTCATGTATCCAATTCATGTTCTCGAAACACTCATTCAAGCTGCCGGGGCGATAGGTGCAGGGACAGGAGCCGGGATCCCGGCAGCGGCCAAATCAACCTCCGCAGTGTTAACCTCCACATTGGTCTGCTTGCTAGGGCAGTCCCTCGAGATGTGGCCGGCCTCGCCGCACTGGTAGCAAGTCTTGCCGGCAGTGCTGAGAGGGCCTCCGTTGGGAGCAGGGCAGTCCCGGGAGATGTGACCGAGCTTGCCACAAGCGTAACACTTCATGGCCTGTGCCTGACAGTCGCGAGCGAAGTGGTTGGGACCACCGCACTTGTAGCATGTGGCAGGGCGGGGACCTCCACCATACCCGCCACGGCCGTAACCACCGAAACCACCCCGGCCGACGGGGCCTCCACGGCCCATACCAACGCCCGCGGGGTTAGGGCAAGCACGCTGTGCGAGAGCGTTAGTGACAGGCATCTTGGAGGTGAGGAGGCTGTTGATGTAGGGGGAAGGCAATGTACTCACAGCCAAGTGGCCAGGCTGCCCACAGTTGTAGCACCGACCCGCACCGGCACCGCTCAACCGCAGGGTTGGGCAGTCGGCCTGAACGTGACCCAGTCCTTGACAGTGGTAGCACTGCTTGGCCTCAGTCGTCCGGGGGAGAGGGCACTGGTTCGACTCGTGTCCAGGCTGCTTGCAATTGTAGCAGAGGCGCTCAGCTGAAGAGCAAACCTCGGCGTAGTGGCCAACATTGCCACATTTGTAGCAGGCACGGCGAGAGAGCGACGACATCTTGACGGTTTGGGTCTGTTGAGAAATGCGTGGTCAGCGTCACATGGCATAAGACGCGTAGAGTGCGAAACTTCAATCCTTGATCATGGGCAGTGGTCGCGACAAAAAAGGAGCCCATCCCGAGTAGTGGAGGCGCACCCGCTGGTGCCGTGCAGCTCGCCTGAAACGATAGTTGCCATGTCCGCGAAAGCGTCAAGGAATGAATGAGGTCCTGCGAGGAGTCTCCTATCGGCGATATTCAAGCTGCATGGCTGACAACCGGATGGTGTGCACCAGATAGGGCCGGTGGCTGACGTTGTAGCTGCCCAGCTTGCCAGATGTTCGAGGACCCTGCAGCATGCATGCTGCCTGTGTAACGCGCTGGCGGGGAGCTGTATTCGCCCTGTTGTAGCAACATGCGCCTTCGCCTGTCGATCTTGCATGCATGGTATTTGTGACGTTGCCGGTACCACGAACGCTAACGGTCAACCACGAGCCGGGCAAAGGCGCCAGTTGGACATTTTTCGCAACGGATAGAACAGCGAGGACTTGTCGCAGTGTTCGTCGATCAAGTTTGGGCCCGAATCCGCTGGTTCGTTGTCGGGCGGTGACGGCGCAAGCCATCATGTGATGAAGCTAAGAGCCGTAGCGATGCGTCGACGCCAGCGCCCTGAGCATTGACTCCCGACGACATTTGTACCATATCGTTGATTCATCGGTCTGGATGGCAGACTGCCGTCGTCGAAGAAGATGCTGGTGACAATGCGCGGTTTTTGGTGACATCTTTTTGGCGGGGTCCCCGGCAGATCCGCTCTGGCGCAGGCGACACGACATTCGGCATCCGCGCCGGGAGCTCCAGTGAGTTCACCGGCGATATGGACGGGATTCGCCGTGTGTCGCCGGACGTCGCAGGATGTGTGCTCATAATCGACGGACGGGCAGAAGGGATTCGAGGTCGAGATGCATATATCCAGGCAGGCCAAACAAGCAGGGCAAACGGGCGCAAGGAGAATCTTCCGTGTACTCACAAGATGATAACGATGGGGGAGGGGAAAAAACTCTGTCGTTCCAAGCACCAACTAGGTATCGGCCTTCTTCGTCACGATGTTCAACCTTGATCCTGTCCAACGGCGACGACCACTTCCAGCTCTCCAACTCGCACCAAAAAACCGGAAAGCTTCCTCGGGACGGGTGTGAAGGATGATGGTATTTGAGGAGGGAGGGAGGGGGAGGAGGAGGGAGGCCTGGAGGGCAAGGGAAGGTGCGACATGATGGATACCTATACGCAGAACAACGGGGCCTGTGGGCAGGACCCGGGCACGACCTGAGCCAGCATGGTGGACCCGTGAGGCGAGCGGCTGCCCACTGACTGCGTCCGCCGTCCCCGGCTGCTTGCCCAGATGGGGGTAGACTTCTGCAGTTGTATTGACTTGGGTCTAGCGCATGAACAGGACTGGTTGGCTGGGTGCTGTGCCTTGCGCCTGCCTGCCATTCCAAGATTCCTTTGCCAGCCTTTTTTGCCTCTTGGTCCCCTGCCCCCCGTCCTTGCAGCTGTACTATATTAGAGCGGTATGGCCAGAGGGCAAGAGCGAAGGCAGCGTGCAGCGTGCAGCGTGCAGGTCCGCAGATGCAGCCGGGGGGGGGGGGAGGTTGCACCGACCGGCCTGCGGCTGAGAGAAGCTGACGTCGGCAAGTGCCCTTCACGGCATCGGAACCACCGCGCATGCAAGGGGCGCAAACATTTCCCCCCTTCAAATGTCCATCATTTATCTGAGAACGCTGGCCAACGCTGGTTCACGCCTAGCGCCGTAGTGGCGCTGACGGCAAGAGGTACAAGTACACTGGGTAATCGAGTTCAATCTCCACCAAAATCCCGAGGCCCGCCAGATAACACATTCATCTACATCCATATTGGACCTGAAGGCTGTGCCAGAAGTCGGGACGAGAACACGGCCCGGAATTATTGTTTACATTGAGAGCGTGTGCAAGGCGCTGACACCGGAATGAGGCTGGATTCCTACCAACCCAAGGGATGGACGATGCATGGATGGATTGCTGGCGGTTTGTTGTTGGCGGCTGGCAGAGCCCAAAGTCAAATGCGATGCAGCTCACGAATCAAGGCAACCAACCGCTCGAGCGCCAGTGTCTCCTGCGACTTGCTCAGTCTTGTTTCGTTGGGCATCTTTGCGCACGGCGCGTCGCACTTCTCCCCGATATGCACGACCATATTCGTCGGGATAACACCAGGCCAGGTTAGTCTAGATGTGCGTGTATGCCCGTGGCTATAAAGTCTATACCAGCACGGCAGATATCTAACCAGCAGCAACGCGGTCGATTAGTAGTTGGTAGTTCTGTGACCCGGACATCTACCACCCCAAGAGAAGCGCGTCTGGAGCGACACTCATCGCCACCGAAGCCCGCTGATCAATCCTCCCCGCCCGCCGAGGTCTGTATCCGTAGTTCGAAGTGCCGAAAGGAGGCCTTCAGCCGGGACTCGGAGAGCTCGCTCTCGGCAGGACTGGGGGCTTCAGGATCCAGGTCTAGATCTAGGTCAAGGTCAAGGAAAGCCACCAGACTCTAGCTTTCGCCCTGACTCGAGCTGCAGGACCGTCACTGCAGGTTCACCAGTGCGCGTCGACGCGCTCGAGGACAGGCCTCAGGAGCATCAATGCTCCCAAAGCAGGGCTCTATCCCGCATTTGCAAGGATCGCACCCGCCTGTCTATTTACTTCTTCGCCTCGTCCCAGCCGAATCAACGAGACCGAGGACAGAGAATCTCGAAGTATACACATCTGGCGGGGCTTCAAGGGTCTGGCTGTGTAAAATTCGCGAGTGCGCGCCTCATTGCAAAGCGTCGTTGGCCTCACACGGCCGCGTCACGTCGCGGCTGCCTCGTGGCCGCCGATGCGGATAGCCTCGCGCGAAGTCAGGCCCGGACCCAGTCCAAGGCTCCAACAGGTGGGCCGGGTACCTGGCCGAGTATTTGAAGAAGTGCATGGTGTCTTGCAGTACGAGGTTGTATCTTGTCTCTATTCATCGCGAAGCACAGCCTCGGTCTATGTGTAGCGAGTGCGTGGCTCGTCATATGTGAAGGGGACCTCTTGCGTATGCCTTTTCTTGGTCAACAGGCCTACTCGGTGTCTCGGTGTAGCGTCGGTGAGCCGATCTATTGGTGGAATGGGCCAGGCGAGACGATATCTTCACCGAGACAAAGCTGCAACCAGTGGCAGATTAACCATAATACAGCCGCAAAGCCACTCACTGGGTGTTTACTCAGGCACGAACATGTCATCTTTCCGAGACGCACTATTGGTGTGCCGTTGTCTTATATTAGCTCCCTTCCCATATGATTTGAGCGAGCTCCTTTGCAACCACACGACGCCTCCTCCTCCGTGTCTGGGTGGTTTCTCCACCTGCGCGCCCCCAGGCAATGAATGTGTATGATGCCAATGCCGCCATCTTCAGGAAACAAACAAATCTGGCCACCGCCAACCAACCATTTTCGCCCCAAACACCGATGCTAGAAATAAATGTAGGACAGAGACAGGAGCCGCCAAAACGGCAGACTCCCCAACGCAACAACGCTCTCCCAAAAAAGTCGAGCCGCGACGCAATTCACCAGCGTACTCTTACATACATACATGCAGCGGCAGCATGATACAGAAGACATATCCACCGGCCCATTTTTAGTCAACAATTAAAACCCGGGCGCGGCGGCCACCCTCCCCGCCTCGGAAGGGTGCACCGGCAGCGGGACCTCGGCCGTCGGCGCGATGGACCGCGGCTGCGCCTCGATCACGTACGCGACCCCGTCCTCGGACGCGTACGAGGGCGGGCGGCGCTGGCCGCGGGGCCGCGAGGACCCTTCGTCGCCGGACGTGCTCGCGTCGTCGCTGCTGTCGTCGTCGGCCGAGGAGCCGGCGCGCGCCATCTCGTGCTGCTCTTCGGGCACGGCGGGCACCTCGGTGTTGCGCTCCCAGTAGATGCGGTTGGGGTCGACGCGCTAGTTGTTGAGGTTCATTAGTCTAACGCTGCTTGAATATCCAGGGACACGGCGCGACCGCCTTGTACTTACCACACTCTCCCTCCACAGCCCGTAGGCAGGCGGATTTATCTTGGTCGTCTCGCTCTCGATGCCCGCGGCCTCCTCGTCGCGCGCGAGGACGACGCGGATCGGCTGCCGCGGGATCGCGTACCCGCCGGGGCCATACATCTGCCTCAGCGCGTTCCGGCGCTCCTCGTCCGAGGAGCGCTTGGGCCGCAGGATGAGCAGGCACAGGCGGATGAGGCCCTGGCAGAAGAAGATGGTGGCGAACAGGATGATGAGGATGAGCAGGACCGTGAACTCGCTGTTGTTGATGTTCTTGGTCAGGGACAGGGCCAGGTCTGTATGGCATGGTTAGCTTGATGGTAACGTGCTGGGTGCCTGTGTCCAGGCGTTGTGTTGGATAACACTCACAGACTGCGAGCAAGGACACCAAAAACGTCCCCGAAATAAAGCACTGCAAAATCTGCGACCGGACCTTCCGGCTCTTGATCCACGGGAAGCAGAAGAGGAAGTGTTTCGGCTGAGGTCTGTCGCTATCACCGTCACCGTCCTCGACATCCCGAATACGCCGCCTCCTTCTCCGACGCCTCTCACTGCCCCCAGAACTACCGCCTTCAGAGCTACCGGGTACCTCTAGGCGATCCCGGTGCCGGCGGTGCCGATGTCTTCGGCTGCGGTCACTTCCGCTTCCGTCTCTCGGGCGTCGTCTCCGTCGCCCGTCGCCCGCCAAGTCGGCGAGGCTCGACTCTGCTGGGTCTGGGGCGTGGAATCCGCCGCCGCCACGAGGTCGTCCAATTTCGCCAAACAGCTGGCCCGCCTCACCGCCAGTGGGCCGCGCGACAGGTGCGGGCTCGGTGACCGTGACGGTCGGCAGAGCTGGCCCGGTTGGCCTGCACACCTCATCCGGAGACGGCCGCAAGGCGGGGTGGATCTCGTGGGGAAGCGGCCTCGACGTTGGTGGGCCGTTGGATCCCTGCGTCCACGTCCTCTGAAGCATCGGAAGATGCAACCTCGTGCTCGGTAAATCCACTATGATGCTGTATCTGGAGGGCAGCGTCGAGTCTCTCGGGCGGGATTGCCTCTCCAGATCTTCGTCATCTTCCTCCTCGGGATAATGGCTGCTGCTCGGCCTCGGGACGGTATTCGACCGGGAGGCTCGAGCAGTGCGTGTGCCTGGCCATTCCGTGCCGTTGGCACTCGTTGCTTGCGTGCTGCTCGAGAACCTAAACCTCGAGGGCACGCTTGGTCGTCGGATGCCTAGTCGTGAGAAACCACCCTCCTGCCGCTCCGTCATCTCGGGCTCGAGCGAGTCAGACGGGTCTCCTCGAGGAGAGAGGGGCTGGTTCTCGATATCGTCGGGCGAGGACCGGCCGCTGGCCGGGTCGTTCCGGCGCAGGATGACTCGGCTGAACATCTTGTCGGTTTGTTTGCTGTGATCAGTCTAATTTGTTCGATATTGACGGGTCGACTAGATCCAGGTCGTGGGGTTATTGTGACTTGGTTCCATTCATGACTTTCTCAATTCTTCTTCGATCGAACGAAAACGTGGAGAAGTTTTGGTTCGAGGACCGTGTTATTGTCCTGTAAATGTTGTTTTGGCCGTGATACTAAAGACAAGGCCAGATCGAACGCCGCGTCTCGAGCTGACAGTTGCGACCGTTACACCTTTCAATTTCTCAGATCCGAACTTAGTAAGTAGTTCCTCGACGCTCAGCCACACGGGCTCAATAATGTCAGCTCCGGAGGTTATTCAGAGACCAATGTCTCAGAAAAATGTATTGTCGGTTCGTCGTGGCCTCGGCGCCACTTGCCAGCCTGCGAGGGGGTCCGTCCGTCGGGCCGGAATATGTATATCGATTGATATCGACGTTGTGGAGGGAGCCAGCCGTTGTTTTGGGACGCAATACAGTAGAGAATATCAAATATGGGGCCCAGATCTGTAAATTCGAGTAAAATGAAGGGTGGTGGTGATCGGCTGCGACGATCCTTTCTGAATCGTCTATGTTTCCTCGACGGTGTTTTGTCCAAGTCGACCACGAGTGGGAAAAAATGAAACTGGGCAATAGAAACTGAAGGTCAACCCGTGGCTCGCAGAGCCAGTCGCGAGTAAAATTATTGTCGTCGTAGGATTTGGACTCGACGGGAAAATAAATTTGGTACGTCGAGGGCGAAGAAGGCAGCCCTGTGAGCAGTCGAACCAACAAGAATTACAAAGATGTCTCGGGGAAGGATCGACGACGAATTGCAATGCTTCAACGCAGTGTGCAGACGCCAATATGCAGTCCTCACATGAGAGTGATAGCTGGCATGGCTGGTCCGCCAGTCAGTGGGAAAATTGTGGACGTGGTGTCCTGTGGATGTCGAGGAAGACGGTGGTGAGGGAGAAATGGTTCGTGGACAGGAGCCCGTCTGGCGCCGCACCAGGCAAGGCAGGAGGAGCATGCAGTGCCCTGCAGGTTTGCGGGTGCCTGTCTGTACCTGTGGTACCTGTGTGGGTGTGCCTGGTGTGGGTCAAATGGATGGATCCCGCAAGATGCGTTCACACCTGCTGCAGGTCCCCCAGGAATTCATCTCCCAAGATTGGATTCGACCGGGCCTTGCCAAGGTCCAGGGGGTCAGAGAATGGCAGACAAACAAGAGAGACCGAACCTGCGAAGCCGAAGCCGAGGGAGGGTGTCCGTGTGGTGCAGGGGCCCTCTCGCTGCCTCTGCTTCATCCACCCACAATACGCGCACAATACACCCACACGCATCGCTCGCTTTGGGTGCAAAGTGGTGCAGACGCTTCCCCAATCCGTTAAGCGAGTCCGGATTGACAAACACATCATCAAACGAGTCTCATCATCATGACCATGACCATGCCACCATGTCGCTTTTGTTTATATTTAACAATTTCTCCCCAATGAAGCAAATTCCCACCCTCACGTTTCTCGTATCCAGCTCCCCCAAAGTCTCGGGTCTGGGGCTGGCCTGTGGTGTGGCCGGCTGCACAGGCGTCGCTCAGCTCAAGGTGCCGTGGCTTTCTCAGGTCCGTCCCATGTGTGCGTGTGTGTGTGTCTGTGTGTGTGGTGTGCAAGCTTATTTCACCTTGAATCCACTCTCTGGACCCAATCTTCCTTCCGACCATCATGCAACATGACCAGCGCAATTTCCTCTGCCACCTGTCTGTCCCTTGCATGCATGCATGTAACCTCATACGCGCCCTTCCCCCTGGAGCTGAATCCTAACCCCAGATCTCGAACCAAGAAAACATGATGTGAGCAGTGCACAACACGGACGCTCGCCTTCCAAGAGAGTCTCCATAGGGGCCGAGCAGCAAAAGCTCAAGATTGGCCAGGCGCCACACCATCCGTTACAGCTTTCCAGGTTGGGGGCACATAAGCTGGAGCTGTTTTACATGAATCAGGGGGCCCCCCCAAATCGTGCGGATGCAGGGGGGGGATCCGAAATCTTGGGGTGCTGTTTCACCTTGCCCTCCGTGGCGGTCCCTGGCCAATCGACCGGCCCTCGCTATCGCCAAGCACTTGTCTTGGTGTGACTTCTGCTGGGGAGTGGGTGGTGGAGGAGCAAAAAATTACCTCGTGGAGCAACATTTTGAGTTATGGGCTGGGAGAACATCCAGTCCAACCCGTTGGGCCTGCTGTTTCTCACCTTCAGTTGAGTTTATCTGCAGGTGCCGGCGGCAGCCCCAACGTCCACTCTCCTAACTTGGCGCGTTGTGGAGCGTCATCTGCATGAACCAGTATGACTAGACAAGAGACAAGGCTGAAGGCATGATCGCTAACATTATTTTGGCTTTCACTATGGCGCAATCCGACCAAGGCGAGGCTAGGGCTTACTCCTTCGCGATTGATTGCCGCCTGCAATTGTGACTATCAAGTTTCACAAGGCGTAAGGCGTAACGAGCTCCGATCGACTCCACGAATGTGGGATCAGATGGATGGTGAGATCGCGGGGCATCCTGATACAAAGGGCGATGCACGTGGTTGTACGCCAACAGGCATCAAACATTCTCCTTTCCCGTCCGAAGTCAGACCCCTACAAGGCGGGCGACACAGCCACAATGGCCTCTGTGTGTGCCTGGGTTTCGCGAGACCGCCCGTCGGTCCCAACCTCACCGCGCATTGCGTTTGTGCCACTCGCCCAGCGTCCTCCGAATTCCGTCACGACCTTGAGCCGCATGCTGCGGTGTCCGGCTCGGCGAGGCAGACTCTCCCGGGGGCCCGAAAAGGGCCAAGACTCGCGTGTCATCAGCACTTCAGAATTCCCCGATATGCTGGACTCACTCCATGGCCCACACACACTGGCCTGCCAAGACGTCTCAATACAAATTGAGACGAACGCCCGCGATTTCTTTTGGTCTGCGAAGGCCGCATCATCGGACAACCTGGTCTGTGCTCTCGAGTCGCGATGCTGCTGCCACTCATATTGATAAAACACAAGTTACCTCCGAACGTCACATCCTCACCTCAGCTCGCCAAGAAGCATTGTCCGATCCGCCGAGGCCGATAAGATGATGGGGTCTTTCCCGGGCGCGAACTCGGCAACATTGACAGTGCCTTTGTGGCCCGGTAGCTTGTAGAGCAGCTTGCCGTTGTCGCTCGACCATATAACGACCGTACCGTCGCCAGCGCCAACAGCTATCTTCTTTCCGTCTTTATCCCAGCTGGCCTGCACTAGGTTCTTCTCAATGCCCACCTGGGCGCCGTCGAACGTGCGGATGTGTCTCTCTGTCGGTGCAAACGGCCGAATATCCCAGGTCCGTGCCGTCGAGTCCATTGAGTATGACAACAGACTTTGCGAGTCAGGTGAGACCCTGAGCGTGGTGATGGTGTCCTGGTGTCCCAGCATGGAGTACACCACGCCCTTCTTCCGTATATCCCACACCTTGATGTCGTTGTCGATACCGCCTGAGTAGATCTCGTTTCCGGCCTCGGAGATCGCGACCGCGGTGATTGGGAACTGTGTCTCGATATAATCTGCCGCGTTTTTTGTCCTTGGATCCCAGATGCCTATTGTGCCGTCGTCGCTGCCACTTATCAATGTCTCCTCGCCGCGCTTGCTGATATCCAGTGTGTTGATGACCTCCTCGTGACCAACGTAGCGCCGTATCCTTTGCCCAGAGGTCAGATCCCAACTGGCGAGGTGCATATCCGCCGAGGCGGAGAAGAGGATCTCCGAGTCACGGGACCATTGGAGGTCGAGGACGGCGCCGCGGTGGCCGGTCAGCAAGCCGTAGTTCTCGCAATCGCCGTAGGTTCGCCAGAGCACTGGTAGCAGTTAGCAGCTGTCGCAATAAGAGCGACGGCAGGGTAGGCTCACTGATGCTGCGATCCATGCCCCCAGAGGCGATGAGGTTCCCGCTGGGGTCGAACTTTGCGGAGAAGATCTCCCCCGGGTGCCCAGACAGCTCCATCACTGGCGCCTGAAGGCCACTCGTCCGTGGTGTCTGCTGGCATGTCAGCTTTCTGCAAGACGCGTCGCGTAAATTGTGCACCTGCGAACATACCGACTGCACCAGGGCACTGCTCCCAGAGGCATTGGCTCTTGCGAGAGCCCTCTCGCCCAGGTTCTGGCGCTTGACCACCAGCTGGCCCGAGGGGTCATCGGACGCTGGTCTCTTCTCGGCAGACATCGTGTCTCGGTGGGTCGGCCTTCACGGACAATGCCAGAGAGCGGCGTTGAGGCTTCGGGGGTGACACGGGGTCCGTAGTTGTAGGTAATGGCTGTTCGACTGGCTTGTTTACATTTGCGCTGCTGTACTAGGCTCGCGGTTTGATAGCTGAGATTTTGGACGAGAGGGCGGCAGGCTGGTCTGTGCTGCGGCCTCTGCCTGCCGGAACTGGACCTCCCTGTAACCACCGTCACCGACCCTCCACCAGAACGTCGCATTGATAGTCAATACACAACCCTCGAGCGGTACACATCTCTTCGCCCCATCTCCTCTAAAGATCTTCCACACTGGGCGTCCTTTGGTGCTGATTTGGATGGTTCCATGATTTGGCGTTGATCGCGGCAAAGCTCGGTACGAGCTGCTGACACCCTCGTTGTCACCTTCGCCATGTCTGCAAGCAAAGCTGCCCGGGTGGGCGAAGAGTACGTGCGATGCTAACCGTCCCCCGTGGTCTATCCCCCCCCAAGCTTGGCCGCCCTGCTATTCAGCCTTGGAACTTGATCGGCTAACACGTCACAGAATATGGAAGTAAGCACTGCATCCGAGACCGACAACAGGTCGACTTCCTACATATGCGCCGACGAGACTGACTGAGCCACAAGGACACGAATCGACAAGGTCAACTCCGAGCTTGTCGTGCTCACCTACGGCACCATCGTTGCACAGCTATGCAAGGACTTTGACAGTGACTACGTGGAGGTCAACAAGCAGCTGGACAAGATGGGCTACAACATCGGGCTGCGGCTGATCGAGGACTACCTGGCCAAGTCGAACACGATGAAGCGCTGCGCAAACTTCCGGGAGACGGCCGAAATGATCTCCAAGGTACGCACTACCCCGGTGACGCCCCGTCAGGCTTATTATGGAAGCTATGTGTCGGAAACGACGGCTGGACAACGGGTTAACAGCGAGGTTGCATCTAGGTCGGCTTCAAGATCTTCCTCAACATCACACCCACCATAACGAACTGGACGAGCGACAGCAAGCAGTTCTCGCTGGTCTTCGAGGAGAACCCTCTCGCCGACTTTGTCGAGCTCCCCGACGACGGCCGCGCGCAGGATGAGCTCTGGTACTCCAACATCTTCTGCGGCGTGCTGAGGGGTGCGCTGGAGATGGTGCAGATGCAGGTAGAGGCGCACTTCATCAGCGATGTGTTGAGGGGAAACGATACCACCGAGATGCGGATAAGCCTGATCCGATATATTGATGATGAGCTCCCGCCTGAGGATGACTGATCTGGCACTCAAGCTGGTGGAAGTGGGCATATGATGCATTTGCTATTTTACAAACGTGCTCGGGAATTTACTTATTTCCTGCGGGCATTTCCCAAACAGTTTGAGCCAGTCGGCTTTGACGCCTGGGACTTTCATGTTGCGTGGTACCCTTCGCTCACCATGCCCACTTTCTACGAGGGTGGGCTGAAAAGGTTGGTCACAATCGAGAGTATTATGACCGAAATATCAATAGACGGGGTGTGTGGGAGCCTCAAGGTGCTTTCGAGAATTCTAGAGCGTTCAAGATGACATGCTTCTTCGAGGCGGTGAAATACCGCTATTCGTGACTATGCCTCGACATGGTGTGTATTCTGACAGGCGCCACCGTTGGGTCACTGCATGAGGCCATCTACAGGCGCCTTCCACAGGCACGCGGAATAATGTCCCTGTCACGCCAAGAAACAGTATAAAACACCCGGAAACAAGTTTAAAGTGCTGACCCGAGACCTGTCACCGGCATCAATCTACATGGGAGGCAGGCGAGACATCCGAGGATCTGGTCACGTTGCACGGCCGTGGGAGGGTTGGCGTCGGTTGGGTACAGCTTGGTGGAGTGAAGAGGGATGGGCGCCAGCCGTTGTCGTGTCTCGGATCCTTTTCTTTCATTCTTTTGATCGGTCTCTTTGCGCCTCCCCGTCCGAACCCGTGAACAATGTGTCGCGCGTGCCCGCATTGCCGTTTGGTTTCTCCTCAGTGTGAGCCGCTCCATGTCGTTCTGCGGGCCGCGCCGAGAAAGAGAAAGAAGCAAGCAGGCTCAAAGAGGAAAGGGGCGTAGAAGGCCGTAGAGATCGCAATAATATTGGGTCCACAAGAATCGTGGCTCAGCTTGACGTGCGCCGTCTTGTCCTGCCCGTATTAAGCTTCGCTCTGGAGCTGTTAATCCTGGTCTCGTCTGTCTGTTGGGCCCTGGGGGAGAGTGGAAAAGGGCATCGGGGCCGTCTTGGTCGCCCCGATTCGGCACCTGCCTTCTGCGTAGGGCTGTGATGGTTGGTGAAAAGATAAGCTTACCGTGCCATCGCCGTAAGGCTGAACTGGGATGTGGTGTAATATCGGGCGGATATGGTGGACGGCGCAGCAGCACAAGGCAGTCATGAGGCTCAATCTGGGACTGTGCCGCATGTAGCAATTGTCGACGGGGCCCCTATTGCGGACTTTTCGGGGCCGCTGCAGGAGAGTCTCTCCAACATGTGTCTGGTGCATTCTTTTTTTGACCTAGCATTTCATGTGTTGATTACACATGTACTACAGCGCGCGCGGACACGACCTAATGCAAGGGACGGCGGAGGTTTCCTCTGCCCTGACCCATTTCCGGGATGGATGTGCAGAGCCGGCCCAGCCGGAAGCGGGCTGCATCTGTTAATCGCCCTGAAGAAAAGCTGGACCTGGACCCTTGGAAAGGACCCTGGTGCTTTCGCCCGCCGGCCCACGGGTTGGCCAAGGGGGGGTTGAAAGCAGAAGAGGAGACGGAGGATGGGGCCGTGGATTATTCTGGGGCATACGACCTCGCTCGCTTCGTGAGGATGAGCCACAACGTGGCATATGCATGACAGCTCTTCGGTCCTGGCAGGTCAAATGTAACCACAGCACAGTGGTGTTGGATATGGAAACGGGCTGCATAACGGCAGACGGGAGCTCGCGAGGGCATGCAAGGACCGGCGATGGGTAGCGACGGGCACGTCCGGGAGCAGTCTACCCTATATCAGAGTCATGATGTGACATGTCAAGTTGCATCGACTGTCGACGCCCTCCCGTGCCGTCCTGTCGACAAGGCTTGATCGGCCGGCTTTGGCTCAGATCACCTCAACATCTGCTGTCCATTGACGTGGTCTGCACGCAGAGAGCCCGATCACGCCACGGTCTGGTGGTCAATGGGTAGATAGCACCATGCTGGATGTTTGTCCGACGGTCAAGGCTGCAGCTCCCAGACAGAGAGGCGATGGGAGCAGGCTGCTCATCTCTCAGACGAGAGCACAAGCTCTTGCGCAGATGAGCCCCAGCACCGATACTTCCTTATTGTAGAAGCCGGTCAGCTAGCCTGGTGGAGAGCCAGAGACGAGAGAGATGGCGTTCGGAGCTGTGGTGGAGTCCACCCCTTGGTCGACCATCCGCTAGTTGTGGATATTTGCATATCGAGATGGGCGGGCAGTCTCCAATTTCACCCGCAACGGATGGCATCATTTGGCATGAAAGCTTATAGATCCCGGCTGGCAAGGGTCCAGGGGCCTGTCCTGCCCTGCCCTGGCCATGCGCAGATGATTTCCGACGTTCCAATCCATGACCCATGGCCAAAAGACGGGGAAGCGGCTGAAGAGCACATGGCGATTGCAAGCCACAGGGAAAAGCACGGGTCCCAGCACGAACTTTCCTGGATGGCGTAGATATAGCTAGGTATGTATCACCTGCAGGACACTCCGTCGAAAACCCCATGCAAAATAGGTGATGGGATGTTACACGGTGGCCGGATGAAGACGGGGGGCTTAATCTGCGGTAACTGAATACCGGGCGATGGTTGCGAATAAGATGCACCGTTAAGGCGGTGTCAAGGTTGCAGCAGCAGGGGCCGTCATGGGGTATTATATGGGCCGTAGCCTATTCGTATCTATGTCCGTCTTGTGGACAGCAATGTCCCGCCCTGAAATGACCAAATTTATGATTTCATGGCTCTTCAAAATAATAGGCTGGTGGTGAAGGGTCTCGCAAAACACCTGCGCATACATTTGCAACTCCAATTTCACGATACGTCTATGAAGCCGGAGTCGGCGGCCGGGACACTTAGACGTTGTAGCCGTTTTATACGGGGGAGGGAGCAGGCGATGCGCAGCCCACGCCGTCGGCCACCTCCCCGCTTAGATGCCTAGTGTCTGCATTGATGCCTCATGGTCGAGGCACCCAGTCCAGAAACCGACCGTGATCAAAACTACGCAGGCTTGGCCACCCCCAGTCTTGGGTATGCCCAGGGAGCTTCACCCAATCTGCAACATCCATCAAGGTCTCCTGTCCCTCTCGCTCTGAAGTTGTTCAGTTCCAGCGCGGCTTCATCGAACACACAAAAATCAGGCCCGGCCAGATTTCCTCTCTCCTTTCCCTCACCTCACCTGTTCCCCCCCTCCATATCACCATTCTTCCCTCCTCCCTCTCAATTTGCAGCTCGCCTGCCCTGCACGCCTCTGGCCCTCGCATCCCATTTGCCCGTGCGTGTACAGTGCGTGTGTGTGTATGTGTGTGTTCGTGTGCGTGTGTCAGACTGCACCAGCTACGACAGGACCAGGCGTGTCAGGTTGGATGTTTCCTCTTTTGCGCATCAGCTCCCCGTCGGTCAACCCATCTGCACAGAGCTGAAAGAGAGTTGGAGGTGCAGCGAGCCAGGTGTCAGGGACACGGGAGACGGCTCCACGCTGCCCACGCCAGCCCTCCATCCAAGCAGCAGCAGCAACAGCGCCAGCAGCAGAGCATTCGGCCTTTGCTGCGCTGCTGCACATTGGGACGCTACCCGCAGCCCGACCACCTACAGAACCTGGTCGGCCACGGTCGCCTGCCTGCGGGATAGTCTGTCTGCCTACACTACAACCAGAATACTCTGAGGCCACCGCACAGCTTCCCCAGCTCTCAGCTTCCACCCAAGCCCGAGCATTGCTACCTACTCCAGTCCCACCCGCCCACGGACTTGCAGGGCACTGCTTGCCGGCCCTCTGCACTCCTGGCAGTGCTTCTCAGTGGAACCCCCACAGAACCACAGAACCACCTGCAATTCCAGCACTGGCTTCCCGGCCTTCCAGAGCTTTTGCCCGGACCACCCACCACCACCAAAAGGGACTCTCGACCCCCGACTATCGACCATCGGAGGCTCACAGGGCTGTCTGCAAATCTCCAGCCCTCCAAAACCCAGTCTCCGGCCCTGCCCATCCACACTGTGCTCCCCCGCCCCCCAACCGCGCGCCCAGCACAGTGCTCCGGCAAGCCCAACCCCCCTGTTTTGGCCGTGCTGGATCTTCGCGACCAGCCAAAGCGAACGGAGGTTGGCCCTCTCTCTCATCATTACTCAACTCAAACTCAACTCGACCTCTCCCGTTCCAGATCAATCTCCTCCTGACGGACCTCTGACCTCTCTCGCCTCCGCCCCCCATTTCTGGTCGATGCCAAATCCATCGACTCATTTGGCCACGCCGACCAAGACCCACGACCACGTCCACGTCCAGGACCACGACCACGACGCCGACCGCACTCCCGCCGCCGTCGTCTGTCGCATCTCCACCCTGCAGTGATCCATCTGTCACTCTGTCCCTCGACCTTCCAATTCCATCACGCGTTTCAGACCGGCAGCCTTCTCTGCGTCTGCGTGCATCCCTACCCTGTCCTCTTCTCTTCCAGCCTCGCCAATCCATCCCTCTTTTTTTTTACCGTCCCACCCACACATGCACCCTTCCATCCCAGACAGCAGCAGCATCAGCAGCAGCAGCCTCAGCAGCAGCAGCCTCTCCAAGAGCTGGCTCGGAAATTAGCACCAACTACCGAGCACGCCTATCCGCTGGGCAAGGGATCCGAGTTCCACGACAAAGTCCGCCTCCGACCAAAATAACCTCGTCTCGCTGAGACTCAATTGTCAAAGCGTCCTCGCCCGCGCATCCGACTTTCTCCGCCTCTCCTGACACCGACCTCGCCCTCCGCTGCGGCAGACTTGTTCTGCGATCGCAGACGCGCCGCCACGTAAGGATGAACAACGTCAATATGGCCAACATGAATCCCATGGGTGGCGGGCCCGTCGGTCCTGCCATGCCGATGATGAACAACAGCGCCGTCGCTGGTCCATCTGCGCCGCGACCGCAGCAGCAGCAGCAGCAACAGCAGCAGCAACAGCAGCAGCAACAGCAACAAGCACAGCAGCAGCAGGCAATTACCGAGAACAACAGACACTTGCTCAACACCTACATCTACGAGTATTTCCTGCGCAATGAGATGTACGATTGCGCGCGCTCCCTATTGAGCTCCGATTCGCAGATCAAGCTCCAGGATGGTCCCAACTCTCGGCGCGACGAGAACGGGAACCTGCTCGGCAACGGCGTCGGCGAGTCCATGGATGTCGACAGCAAAGATGGTGTCGACGCGAAACGGCCCGACGACCTGCCCCAACCCATGATTGCTAACCTCTCGGTCGACCAACCATTCCTCTTCGAATGGTTCTGTCTCTTCTGGGACATGTTCAACGCCCAGAAGGGCAAGAGTGGAAACGGTCAAGTCAACTCGTATATGAACCACACTCAGGTATGTGTAGCTAGCTCGCTTGTTCGGTCTAGGGCCCGGGCGGCCCTTGTCACGCAATTGCTAAGATCCCTCGTAGAACCAATCTCGAATGCGACAAAGTCAGCAACAGGAGCTTCTGCGCCAAATGAGGCCGGACTTGACGCCGCAGCAGCAGCAGATGCAGATGATGCAGATGCAGCGCAACGGCGCCATGGGCATGGTCAAGCCGGGCAACAACCTGCCTCGCACAGCCATGGCCAACAGCCAGAACAAGTGAGTGCGACGTGATGTCTCCACTTTCAAATGTCTGCACAGTTGCTAATACCAACGCCTCTCAGCCCCAACATGATGCAACATATGCTTCAGCAGCAACAGAAACAAGGCCAGATGCAGCGGGAACCATCGGACATGGATGGAAACCGAGCACGTCCCTCTTCCCCCGGTTCCGCTGAAAACGCACCTTCTCCCTCCAAACGCATCCGTCTCTCTGAGGGTGGTCCCTTCAACCCTGCTCAGAACGGCATGATGCCTAACGGTCGACCAGCAGGGCAGGGGATGCCAGGCCAGCAGCAGCAGGTAGGAACCGGCCCTTCGCAGCACGCTGAGCAACTGCTTCTTCAAAGTGGTATAAATCCATCAACGCTGAACCCTGAACAGTTCGCAACCTTTCAAAATCAGTCTCCAGCGGTGCAGCAGAAGACAATTCAGACTTACGCGGCGAACCTGCAGCAGCAGCAAAGCCAGCAGATGGGCAAGCCAATGCCAAATGCTAACGGCCCTCCTGGACAAGGTTCGCCCATGGTTGCTCAGGCTCCTGACGGGGCTACTATCAATTCTTTCTACAATGCCGAGGGGATGGCTGCTGCACCCCCAGGTGCGATGAGGGGCCCCGGCGGTCCCAACGCCACCCAACAGGCTGGTGGCAGCAACCACGCCCTTCAGGATTACCAGATGCAATTGATGCTCCTTGAGCAGCAGAACAAGAAGAGGCTCATGATGGCGAGACAGGAGCAGGATGGTGGCAACAGCATGCCAATGCCCAGGGAGGGGCCTGGCGGTCCCGGAGGTCCCGGAGGTCCTGGTGCACCTCCCGGAGCCAACGCGCCATTCCAGAGCGCCTCGCCTCAGGGCGCCAGACCTGGGGCGTCTCCAAACCCTACCGACATGAAGCGAGGTCCCCAACAGATGAACCCAGCCGGCATGGGCTCGCCCCTCCCCGAAGGCGCACAGTCTCGCGGGTCGCCCAACACCATGAACTTCATGGGCAACCAGATGGACCCGACCCAAGCACCACATTTCATGGGTGGAGGTGGCGGCGGCAACATGGCCGGCGGGCCGCAGATGAACGGCATGCGACCGCCAAGCTCGCATCCAGGACAGCCGCCGTTCAGCGGCCCGATGAACCCTCAGCAGCAGCAGCAGATGATGGCTGCCCGTCAGCAGGGCCAGATGGCTGGGCAGCCAGGCCAGCAGATGCAGTGGCAGCAGCAGCAACAGCAGCAGCAGCAGCAGCAGGGTGGCCCAGGGGGTCCCAACGGTGCTCAAATGGTCCCGCAGGGCCAGACGCCCCAGCAAGTGCAGGGAACGCCACAACAGCGCCATGCTGCGATGCCTCCACCGGCACAGCCCGCCGCCGCAGCAGCTGCCGCAAACGCGCGAAACACTTCGTCGCCACAGGTCAGCAACGCGGCACCGCCGACACCTTCTCAGTCGACAAAGGCTGCACCCAAGAAGAAGGAGACGAAGAGTCAGAAAGACAAGGTGAGAAGTCGATTTGCCCCCTTTTGCGTGCATATCAGTGTGTAGTAACGTTTTCTAAACAAAGCGCGCTGCTTCTCAGAAGAAGTCAAACCCGAACCTCAATGCCGCCGGAGCGACTCCTGTTGCGGAGCCCGCCGCCTCGGAACCGGAAGCCCCTACGCCAGCGACGCCCATCACTCCTGTCAACCCGCAGCAGCAGAACGTCAATAGGCCAGGCCCGAACGCAGGACCTCCTCAGCCCATGCCAAACGGCCAAGGCCCTGCGCCTGTGCCTCAGCAAGCCGCACCCATGGTACCTCCCGCTGACCCCAACCAGAACCAACCATTCAACATGGACATGCCGGTAAGTACCCTCGAAGGAGGGTTGAACTCCCCCTACTGCAACCGCCTGTTGCTGACTTCGGACGTGCCCCAGGAGTTCGGCCTTGATTTTGCCAACCCACTTGCAACCAATGATGTGCTGAATGACTTTGACTTTGACTCCTTCCTCCACGATAACGAAGGTGACGCAGGCGGGTTTGACTTTTCTGCAGCTGCAAACTTCATGGATCCAGAAATCGAGACCTAGAAGCTCTCGTCAGAGTCTGGTGAAACGAACTTTGACATGTTCAATAGAGAAGCAACCTGACCGGGATCCTGATCCCACACCTTCATCCGGGACAGGCGTTTTACAACACTTTTTGTCGATACCCCAAAACAAACATGTATTCTTACGATCTTTTTGGAGCCGCCCAGGCCGGCGAACACCCTTTGTCGATATCTGAGGTCGGGCTCCCCCGATCAGACACACCAGATGTCGAAAGGTGTTCAGCTTAGGGGCAACAACCACGAAAGCTTGACCCATCAACCTCACACGCCGTCTGACTATTGGCCGCGCCATCCTCTACCTCGCTACAAATTTACTTACGGTCGGGCTTGTTTTGATTTTCACCGGTGCACATGGGATTTCATGGGGTCTTTTAGTATAATACGTACCTGTGATGGGAAAATTCCACGGCACTCTTTGTCACACTTTTTTTGTGGGCTTGGTTCATACATGGGTTTGAGATAGTCTAATGTTTTTGTTGTCGCGCTGCTGTTTGTTTCATCTGCGCTGCCATCCATCTCACTCGCGCCAGGCTTCATACTCGGCTCTTTTTTTCAACAGGGAAGCAAACGAAACACCTACCTGACTCCACATCTGTCTTCCTTTTCCTTACTTGTTTACGAGCGAAGGGCATACCTGGGCTCCGCATCTGACGAAACGAATCACTGTTGAAAAAAAGGCGAGTTCGGGAAGGAGAGCACGAGTGGTCGAGAGGGAGAAACTGAGGCTATCTACCTGCTCGGGGGGACTTGATTAACGCTGAGGTGTTTGGTCCGGGGGTGGGGTCCGGAGGCGTGCGTGTGAAACGATGGAAAGGCGAATCCGCGTTGGGGAATCGGTGTACTTTTCTACTTGTAACTTGGTGGTTGATAGTAGTCAAGAAAGAAAGTGATGTTCAAGTCCACTGTCTACCTGCCCGGGGGCGCGGCTGAGGGCGATACCACGTCTTGGTGATGAGCTTACTCTGAACCACTGTGTATGATTTCTTCTCGCCGTGAACGTCAGCCCACAGCGAAAGTAGACCAGGCGCATGCGAAAATAGGTCGAGATTGACATTTGTGGCCGGAGCGAAGCCGTATGTGAGAGTCCCAATTCAGTGGCAATCTTGTCAACACAGAGAGGGAGTCAGTCTTGTCTGGTGGTGGATTGAACCTGATCGTCTCCTTCCTGTTCTGTCTGTGTGGCCCAGCTTGGAGACAGAGGTGACCTTCGGATGAGCATTCACAAAATATTGTGTCGTAGGGGCGTCTGTGTCGCAGCGACTCTGAGACATGCAATTAGGTGCCACAAATTGTGCCATACTTTTCGCCAGAGTTATATACTGCTTGCAGGATGCTGAAGCTTTATTATCGCGCCTTGACTTGTGTGATTCATATGCTAGGTATGAACGTCTTTTGCAGCTGTCAGGATAGGTAAAAAATTGCTTCACGTATAATCAATCAACTTCCTTTCAAATGCGTAGGAAAGTTTTGAAAGGAAAGAGAAGTACGGCTCTATCAACGTACTGCCATACTTTAACCTCCCCCCCCCAACACACCCGGCCTTCCCCACGCGGAAAAAGTCGATCAAGAAAGATATCACATCTCTCGCTCCCGAGAAGAAATAGTCAAAGCTAGTCGACCATAGGATAAACGCTGTCATGTGACACATGTATGTACTCTCTAAACTTTGGACCTGTGTGCCATATCTAGTGTCCACTATCGGCCGTAGTAAATACTTGCAGTACTGTGCCCTTTATCGAACCCTCTCAAACCAAACCAAGGGGCCATCCTCTCCCTCCAAGCGCATGTCGACCCCTACATGCATTACAATACCACTCGAGTCCACCTGGAACTGGACCCGTAAACAGGCTTGAATCACTTCAGGCACATCCTTGTCGAACCCAAAGGTAAGCCAGAAATCGCCCGTCTTGTGCTCCAGATACCCGGCGACGCGCTCCGGGTGGTCCCTCGACATCCGCAGTCTGCAAGGCCCAGCCTCTGCACCTGCCGGGGACGCGGTTGAGGGGGCAGTGTCATTGCATTCCAGGCTAACGAACATGTCGCCGTATGCCACGTGGCGGAATTGGCCGGTGTGGTTCGCTAAGGGAACAGATGCTGGTAGTGGTGGATTGGGAAGGTCGGGGTAGATTCGGTCGGAGCACGTCGCGAGATTGTGTGCGTCGAGTGCGTCCTCTTCTTCAAAACTGAGGTATGTTAGTGAGAGGCTCTGTTCACACCCGGCAGCGGTGGTGTCTCACTGAGATTCCCAGTCCCGTCGCCTGCTCTCCTCCACGCCAAAGAGGTCATAAAGAACGCGATACGTAACGAGCTCTCTCACGTGAGAGTACCCGTTGGCCATCACGACTATCCCATAGCTCTTGGACGGTACCATGACCATGAATGTCACAAAAGGGACCACGGTGCCGGTGTGATAGAATATCTGATGGCCCTCGAACACCGCAGACATCCAACCTAGCCCATATGTCTCTGGTCCCACGAACAGGCCTTCGTGGAGATTATGGAACGTCCTCGGCTTCTTGAGCTCTCGATGGCCCTCCTTGGAGATCGGACCGGCCTCGGTCATCATCACGCGGAGGTACCTGGTGTAGTCGAGCACGTTCGAGACAACACCACCGGCACCCTCAGCGACGCGTAGCCAACGGCTAGTTACCTCCTGCGACTGCTTGACGTACCTACCGGTGCTATTAATCCACAAGTAGCCGTCAGCAAGCTGAGGGCCGCGAGACCCAAAAAGAGAGTCCCAGTCCCCGAGGAAGGTCTCCTCCATGCCCATCGGGCCCCACAGGTACTCGCGGAGGAACTCCCCCAGGCCAGAGCCGGACAGCGTCGAGACGAGGTACCCGGCAGCGGCCCACATCATGTTGTTGTACTGGAAGGTGGCCCGCGGCTCGGCGGACATGGGGAGGTGGCGCAGGCTGCGCACCCAGCCGCGCGTGTCCTCGGCGACGGCGTAGTCGTGCCGCGGGTACCCCGTGCGGTGGCTCAGGCAGTCCTCGACCGTGACGTGCGCCGTGGCCCAGTCGTCGCTCAGCACAAAGTCGTCGCGCAGCAGCCGCGACATGGGCGTCGCCCACCCGACCGACGAGTAGTCGGACGCGTTGTCGACCAGCAGCGACAGGGCGGCTGCCACGAAGGACTTGGTGGTGCTGCCTGCCCAGAAGAGCGTGTGCGGCGTCACTGGTGTTGAGGGGAGTGAGGCGAAGCCGAATCCCTGGGTTGAGATGTGAATGAATTCGTTCTCACTACTCCCGTGATGTTGGGGGAGGGGGGGGGCCTTTGTGGCAGCGACGTGAGAGAAGCTTACTTTGGCCCAAGTCTCATTGCCGTCGATGATGGCGACCGCCATGCCGGGCGCGTGCCATTTCTCCATGGCTCCCTCGATGTATTCCTCAAGCGCCGATGTCGAGAATGGCAGCCCGCCCGTGAATGCTTCATTGTCGACATGACCCAGCGGCTGCTGAGATGGTGGCTCTAGGGCCGCCACAGCGCTATACACCAACGTAGAGATCAACGACATACCAATTGGAGTCTTCATTCTTTCACTTTTGTCATGAGGATGTGTTTTCTGAATCTTGTGACGAGGAAGTTGCAAAGTGGAAGTATTGCGGCAGAGTTGGAAATTGACCAGGTGCTTATTTCATCCGAGTCTTGCCACTTCCATGCAGGTCACTAGCGCTATGCAGTTGTGAACGGAGACGGAAGGTCTCACACACCGATTGCAAAATGACGACACCAAAAGATACATGTAAGAAACCAATTCCATATGTTCGAGGTTGCTGATTGGGATAAGCCCGCTTCTGGGAAAATATAAGACGGCGGGCGGCTACTGCATGGGGGGGTATTTTGCGAAGAGGTCATTTGGTCTTTTGTGAATAGTGGCCTTCTTGCCACCAAGCACCAGCTTTGCGTATAATGTCACATAGTCTTCAAACACTCTTCATCGGAGTGCCTCCCGACTTGAGTGGCCTTCTTGAAGACTTGTAAGAAGACGAAGGAAACGACTCATTGCGTAACCTCTTTTGGCCTTGATTAGTCCCTAGAATATACATGGGTAGTGGTTCCTCTTTCAAACTTATATCTGCACAATTTAATCTGTATTTGTGTGGCATTGGTCAGAAAAGTATCTTGTGGAAAGTTCCGTTGCAAGCCTGGCCTCCATTCTCGGCCACATAACAGAGCACAGGATAGTATGTCAAGGGCCAGTAAATGCAGGCAATAGTAGCTGCCGGTCTACCGGTTATGCTTCTGCATTAGAATTGAGCCCTGCCACTACCAGTACTCACTCATGCACTACTACTGGAGTTGAGGTGCTCACAAACCTGGCGCAGCTATACCAACACTCCACGCAGGCCCTCCGAAGCCCTCTTCAACTCCTACGCGCCCCAGCAGTACCTCGATGATCCTAAACATGGCCGCCGCGTTGTATCGTCCAACACCATGCCCTGCATAGGCGACATCCACAAAGCCAACACCCCTCTCAAACACCCACTTGCCCATCTCCCCGCTCCTGCCCGCACCCTCAATCTTCGCGAAGCTACTCCAAGGCCCGTTCTCGTCGCTGGCATTGATGCCCGAGTGCGGGATCTGCAAGGTGTTGGGCGGGTACCCGCTGAAGCCCTGGGCGCCACGCCACGTCACGTTCTGCATGGAGAACAGTGTGCCGTTGGAGGGAATGGGCATGTCGAATTGCCCGTTCGCGACTATGCTCATACCTGGTGTCCGGTCAAAGACGCCTGGCACTGTCGGGGCGCGTCAGCTTATCAGGTTGGGAAACGCGTGGAGCAAGAGAACTCAAACTGCGACTCATTCTCTAGAGCTGCACGCATCGGGAACATGACGAAGCCACGGAAGATGGCACAGAATATGGAACGGTATGACTTACTGACGGTGAGCTGTGACCGTGGCGATCCATCTCCAGAAGTCGCGTTGGAGGGGTTCGTAAACACTGGGTTCGGGCCGCAGGCCTCCCACTCGCGTCCCACAGGTGCGTGGATGGCGTCTCGCACGACGGTCAGGTTATAGTGAGGACCTTGGTCGCCCGGGTTGAGCTGCGGGTCTTGGATCCCCGCCTGCGTGAACGGGGGCAAGGGGAATGCATCCTCGGCATTCCAGGTCCAGAGGGTGGGACAGGTGTCTGTGGTGTGATAGACGTTGAAACATGGCTCTTGTAGGGTCATCACGTCCTCGATGAGGCCTCGGATTCGAGATGAGAAGTCTGCTGAGTTGTTCGCGCTGGGGAATACGCCCTTCGGAGGAAAGGTGAAATGTTCCTCGTAGAAGGAGGTGTAGCCTGCCTCTGCGTGTTGGCCGCGCATGTAGTCCAGAAACGTGGAGTTCGGTTTGAGAAGGTTCTGCCAGTACTCTGTGAATGCCAACATGGGGACTTCGTTGTCTTGTCAGTGGATCTGCCCACTTCTGCGTTTGGTAGCACTGTCAGTCGTGCAAGACAACATACCCTCGACGAGAGGAACGTCCTCGTTGATCGCTGGGTCGTAAATCATCGAGCCTTGCAGATTGAAGCACGAAGTGTCTTCCCGGTCAAGCATCGCACTCGCAATGTAGGGCACATATTGCTGTCGAGTGTCAGTATTTGCTTGCTTTTGAGCACGTACATCGTGTGGAAAGAGTACCTACCAGGGGGGAGGGGGGTTTCTGACTGGATCACGCAATGCACTCATATTTTGACATTTAATTGAAATTTCGTAATTTTAGCAAAATGCTAATAAAAGGCTATTGCAATATTATTAAAAGGAAATTATATTAAGGCTTTAAATCATATCTATATTAACTTTATGTTAATATTAACTTTATGTTAGCTAATATTAGCTAATATTACCGTAAATTTATATTAAAAGCTTTGGTTTAAACCTTATTAATATTAAACTTAGTTTTATTTTTAGTTATTTCTATAGTTTTATAAATCCTTTTATAGTAAATAGTTAAGCTAGTAAAGAGTAAATAAATAGTTGGGTTGGGGATGAGAAAAAAAAGAGGTTTTTTTTTATCTTTATGTTAAGAGTTAACATTATATTATAGCATATTAGGAATAACTATATATTAATAATATATAAATAATGCAATATATATATAAAAAAAGCATGTTAAAACCTTGATTGCATATTACTATTATGTTATTATTCCATTAATATATTGATGCGATGTTAACAAAAAACCCCCCTCCCCCTGGTAGGTAGTGGGCTGCCCGCTATCCAGATTGTACTTACGCCGGCATAGCTGACACCGGTAATATAGGTCTTTGCCCCGGACAGGCCAAATGTATCAACGAAGTTCTTCCAGAACCCAAGAAACTGCTGAGCTGTCGCTGCAGATCCCGCACCCGTGACATTGCCCTCGGAGAACCCTACAGAAACGGGCTGGTCGACATCTTGGAAGAAAGGAAATCAGTCGCCATCCACTTTGCATAGAAAAGGCCCAGAATACGTACAGACGAGGTTGGTCAAGCGATTCCAGGACCAAGGGTTCTCGGCAGGTTGCCAGGTACCAGCCCTCCATACAAAGGCTCCGTTTTCTCCAAGACCCGTGAGACTAGAGCAACCGGGCCAAAGCCACATTGATTAGCATGCACTATATGATACTGGGTGCATCAAAGCTTCGATGATCTGCCACAGCCAGCAGGTATATCTTTGGACTACCCGCCATATGCAGACAACTTACTCCGCCGTTCAGCCAGATCAGGACCTCATCAGTTACTTCGGGATTCTCGGAAGGGAAGAACCAAAAGTACAGCTACTGTTTTGTGGTATTTCCTGACGGAATTGTGCCGTTTGTACTAATTACTGCCCACAGGCAACACGCCACCGTATGATTCACCTATGTCGAATGGCACATATGGCGAAGAAGTCCCATTAATCAGGAATTCTACGAGTACAGTTCAGTATCAAAGACAATCATCACAGCATTTACTTTCCGCACAGAACTTGCTCTCTGTTGCCGGGTTGAGGAACGAGCGCTTTCTATGGGCAGGCTGTCGTGAGACGACTGCTCCTTGAGTGAGAGGGGAAAGCTGCACCGCAATGAGGGCCAAGCGAACGAGAGACTGTCCGAAGAGCTTCATATTGAAGGCGACTTGATTGTATCTTCTCGGAGGATTGAGGCTAGAAAACGAGTGTATTCTTGAGCTGGGTCAAACAAGTTGAAAGAATGAACATGTGCTGTCGACAGAGGTGGAAACATTTGATAGCCTCGCCTACAACCATCTCCATGACGCTCCTACCCCACGCAGCAATTTCGGGTACCCCTTTTGCGCACATTCAAGGTGGTCTGCCGTGGAAAATCAGTGGGTAGGTTGCCCGCTTGAACATTATCAAAGCTTATTGATGCATTGGCACACCTTAAAATCGACGACGGCGAACCCTCCACCGGGCCCGGTCACTTCATGTGAACCACGACCCCGAGCCCTCGGACATGATAGAACGGACATTCAGTTTGGTGCAAGACGAACAAATTGTGACCCGATAACTCCACAAGCAACATCCAATTCCGTGTCAAACATCATATCAATCGCGTAGTTAGCTGATATAAACATTGAATGCCCACGGCCCAGTGGGAGAATATGACCAGAGACGCCGCCAAAGCCTTCAGCGTGACGGAGATGGTCAAGTTCCTGCGTCTTCGCGGCGACGAAATCCGTCCCCCGGGCGGAACTCTAATCCTAGCCTTCCCGTGCCAGAGCGAGGGCGACCACAGAGTGTGGTGGGGACTGGGACTTGCCATGCGCGACGCCTTCTTGTCTGCTGCTGCGGACGGCTACTTGGACAACGATGTGGTTCTGAGGCACGGTAATTCGATGGGCACTCGCACGGTCGAGCAAGTCTACGAGGCGCTGGAGGAAGTCAAGGGCGTATGGTCTATGGAGCACTTGTCTCTCAAGGACGCCTTGCACCCCGGCTACTCCAGCTACCTCGAGGCTTGTGCCGGTGCCGGGGAGGGCCAGAAGCGAGAGGCCTACGTGCGATTTGCTCGGACTCTTGTTGATATGACCTATGCCGTTTACACCCCCTTTCTCCTCCAGGCTGATCAGGAAAGCGAAGCGCAATGGCCCAAGCAATGGTGCAGGAGTCGGGGTGTCTGAACCAGACGAAGAAAAGGAGCTTGTCGAGAAGCTCAAGCGCAGATCGCTTGATTACTATTGTGAGCGCGAGATGGGATCACCGTTTTGGATTCCTTACATTTATATCAAGCTGGGCCGGAAATAAGGACGCTTTTGTATCTACGCACAAGAGCAAAGTTTCATGTACCTCTCATCGTTCATCACAAGTGGCATGAGTGAAAGTCTAGTCATTGCTGTGAAAATAAATTGTTCTGGTGTGCAACCGGGCGTTGAATCTTCTCGCGGTAATAACATCCAGATATCTTAGGTGAGAAAACAATGCGTGGAATTGACAGATCTTGTGAAATGAGACATTGATCAAAATCGACTGCATTTCGTAGACTAGCCCGAAGTGTGGAACTCATCATTGGAAGTATTGAGCTTGGTTTGGATGCTAACAAATCATCCCATTACCTCTCTCAAACGAACTGAAAATCCCAGCTTAGGCCTGATGGTCAACCCGGTAGATACTTCGAGCTGATAATTCGGGTCTGCAAACTCGATCTGAAAGCGAGCAACCCAGGCCAAAAGGATACATGCGAACTCTCCCCTCGCGAAACTGTTTCCCAGACAACTACGAGGGCCGGCCAAAAAGGACAGAAACGCGTGGCTACCACAAGCTCCTCCCGTCATGGCCTGCCCAGGTGTCATCCATCTCTCAGGCTTGAACTGTGCCGCGTCCTCTCCCCACAGTTCAGTGCTCACGTTGATAGCCCACGGACTGATTATGACCGGGGTGCCCTTGGGCACATGTTGTCCCAGGATTGTGGTGTCCTTGATCGCCATTCTGATTGTCCGTGGCCCTGGAGGATAGAGCCTCAGGACTTCGTTGCACACAGCTGAGAGATATGGCAGACGGTCGATCATTTCCTTGACACTCGTGTTGTCGTCACCCATTTGGTCGTAACCGAATGAGGGGAAGGTTTCGAAAATCTGTTGACGCATGCGAGTCTGGACTTCAGGGTACCTGCACATCGCGTACATGGCCCAGGTGATGGAGGCAGCTGTGGTCTCGTGGCTAGCCATTAAAGGCGTCATGGCCTGGTCCACAAGCTCTTCGTCACTGAAGGCGTCTGACTGCAGCAGGATGGAAAGGATATCAATGCCGGGGCTCAAGCCTTCCTTGCGCGCCTGCCTCTTCCTCTGCACCAGATCTCCGGCAATCCGTCGAACTGACGCTCCGCCTGTATCAAGTCCGTCGTCGTTGCCTTTGATCAGACGAAGGTCCCCAGATGAGAAGAGCATGGACAAGAGCATCTTGACACCCGGTGTGGTCTTGGCCAGAAGGACATTGCGTAGGTTGCGGTAGCAGGTAGATAGTTCCGTAGTAGTAGACGTGAATGTGTCTTTTTGATTAACCTTGCCTTTTGCGTGCTTGATCCAGCTCTCTGACGAGTCCACTGAAAACACGGAGAATTCGTACCAACTTGGTTCCGTTGACTGATCGGTGCCCATACGTCGAAATTGCGTGATGACTTCAACCTCTTGGCCAGGATTCAGTACCAAAGCTGTCTTGATCTTGACATGACGCACGGTGAATCCAGCGGACTGCATTGATGTCATCTGACGAACAGCTTCTCCAGCCATGCATATGTATCCCATTGTGGGAAAGATGGTACCGCAACCTGTCTCGTACTGCAATAACCAGTCGACAAGGTCGGGCCGCAAGATGTTTCGCCAAGACGGGAATTCATCTGTTGACTCGATCACACGAGACCCAAGCAAGTCGTGATGTGGGAATCTCCTTAGTCGGTAGCCACTGGAGAGTCGGCTCTCACGCCAAAGAGGTTCTTCGTAGTGCCAAGGATACAGGGGGAGGTCAACGAGAGTGCGACCGCGGCCTGTGATGGACTCGTAGGCCAACGGAAGACCTTGTAGCCATAGGCTGCCCACAGACTTCATGACATCTGCTTGCGAGTCGTTGCATCTTGTCAATGTGCTCACGTACTCGTAGTCACGAGATCCCAGCATGTCGAGGTTCTGCCGCAGCGGTCCAGCGAGGGCAGAATGGGGCCCAATCTCCAGGAATACCTTTCTCTCGCTCACAGTATCGACAACATTGGCGATGGCTGTCGAGAAGCGCACGGGGGACACAAGGTTGCGGACCCAATACTCCGGACCGACCTGTCCACCCTCCACTATGATGTCTCCAGTGACGCTCGAGAAGAAGGGAACATTTCCAGTTTTTGGTAAGATCTTTCCACTCAAGAGCTCACGATATGCCGACGAGATGTTTCCCATGTGGTCTGCATTGCCGGTAGCAGCCCGCAAAGTCAGCAAGATTTGTGTGCTGAGACAGTTGCAGCCGAGCCTGAGTGCCCCAGGGTGGATGAAAAATACAGAAGGAATTTTATATCGATGGGTTTTAGGGAAGACTCACGCGAAAGGTATGCCCTGTCAACTCGCAACTCACGGACCAGTGCATCAGGGTTATCCTTCTTGATGGCCTGCATCACAGACTTCACGGCCGCTGCGTCGCCAGTGATGGTTGTGCTGGAAGGGCTATTCTCACAGCAAAAAACAACACCTGGCACGAGATACGGAACAGTAGCTTCAGGACTGAGCCCAACAGCGCTCATAGAACCGGGGTGGGATACGACGTCGAGGTTGGCCACGGCCTGCCCTCGGTAATAGGCAATAAGCATCGCTTCGTTAGCCGTGATGAGACCTGACGTGAACGCAGCAGCAATCTCGCCAGAGGAATGGCCCACTACGGCGTCTGGATGTATCCCATACTTGGCCAGAAGAATGACCAAAGCCACCTGCAAGGCTGTGCAACATGGCTGCGACAACTCTGCTTTCGAGAGTCTGCTCTTCTTGCCGGTTGCCGTCAATTCTCCTGTTGCGTCACGTCAGCCAGATGCCTGGACTCATTGGAAGGATTCGAACTAAGAGCTGCCCAGCAGAGGAGGGCAATAGTAGCATAAGAGTCAAAACTAGAAATTCCATACCCAGTAGTGACCATGCTGGCCCATCATCAAGGGTGCGAAGGAATGATTCCAAGCTCTCAAGTGTTTCACGATATTCCGCAGTGCGCATGAGGGCTTGCCCCATTGTCGCCCACTGCGCACCCTGACCGGTGAACATGAAAACAACTTTGGGCCGTCCTCGGCTCCCCGGGAAAATAGAACGGCGAGAAATTGCCGGAACCAGGTCGTCAAGCCCGTCGGCGACGCAGAAGGCCCGGTAGGGCAAGTGGTCTCGCTTGACGGCGAGGTTGAAGCTCATGTGACGCAGGGAGTCAGGATGAGAAGTAGGATACGCCTCGTGGTCTTGGATGGACTTGCGCAGGGCACCCGGATGCTTCGCCGAGCAGAGAAGCAGCCTCGGCATCAGCTCCCAGTCTTCTAATTCCGCGTGGCCATTTGGCAAGGCGCCCGCGCCCGGGATATCGAGACCGCATTCTTTGGCAGATGACAGCAGAGCCGGGTTGAGGGGGTCAGCATGCACTCTACGCTTCATAAAGCTCATAGTTCTCATGTTTGATGTAATTCGTAGGCACCAAGGCTTGGTGACTCGCAAGACTCTACTCACGACTGCATTGGAACCTCCTATGCCAAAGGAATTGACGACGACGAGCTCGTCACAGTTAGCAGGCCAAGGTTGCGGCTTGAGAGGAACTCTCAGTTTGCATTCATCGAAGGGTACTGTAGGTCCCTCCCCGTGTCAACTAGACCCACTGCAGGGTCAAAAGAAGATCGGAAACTTGAGGCACCTTACTCTTTGGATTTGGGGTCTTGAAGTTGATATTGGGCGGAATAGTATGATGCTCAAGCGCCAGTGTCATTTTAATTACGCCTGAGAGGCCAGAGGCTCCTTCACCATGGCCGAGGTTGGGTTTGACCTTGGGTGGAAGAGATCAGTTCAACACACGAGACAAGGGCTTGTTTGACCAACAACTTACCGACCCAATGTGGATCCCCCAGTCTCCAAAGATGTTTGCAATCGCTTGCGTCTCAATTGGGTCGCCAACCTGAAGGTCTCCCGTGTCAATAAGGCAACCCGATTTGCAAGTGCTGGCCCGGGGAGTGGGTAGCGAGTGTTTACAGTTGCTTGAGTGGAAGAACATGGTTGTCACTCATACGCATGCGGATGTGGGCTTCTTTGCGGATCCTAACGGTATGTGACCACATTTCTCCCATTCCACGTTGAGGTGCATTTCTGACCGATCGCCATGGTAGGCTACCGTACGATCTTGGGGAGGGGTGTGGTGGCTAATCACATCAAGAAGGCCATCGGGTGAATGCTTCCAAACATGCTCGCTTCTTGCCATGAGGCGGTTGGAATTCCGGGTTTGAGTCCTTCCGATTTTGATTGGGCGTTGCATCCTGGATTACCAGTCATAGTCGACGGCATCAAAGAGATGCTTGAGCTGGAGGACGATCACGTCCGAGTGACGAATGAGATCTACAAAAGCAAGGGCAACTCTGGCTCTGTCTCGGTTCTTGCAGTATTGAGATGCTTTCCAAGAGGCCGTGGAGGGATCACATCATTTCGGCTGCGTATGGTCCAGGTATCAATGTCGAGATGGTCGTTCTAAAGAGATGCCCTAGGACTGATAGCGATAGTGACTAGATGGCTGCTCACATGGTTATAATAGGCTGACTCAAATACACATTTTCTTTACTTGTTGCTAGCCTCCAATGATGTTGAAAGACACCGCTGAGTACCTCACATTCTTGAACTTTTCATGACCATGCACAATAGTTAACTACACAGGTGAACGGCTTACCGACCTGACCAAGCCATTCTGAAATACCTAAGCCTCCCTCAAAGCTCGTCCTCTCTCAGGTCATCAACGTGATCATCCAAATCGGCGAACAATTTCACGCCCCATGACTTGCTTGGGTTGTTGAAGCGGGCTTTCTTGTCGTGCTTGGCAATTTCCTTCAACTCTTTGTCGGTAAACTTGATGTCGAGAGCTCCGAGGTTGTCCGTCAAATGCTTCTCAGAGGTACTCTTAGGGATGACGATCGTTCCTCGCTGGATGCCCCATGCCAGCACAGCCTGCGCGGGAGTTGCGTTCTTCTTTTCGGCAATGTCCGTCCAGAACGAGTCCTTCAGCAGAGGCTCAAGGTTGCCGTGCTTGTTGTCGTAGGTGGGATTGGTGTTGCCGAGAGGCGAATACGCGATCACCTTGATCCCGACCTCGTTGTGGTAGTCGACAAACTCCTGCTGTTGCAGGTAGGGATGCGTCTCGAACTCGTGGGCATACGGGCAGATGTCGCAGATATCGAGGATGGCCTCAACATCCTCCTTTGCGAAGTTGGATATGCCGATATTCCTGGTGAGGTTGGCCCGGACAAGGTTTTCTAGTGTCCGCCAGGTGTCCACGATGCTCGTCTCCTTGTCGAGCTTGGTCCCCTCGTCTGGGACAAATGCCACAGGCCAATGGATGAGATAGAGGTCCAAATAGTCGAGGCCAAGGTTAGCGAGAGTCTCATGGATCTGCTTCCATGCTTCGGACGTCCGGTGGGCGCTGTTCCACAGCTTGCTTGTCACCCAGATGTCCTCGCGAGGGAGATCGGCTGCAGCTAGCCCTTTGCCTGTCTTATCCTCGTTCCCTGTCACGAATTGGTCAGCTCACTCGGCTCAATGATCGCTCGATGAATTGGGCGGAGAGACGTACGATAAATCCATGCTGCATCGATATGGTCGTAGCCATTCTTCAAGCCGAACTCGACGGCGTGGGGGACGCGGTCTCTGTCAGAGAGCCAAGTGCCCAGACCGAGCGCCGGGATATCGTCTAATGCCGCGGCGGCGGCTGCAAGCAGTGCAGAGCCGAGGACTGTTCTGGTTACCATTTTGCGTGACTGGTGAAGAAGACCTCTAGGGAAAATGAATGAAAAGGCCAGATGCTATTTAGTGGTATATAATCGAGGGAGTTGTTGGGAAAAAAAGACATCTTGAGAGTCGATGGCATCATCGCGGTATCATGGGCCCAGCCCCGCAGTCCAGGGGTCTCACTGAACCAGATCGGCGATATGCGGCCGGTGTGGCCCCTTCGGTGAGACGTCACATCAACTGGACGGGACGAAGGATTGGATTTCGATTTCTAATCCTCCAAAAGTTTCAATTGCGGTCCTAGACGATTAAGTTACATGTGAAAATTCAAATGTACCTACTGACATACGTCTGATGTGTTGTCATAGTCTTAGATAGATGTTTTCAGCGCGATAGTCGATCCTTCTACTTCGTGGTAGGCACCTCGTCTGTCTGCACGTTAGATGATGAAATGCTCACAGGTCTACCCACCTTCGATCGATACTACTCATATTTGAAGTCCGGGTCTTGCACGGACAGTCGTACCGTGTTGCACGAGAACGAGTCCCAAGAGTCGCTTGTGCTCACATATCCTCTGAAAACCCGTATACCGGTACTCCTGACGTCCATTAACCCAAATCTACTGTCGTCGTCCAGCATGAAATCTGCTCGATGCATAGTAGATTAAGTGAACGAGAACAGTCGACCTTTACCTTCCCAACCCCCTTGCGATGATTTCGCACCTTTCACACGACTGGCTTGTATCATTCAATCCGCGGAAAGCCCCCGAGGGCAACTCTGTTCATGTCTTCACTAAAAGGGGCCTGCGTAAGTATATGAAAGCTTTTAATAAATATTATGGATATTCCATCATGTGATTCTCACGCCCATGGAACGGAAAAACCACCTCAACAACAAAGCCTGTCTGTAGTTACAGTCGGATATCCATAACAGGGGACGAAGACCTAGCCTCGTATCTCAAGCTCTCACGTCTCACCGTCTCATCCTTCTCCAGCTCCTCCTTACCGTGCTTCGAAACTCCCAGTCATGCAGGAACAGAGTGTTACCCTTGGCTGTCGTGACCGTGATGGTAGGCAGCTCCTTGGCGCCAGGTTTAGTGCTGTACATGTTCTGCGGGAAAGGGAGCAAAACCGATTTGTCTTTGTAAAGGCGCCCCTTGGAGTACCTCTTTAGCATAAAGCGTTTGAACACCCTTTGAGCCTCTTCTGGGTCCTGCAGCCATTTCAATGGGTACCTGCAGTTGTTGGGAATCGTTGGTAAAGACATGACGATCTGAGAAACGGTGAATGCGAAGTCAAAGATGTGCTAGATACCTGCTCGAGTAATTGGGTTTAAGAGAGATGGAGTTCTCCCGATGTAAATAAGCAATGGGCATCAGTTTGCAAATATGTAGTTTTGACACTGGAAGAAAGAAAAACAGATCATTGTTCGAAACGCAACGAGTTGGTTTGAAACAATGCATTTTGGGTTTTTGTTTCTTAACGGGATACTTCACCTTACATAGTTATTCTACCGTGATTTCATTCTTAGGATTCTTTGTCATTACCGTCCCAAACGCAAACTTTGTGCTTGATCCGAGGCGACAAACCAGATTTCCCGGGGCAATTCCGTTATCTCTGTGATGTGAAGAAAATTCCTCTTGGATTCTTGTGTAGCATTTCGAGGTCTACTGTGTTTCCGGTAGATGGGCGCTGCCTCATGATAGTCCATCAGCAACCAGACTTGAATGAATTCCAGCCAAATGTGAAACCCAGCTACGATGAGAACACACGTGCAAGTGTGTTGACACCACTTTGCATAATTGAAGGCAGTTACATGAGACACGCTGACACCAATGAGAAAGCCTCAACATTGTCTAGAAGATGAGTAACAGACTTCCATGAAAGTCATCATGTTTCACACTCAGACATATGCGTGCCTACGTCAATGATAACTATTTCTGAGGCATGCCTCTGACAGACCACTCGCACTTCTAAACGGGCCATTTCAATCTCAAGTTCAACCATGATTTACTCACCAGCCTTTTCTCTGCACAGGAATTGGGCGGAACCCCTCTGATGGCAACACATGATGCCTCAGGGGTAGCCATAGAGACCGGTACTGTGACGGTGGAAGAGCGCAAGGTTGAGACAGTACGGATGTAATCCCTTGATGTAGATGGTGGGGTCCCCAGAATGTGGTTAGACGTGATGGAAGAGAATTACCCTGCATACCGAGGCTTCTCAAAGCCTCACGATTCGATCTAAGAATGGGAAAAGAAACACTACAGTCACACATGGCTACAATCCTCATGGGGAATTCACTCAGATACAGGCCAACAGGCTTGAAGTAATTGGTATAGTGCATGCGAAAAGACTGGAAATGAATGCTTTAGGAGGATGAAAATCATTGGCTCATTCTAACGCTCTCTAACATCTAGTCTTGAAGTTCAAGTGTCTCAATCGGGAAAGTCAGCTGTGATGACTGACCTGGTAGGCCACGCAAAGGATGAGCCCTCTATCATACTCAGTTGGGCCTGACACCAGCGGGCAACGGCTCCTCTTCGGTAGGAGGCAGCGCGTGCTCCGGGAGCCCAACGCCAATCTCCACGACTTCATCCCAGCTCCAGCCCATGCCGCCATGACCGCTCTTCGTGAGGTCCCACTGCTTCAGGGATAGCTTGTCCACGCCGTCCTCCTTCTCGGCAAAGTCGTAGATACGGTAATCTGCGTTGAAGAACCAGTCGCCCGTGAGAACCTGCCGCATAAAGCCAGAGTGGGAGACCACGATGATGGCCTTCTCGGGGCGGCCGTACAGGTGGCGCAGGCTGGACTGGGCGCGGGCGAGCAGGTGCTCCTTGACGTACGCGTACTTCTCGCCGGCCGGCGAGGTCTTGTCGGGGTAGACGGGGTCGACGTGGCTGAAGTCGATCTTGGGGAACTCGGCGGCGACTGCGGCGATGGGCGAGCCGGTATCGCACGGCTTGGCCGAGTTCTCCTGCCAGCCCGCGTGGGCCTGGATGGGGATGCCCTTCTCCGCCGCCCAGTCGCCGAGGGCCAGCATCGTGGTCTCGCAGGTGCGCCGCATGGGGCTGCACAGGATGAGGCCGACGTCGAGGTCCTTGGGCAGTTTCTCGCGGAGGTTCTGGCTCAGCTGTTGGCATTGCTGCCGTCCGAGCTCTGAGAGCTCAGGGTCAGGGATTTCGTAGTCTTGTGGGGGGCTGTTAGCTGGGGTTCTGCTCTAAGTGAGGAGGCGGAGGGTTACTTATTGGCAACATTGTGCAAGGCTTGGGCGTGCCTTATGAGGATAATAGTAGGAGGCATTTTCGGTGCGAGTTGGTACTTTGACTCAGGTCTCGGTTTAGGAATGAAATAAAACCCTGAAACGATTATCGGCTGCGTGGTTACAATATAAATAGCTGAGAGCACTAAAGCGGGGATGGGTGACTCTGTTTTCTTTGCAGTACAGCAGAGGGAGTCGTGTCACACAGGGCAGTTTGTCGACGGAAAGAGTGACCGATTGATGTCGGGTCGGGCCGAGTGACCGCGCCAATTCGGGGCCGGACAGTGTCAGCGGCCGGCCGGTTGCACCGTCCCTGACCAGCTTCGAGTCGCATATGCAAAAAGTTGGAGCTCTAATCCAAACAACCCTTCCTTGAACAGTCACTCGACAGCTCCAGGACGCCGAATCAAACACCCCAGATCATTCCACTATGACTAGTATCGACGAGCTGTTCAAGGTAAGCTTCTAAGCCGCAATGTCCTCGTTCTGTGGAAGCTTTTCTAACTTGTTTACAGGGGCTGCCCAGCAAACGAAAGGCAGAACCGCTCCGTGACCCTAGTAAGTGCCCACACCGTCTCTCATCAAGTAACCTACTACATCAAGCACGGCACGCTGAAAACCTGCCTTTGTTACCCTACAGATCAAGTCTACAAATCGGCCAAGCTCTCCACGACCGGCCGCCACGCGCAGGTAGAAGACGAAGCAGACGACGACGCCGAGGCAGGCCCAGCCCTGCCCCCACCAGACGGCGAGGATGACGACGGCGACTACGGCCCGGCGATGCCCCCCGACGAGGGTGAGGAAGATGGCGACGACGAGGAAGGGCGATTCTTCGGCGGGGGCGTGACGGCGCAGGAGTCGCGGGCGCTAGACTACATCAACGAGACGGGCGACGACGACCTCCCCGAGGAGAAGATCGACGCGTCGTGGCTCAAGAAGACGGCGCTCAAGTTCGAGCAGCGCATCAACAAGAACGCGACGCAGCGCGCGAAATACGAGGACGACCCGGCCAAGTTCATCCAGAGCGAGGCGGACCTCGACGCCGACATAAAGGCGCTGAGCATCCTGGGCGAGCACCCGGAGCTGTACCCGGACCTCGCGAGGCTGGGCACCGTGGGCAGCCTGGTGGGGCTGCTGGCGCACGAGAACACGGACATCGCCATCGGGGCCATCGAGATCATCGGCGAGCTGACGGACGAGGACGTCGCCGCCGAGGAGGAGCAATGGGACGCCCTCGTCGACGCGCTGCTCGAGGCGGACCTAGTCGGGCTGCTAGTGAGCAACCTAAAGCGGCTGAACGAGGACTCGGACGACGACGCGGACCGCAGTGGTGTGTACCACGCCCTCAGCGTGGTGGAGAACCTGTCCTCCAAGGTGGCTACGGCGGAGAAGATCGGTAAGGACGACGGGCTCCTTAAGTGGCTACTGGCGAGGATACAGAAGAAGGAGAAGGCGACTACGCAGAACAAGCAATACTCGGCGGAGATATTGGCGATCCTGGTACAAACCTCGTCGGTGAACCGGCAGAGGCTGGCAGGAAAGGACGCAGTAGATGTGATGCTGCAGCTGTTGGCTGCATACCGCAAGCTAGACCCGGAGAAGGGCCAGGAGGAAGAGTACATGGAGAACCTGTTCGAGGCCTTGATATGTATCGTCGACGAGCCGGAGGGCAAGACCAAGTTCGTCGAGGCCGAGGGCGTCGAGCTGTGCCTGATCATGCTCAAGGAGGGGAAGAAGAGCAAGCTCGACGCGCTGAGGGTGCTCGATCACGCGGCAGGTGGGTCCTCAGCCACCGAGGTGTGCCAGAAGCTGGTCGAGGCCGGCGGGCTCAAGACCCTGTTCACCACGTTTATGAAGAAGAGCCACGACACCAAGCACGTGATGGTAGAGCACCTCGTGGGGATCTTCTCGTGGATGCTGCGGCTCCTCCCTGCCAACTCCTCCGAGCGCATACGGCTGCTGGTCAAGTTCGTCGAGAAAGACTTTGAGAAGACAGAGAGGCTCGTCAAGGTGCGGAGGGACGTCTCCGCGCGGCTGCGCCTGGTCGACGAGACGATGCGAAAGGAGCAGAAGCGTAGTGCCCTCGGGTTGACGGATGAGGACCAGGAGGAGGAGCGCTTCTTCCGGCGGCTCGAAGAGGGTCTCTTCCTTTTGCAGAGCATCGACCTCGTGCTGGCGTGGCTCATTGCCGAGGATGACGGCGCAAGGGAAAAGATCAGGGCGTTGCTCGCGGATCGGGACGAAACCTTTGAGGTGGTCAAAGCCTCGCTGCAGGAGCGGCAGGATGCCATTGGCGACAAGACATCGCAGAGCGGCAAGGACACCTCGGAGATGCTGGCGACGTTGATGGAGTTTTTGTAAATTCATGATACCACAGATTGCTCGAGTAATGCATCACAGTCAGGCGCACGTACGCAGCCGACAGAAACCAGTGTCTTGTGTCCTCTCTTTTCTTCGTACAATGCGTAATTCCGATTCTGGCGTCCGTCATGTACGGACACTCCGTAGATATGCCGGCTCTTCACCCCCGTATCACCACCCGCCGCACGTCACTTATCCAGTACCAGCAGGCATATTTATCCCTGGGTAGGCGGTACGGGCTTAACGTCAAACACGGCGCTCAGCAGGTCCTTGACCACCTTGTCCTGGCTCTTCTTGCCAGCCGCCTGGATCTCCTTGATCTTGGCCTCGGCCTCCTTGTTGGCCTCCTCCTCGGCCTTCTTGTTTCCTTGGGAGTGCTAAAACGGTTCGCAAGGGCCGTCAGTAATGCTTCGCCGCGTGTAGACATATATAGAGGGCACCGCTCCGCGTCCTTCGGGGTTGCGTCCGTACCTCGGCCTCGAACTTCTTGTACTCCTCCTCCTTGGACGCCCGGTACTGGTCTATCTCCTTCTTGGCCTCATCACGAGCCTCCTTGACACGCTTTGTCCTGTACTCTCGGGCTGTGCGTCAACAGGTCTCGGTCAGCTCAGCTCGTTGCTGTGGGTGCTCTCGATTGGGTTGCTCTTGGGGCTTTCGTACACCTCTGGACGATCTTGGAGGCATCTTTCTCGGCCTGTAGTTGCTGTAAGCCAAACGTGCAATCGCTCAGTCTGGTGCTGGCCGTCGTACCTCGAGAAGGGTCTGGATACCCGCGGAGTTCTGGGCGGACTGTCATGTTACTATTGTTAGCATCCGTGCCTTCCAACGTACTTATCCAAGATCAGGCGGTAGCTGTCGCACCATGGTGAAAGATTGAAAGACGGTTCGAGGTTACTGGAAGACGAGAAGGATGTGGGTGTCTGATATGCAGAAAAGAAAGTCTATCGCCAGGCCGTCGTGGGGAGAGATGGTGCCAAATGCCAGAGAGCTGGATGTCGAGCGGATTGCGGCGATTACGACTTGGGAGTCGAGGAGCCACTGCCAAGCGATGATGGGCTGTGGGACAGACAGCTCTCCAGCGAGTAGCTCCCTGCCGGGGTTTGCTGAGCAGTGGCCCGGCAACTTTGCCTGCCGGCGCAGCTTGATGACGGAGTGCGATTTTACTGCTGTGCTGTATACGAAAATCAGTCTACCAGCAAGACCTCAAGACACTGTCGAACAGGCTCCAGAGGTTCCCAATTATCAATCATTCAGGATGATATTATAGTCTCGCGAAATATAGTCTCTCTTTTCTTTCCTCAAGATCGACCTGCCCAGCCACAATGGCCTCCCGCGGCTCGAAATTCGCCCTCGCCGGGACGTCCCTCTTTGCCGTGTCGACCATCATATTCGTCCACTTCCAGCAGCAGGCCGAGAAATCCGTACGTCCTTTCCGCTCCTTCCTTCCCACCTGACGATCATACTATTGCATTACCGATTGCTCTCTTCAAGTCGTCCGACCCGTTGACAAATGCCACCCGGCTTCCCAGGCAATGCACCAAGGCGTCGTTCGCGACATGGAGCAGCAGCGCATCAAGCGCGAGAGGCAGCTCGACTTCGACCTGCAGAGGCAGCTGGAGGCCGAGTACAGGCAGGAGCAGACGGTCCGGAGCTCCATCGAGGCAGCCCAACAGAAAGACGGCGTGAAGAGGTAGCAGTAGCAGTGGCAGTGGCAGCACGCCGCCAGCTGCGTGTGCCTCCCGATTCAATGCGACCGCCGCCGTGCGAGGAAGATCCACCGCCCAATATACCCCGTCAAGATAGGATGAGGTTCCCAGAGAACCGCCAGGTCAAGCACCCGCTGCATGGGCTGCTGGGTCTTTAATAGTCCTACCTGCTTGGGCGAGCGCGAAGTCGGACCAAGAGGATGCGTGTCCGAGAATATGCAAGAACTCCACTCAGTGCGTCGTCGTTAAGAAGAAGCCCGATGGACCCAAGAGGGACGCTGCGAAGTACTGCCCATCGTTAATCCGTCAGTTCAGGGTGAATTTGATGGCTAGGGCACGTCATGCGAAGGCCGAAGTCCACGATACGTTGTATATATTTTACATTGAAGGCAATGCACAAGAGCCTCTTCCCTCATAGCCTGCTTTGTCTGCGCTCTCGTATTTGATCTAGCATCCCATGCCATTTGGTATCATTTTTTGTCATTTACGAATTGCCCTTCCACAACCACCAGGGACAGAGCCTTGGGCGTCACCCTCTCCACGCTCGGGAGACAGTTCTGTCTCCTCCACCTATGGTCTCTGACGGCTTCTATTCCAAGGCGGCCTTGCTACCTACTAGCCGTTGCCTCCTTCAAGTCTCCTGTCTCGCTGTGCACGACGTCCAACGACGCAACCAATCAAGACGAAGTGAACCCTACCTCGATTATAATGGTAGCTCCCACCGAAAGCCTTAACGCCGTTGTCCATGCAATTCAACCACCCCGTATACGGAAACCTTGTGACAATCTGATGTGAAAAGAGCAGAAGCATGAACTTGTCGCTTGAAAGCTCAGCGGTGGTGGTCCAGCTCTGGCGGACGGGCAGCCCAAACCGGTAACCCACCAGGAATCGTGGCAGCGTTTACCTGATCGACACACCCGATCGGTCGGTGAACATGCGCGAAGCAATGTTCATGGCTGCCAGCTCCTGGAAAAGCAGCTTGGCAGCGTAGGGAATGTGCACCTGCGCGATCTTCGTCTTGTTCTTGCAGGGCCTGCACTCGAAGGACTGCTTGGTAAGGTTTCTACGTACATGTTAGCTTTATCCTCTCGCAGCTACGCGGCAAGGGGGACGTGAACTTACGCAATAGGCGTCATGAGTCCACAAATCTCACAGATATGGACTCTGAACGCATCTGACACCTCAAACAAACGCTCCTTTAGGAAAGCAGCGGCACCATGGGCAATCATGCAATCACGCTCCATTTCTCCGAAACGCAGGCCACCATCTCGAGCACGACCCTCCACGGGCTGCCGCGTCATGATTTGCACCGGCCCGCGGGCACGAGCGTGGATCTTGTCGTCCACCATGTGTCGAAGACGCTGATAGTACGTTGGGCCGAAGAAGACCTGGGCTTTGAGTTTTCGCCCTGTGTGCCCGTGGTAGAGGATTTCGAAGCCACGCGATTGGTATCCATGCGCATGGAGCAGATCAGAGACAGAGTCGACGGTGACGTCGGTGAAAGGAGTTGCATCACCCTCCATTCCCTTCAATGTGGACACCTTGGACAAGAGACACTCGACCAAATGGGCTATCGTCATACGCGACGGAATGGCGTGGGGGTTGATGATGATGTCAGGTACAACACCTTCGCGACTGAATGGCATGTCTTCCTGACGGTAAGTAACACCAATAGTGCCCTTCTGACCGTGACGAGAAGCAAACTTGTCACCAATCTGAGGAATCTTGGTGGTACGAACCCGAACCTTGACGTAGCGTAGACCATCCTGGTTCGTCGTGACGATGACGGAGTCAATGATGCCGCTCTCCGTGCTTCGAAGTGGGGTCGAGGCGTCTCGCTTGACATGCTGCGCAGTGCGTTGTCCCAGTTCCTGGTTGTCAGGGTTGATAGGAGATGTCTTTCCAATGATGATATCTTCACCGGAGACTCGAACACCGGGTGCGATGATTCCATCATCGTCAAGCTTGTCGTATGTGCCGTGCTTCAATCGGAGCGTGTCGGAGCGGAACGGCTTCTCGAAAGACTCGACGACGTTGATGCCCACTCGCTTCTCCGAGTCGGTATAAGAACGGAAGAAGAGACTCCGAAACAGGCCCCGATCGATGCTGCTCTGGTTCATGATGACGGAATCTTCCTGGTTGTAACCAGAGTAGCAAGCAATGGCTACGATCGCGTTCTGACCGGCGGGCAGCTCTCGGAACTTCAGGAACTCCATGGAGCGCGTTGTCGCCAAAGGTTTCTGAGGGTAGTACAGGATGTTTGCCATCGTGTCCATGCGCCGGGAATAGTTGGTAAGGAAGAAGCCCATGGCTTGTTTACCCATAGCCGACTGATACGTGTTTCGTGGGGACTACAGAATACGTTAGCAGCAAACAGACTCAAATATAGGGGCAGAGACTTACTTGGTTGTGGTCAGGGAAGGGGATGATGCTGGCACAAATCCCCAGAAGCATGCTGGGATGAATCTCACAATGGGTGTACATGTTGATGTCAGTGTTAATCTTTGTCTTGACCCGGGCGTTCAGATCCGTGTTTTCATCGTTCAGGCGGTCCAGTTTCTCCTGGTGGTGTTCTTCTTCAGTCTGCTTTGGCCTCTTCTTGGCCTCCCGGTATTCATCAAGATCCTCAGGACTCATGCAGATCATCGCCGTCTCCTCTTCTTCGGCATCCAGATACTCGATGACACCACCGTGCTGCAGACTGTCCCAGCCAAAGTAATCCTCATCCGCCGGGTTCAGATTCTGGTCAGCCTCGAGACGTCGGATGTGTTCCTTGTTGAGGACCAGGGTACCCTTCGCCGCGCCGGTTTCAGGATTATCTTCTTGTTCCACTACGTATAACGGTCGCATCACGCGGCCAGCGTCAGAAAAGATCTTGAACTCGCGATCACGAATGTCTCGGACAAGGGAAACCTCGTGGGAAATGATACTCTTGCGTCGTAGGTCCTGGACAAGGCCGACGAGGTGCTTTGGATCCTGATGGACACCAACCCATGTGCCGTTGATAAAGATCTTGGTTGCGTATGGATTCGATGCAGGGTCGTACTCTTCCAGGACTTCCATGTTCCGCTGGATCATGAAATCCCTGATGGGGTCTGCTGGTGTTCCAACACTCACGTAGCACATCAGAGACAAGTTCTTGACAAGACCACAAGCCTGACCCTCAGGAGTTTCTGCTGGGCAGACCAAACCCCAGTGAGTGTTGTGCAGTTGACGCGGCTTGGCCAACTTGCCGTCACGGCCGATGGGCGTGTTCGTGCGCCGCAAATGAGAAAGCGTGGAGGAGAAGGTGTAGCGATTCAGCACTTGGGAGACACCAGCAGTAGAGCTCATAGCCTTCTTCTGATCGCCCCAGTTTCCAGTTGCCAAAGAGTACTTGAGGCCATTGGTCAAAGTTCCATGACGGATTCCCAGGGTAAGATCGAACCCCTTCTCCTCTTGGATGCATCGCTTCATATAAGCCATGAGGTCGCCGGTGAGCTTCTTGACGATATTTCGGAAAAGCTTCGCCAGGAGTGGACCAGCAAGGTCCAGCCGCTTCTTGCCGAAGTGGTCACGATCGTCGGTATCACGCCGACCAAGAGCACACTGCAGCAACTTGTGTGTCATATAGCCAAGGAAGAACGCCTTTCTTGTCTCGCAGCCTTCAGTCTGGGCAATGTGGGGCAACATCTCCTTCTGTAATACATCCTTGGCGTTCTTGATGCGGATGTACTTGGCGACCTGGTGGCCATTGTTACCGCGCCTACCGATATAATCCAAGGCGACGTCTCGATCCTGCACAGCAAAGGCTTCCTCGATACAAGGTCGCAGCATCTCCAGCATCTGCGTGTCGTTGTGGTCGTAGCAGACAGCGTTGAGAATGTCTTCGTCGCTGACCATGCCGAGCGCTCGGAACACGATGGCAATTGGAATGTCGGCTTTAATGTACGGCAAAGTCGTGGAGATGGTCTGGCCGAAGCCGCCTCGTCCTGTCTCACCCTTGGCCTTGAGCTTCAAGGTCAGGGAGCTGATGAGACGCGAGCCCTTCTCAAGCGCACTTCGAATCTCGGCGTGGTACAGATCTGGACTAGGCTGAGCCTTCTTGAAAACCTGCACGATATTTGCTGCTGATCGCTCCTGTGCGATGAGAACCTTTTCACTGCCGTTGATGATGAAGTACCCGCCCTGATCGTAAGGGCATTCGTTCAACAAGAACAAGCCGGCATCGTCCTCGTTTCGCAAGTGGCAAATCTGCGACTTGACCATGATGGGCATCTTTCCAATGTACACCATGTCACGCAGATGCTCAGGCCCTGTCTTCTTCTTGTCCCCTGCCTTCTCGGACTCCTCCATCTCCCATACTATGGTCGTGGGGCGTTCCTGAGTCTCCTCGTAGTGTTGGCGCTGGTCGGGGTCCATGTCCTCATAAGCCACTTCCTTTTCTCTCGCGATCTTCACTTCCTTTGTTATGCGAACGTAAATGGGGCAAGAGTAGGTAAGGTTTCGATCGCGGCATTCGTAAGGAAGAAGGTTCTTGACGGCGCCATCACCTTCGGTGACGTTGGGACGGGTGACGAGAACGTGGCCAAACTTGATCTCGTATCGACGCATGCGTGCAGGCTCGGGGTCGTCGGAGGGTGGGAGCTTCTGGTCGAGGCTGACGGTGGAGTATTCGTCCATCAGACTTTGGACGGTGGTGGTGACAAACTCGTCGAATGAATCGATTTGCTGCGACACGAGGCCCTTCTTGGCGAAGAAGGACGAGATGACGGTCCAACAGTCCTCGGCTGTGATGGACTCATCCTCCATTTCCTCCTCCATGTCGTCGGGGTCATTCTCCCACACATCCTCGCCGTAGTCTGCCATGTTGAGGGCGTGGGAAACGGTTGGTTGACAAATTCGGGCAGGGGAAAGGTGTTGGTCGAATGTTTGTCTGGGTCAGAAGTCTTTGACGACGAGGTCGAGGTGGGTGGGGTGAGAGACGGCGAAGTGGTCGGTCGTGCTTGTGCTTAGAAATGGCTGCCCACCACCAGACAGCTCGGGCGCATCAACTCCCAAGAGGCGCAGAGCTTCACCTCATCAAATGGAACACCAGAAAAGTGCCCTATCGTATTCGAGAAAGGTGCACGATGATGGATGATCAGAGGTAGCCCTGTCGCGACGGGGTTGGTGGAAGCTGAGGGGTTGATGGGAGTCGAGATGGGCAGGCGGTGGATTCGCGGTCCAAGGCACGTCGCCTTTGTGAAGTTTTGCTGGAGGTCAAGTCTGGAGCTGTCCTACCGTGCCTGCCTTCACCGGCAACCACGCTAGTCTGGACTTGGCCAAGCGCACTTCCGCATTGCCACCTTGAGCACGGGTACCAAGGCACACCAGGCCTGGCAGGGGTGGTGCAAGACCCCTGTCAAGAATTTGGATGCAGCTCCCGGAGGTGCATTCCCTCACAGTTGATTTCGCGGGGCGCCCCACCATGGTGTACTAGCATGCCTGCTTTTCCCCTAAATTGAACTTTTTTTCGTCATTGCCTTTGACCTGTTTGGGTGACTCAGAAGAAAGACCTGGGGAAGTACATAATTACATGCACCTCCGATCTGCTGCTCCAGTCGAATCTTTTCCTCAGCATCATCCAAACAAACACCGATCGACAGACCCTCGATACCCTCATTCTAGTCTGCTGCAACAATGTGCCCTACTCCAGACGCCGCCCCGGCTGCCGCCAGCCATTCCAATGGCGCCAATGGCACCAATGGCACCGACAAATGTTTGTCAAGTCCTTGCCTCTCCCATTGGGCCTGTTGTGCCGGTCTTATTTACTGCAGAGCCCGTTACTGACCTGCCTTGTGTCTCCTAGCCCACCCTGGCTTCACAGGCATCCCCGTAAGTTCTATGCTTCCAACCATAATGCGCAGGCTCAAGCCTCTCTTCTTCTACCCAGTGCTCTAACTGTCGCCTCGATAGACCAAGGCCACCCGTAGCGCACCCTACGTGCCCGTTGGTGACTTCCTGAGCAATGTCTCCAGGTTCAAGATCAGTGAGTCACATCCCAACCAGCATGGGGTCCTCCCCTCCCCCAGCAGCCCTTACCAGTGGCAGGAAAACATCTCACTGACACTGATGCCCTACCCACAGTTGAGTCCACCCTCCGTGAGGGCGAGCAGTTCGCAAACGCCTTCTTCGACACCGAGACCAAGATCAAGATTGCTAGGGCTCTCGACGAGTTCGGCGTCGACTACATCGAGCTTACTTCGCCCGCCGCCTCTGAACAATCAAGAAGGGATTGCGAGACCATCTGCAAGCTCGGTCTCAAGGCCAAGATCCTGACACACGTCCGCTGCCACATGGACGATGCCCGCCTGGCTGTAGAGACTGGTGTTGATGGCCTCGATGTCGTCATTGGCACATCCTCATACCTCCGTGAGCATTCGCATGGCAAGGATATGACCTACATCATCAACGTGAGTTGCGTTGCTCCTGGTAGCGTTGGCGCCAAAGGGTTTCACAAACACTAGGCCGATATCGGACGTGATACTGACGAACAAACAGACTGCCATTGAAGTCATCGAGTTCGTCAAGTCCAAGGGTCTCGAAGTCAGATTTTCCAGCGAGGACTCTTTCCGTTCCGACCTCGTCGATCTGCTCTCTGTCTACAGTGCCGTCGACAAGGTTGGCGTGCATCGTGTTGGAATTGCAGACACAGTGTGAGTTAGCTTCCTCAGTCCTACTTTGCTTTAAACGCCTTGCTGATCTTTCCAAAGTGGTTGCGCTTCCCCAAGACAAGTCTACGACTTGGTGAGGAGTAAGTCTTGGGTTTCCCTTCTGTCTCCATGTCTACTCTCTTCCTTTGGGACTCTGCCGTTTGGGCTTGGCAAACACGTCGTTATTGACTCGGAATCCCAACACTGCGGAAAGTTGCTGCAATTCCACACGCTTTGCTTCACATGTCCGGCGCTTGGAGTCAATCCTTGGGTTTTTGGCATCTGCTCGAGGTCAGCGAGAAGATGGCAAATCACGGGGATGGCTTTCTCTCCCACTATGACTGTGCCGCCCCCCTTGAAGCAGTATGACTGCGGTGGTATTGTGATTGAAGCTTATGAGAACTCTGGCTAATCAAATACCTCTAGCTCTGCGCGGTGTTGTCAAGTGTGATATTGAGACTCATTTCGTAAGTAGCCGTCTTTATATCCCGGACCCAGCCTGGATATCGTTAAGCACACATCGTTTGTGGTCTGGGTTCTATCCTGGCTTCCACCCAGGTCGTTTCTCATGGGAAACGTTAATTGCGCTTCTGGACACTTTGCTGACTCATACACACAGCACGATGACACTGGCTGTGCGATCGCAAATGCATACTGCGCTCTCGAAGCTGGTGCCACACACGGTAGGTCTTCCTGAGAATAAATGTCTAAGGAAACCATACTAACTGGCATTCATAGTTGACACCTCGGTCCTTGGTATGTTCGCGTCTGATGCGCTCGACTATCACGTTAGCCAAGTCGTAGCACGCATCACAGTCGTCTCCGGAGCACCAGTATTGACTTTAATTCTTTAGGTATTGGTGAGCGCAATGGCATCACCACTCTTGGTGGCCTTATGGCGGTACGTCTTAGACAATGTGACAAAGTTTGGAACCACAATGCTGACTTGATAAAAGAGAATGATTGTCGCCGACCGCGAATACGTGACCAGCAAGTAGGTTATGCTGTAGAAGTATCTTACCTCCTTATGTGTTTTCTAACCAGCAATAGGTACAACCTCGGCAAGCTCAAGGACCTCGAAAACCTTGTGGCCGACTCCGGTATGTCAACCTTGCCCGATCAGTCAATCTGATGCAGAACAGCTAACGACAACAGTACAAATCAATGTGCCATTCAACAACCCAATCACCGGATTCGTATGACTCAACTCACTTCTTCCCTATGCCTTCGTCTTGTCGACTAACGCTATGGGCAGTGCGCTTTCACTCACAAGGCCGGTATCCACGCCAAGGCCATCCTGAACAACCCCGAGACATACGAGATTCTGAAGCCTGAAGATTTCGGTCTTTCTCGCTACGGTACGTCTACCTACACAACTTGTCAACAAGGGGTGCATACTAATGAGCGATTTTCGGTTCAGTCCACTTCGCCTCGAGGTTGACAGGCTGGAACGCCATCAAGAGCCGTATTGAGCAGCTCGGCCTGTCCATGACCGATGACCAGGTCAAGCTGTGCACGCAGAAGGTCAAGGCCATGGCCGACGTGAGGCCGCTGGCCATCGACGATGCCGACTCTGTCATCCGAACCTTCCACTTGAACCTCACGGCGGATGAGGAGAAGCCCCTACTCCCCGACTTGACCTCTGAGGAGCATGCCAAGTTCAAGAAGGCCGAGAGGGAGATTGCCGGTCAGCCCGAAAAGAGAGCATCGGATGAGATCAGTGCCGAGGAGACCAACGGCAGCACCGCCAAGAAGGTCAAGGTATAGACCGGTCATCGGAACTCGGGCAGACAAGGAAATGACTATCACGAGTCAATGCTGTTCATAGACCGTTGGTGGGATAAAAATTGGCGAGTGCTTGATGTATTGTAATGCGATGTTGGGGAAAATCGGGCGAGCATCATCGCTGCACCGAGGAAAAAAAGCGATCGTCACGCGAGCTGTCTCGAAGCTGATTCTTGGTTGAGCGTGGACAGCTCCAGAATCATGCTAACGACGACAAGCACCTTTGGACAGACCCTTGGGGCCGTTTTGGCCGGGGGAATTTTCTTATTTACGTACAAGTTTGGGAAAATCAAAAGTCACGAAGATTTAAATTTGCATTAATCAACTGAGGAAAAGAACCCAAAAGTGATGTCTAAAAGCTACATAGGTATACCCAGAGAGGCAATTGTTCACAGCAACTAAGCGGCCACCCTCAGGCACAACCTCCGGACCAAAGGGCCGATATAATCGGAGCGGTTTTAGGATTTGTCACCTCCTCCCGTAATACAACCCATTTCCAAGATTTTATGGCCAGTTCTTCTGGCGCGTGGCGGCTTGTCATTCCCGCTGGCAACCTTAGCGGAGGCTTGCTCCCGCCATTACCGCTTTCGACCTGAAAGGTGGTGCGAGCACCTGGTGCCGCATTTTTGCGCCGCGTGGATTCTCGGTCATGTGGTTCGTGATCCTCCAAGTGGTAAACATGTTTGTGGAACATAAAATCTGCCGCCATGGCCGATGCCATTGTGTACTTAGGGGTCCCTAGGCTCCCAAGCCGCAAGTCGTCAAGATGAGTCGCCCCTGCATCCTGAGTCTGACGGCCATTCTGGCTGGAATCGCGCATGCAGCTTCTGGAACAGGTTCGTCTACAAGGTAAGTATTCCCTGTCAAAGAACCTTTTTTTGTTGTGTTCTTGTTTTTCTTTTCTTTTCTTTTCTCTTTTTTCTTTTCTTCTTCTCATAATGCTAAGAACCGTTGCAGATACTGGGATTGTTGCAAGCCCTCTTGTGCTTGGCCTGGCAAGGCCAATGTCACCAACCCTACGTATACTTGCGACATCAAGGATAACCCACTCTCCAACCACGAGGCAGTCTCGGGCTGTCAGAGCGGTGGGACTGCTTTCACATGTACCAATCAAGCCCCGTGGGCAGCCAACAGCCTTGTCTCCTATGGCTTTGCAGCAACTGCCATTAGCGGTGGCACAGAAGCCAGCTGGTGCTGTGCCTGCTACGCCCTGACCTTCACGTCCGGCAAGGCCAAGGGCAAGGTGATGCTGGTCCAGTCCGTCAACACAGGCGGAGACCTCAGCGGGAACCAGTTCGACCTGCAGATCCCGGGCGGCGGCACCGGCATATTCGACGGGTGCACCACCGAGTTCGGCAGCTCCTGGGGCGCCCAGTACGGCGGCATCTCGAACCGGTCCGAGTGCTCGGCCCTGCCGGCCAAGCTCCAGGCCGGCTGCGACTGGAGGTTCGACTGGTTCAGGAACTCGGACAACCCGACGCACACCTTCACGCAGATCTCGTGTCCCGCCGAGCTCACCGGCGTCACTGGCTGTGTCAGGGACGATGACGCCAGCTTCCCGAAATATGTCATGCCGTCGCCTGCTACTTGGACGGCTCCGAGCCCTACGGCGACTGCTGCTGCTTACGCGCAGTGTGATAGTCTGACTTGGGATGTGGCTATGCTGGTAAGTACTTTCGAATAAATATTCTCGCCGTCCTTAGTGTATTCCACAGCACCTATGAAGTCTGCCATTGTGCGAGATGCGTCAGGAGATTTCTGAAATCTCAGATATACCAGGCCTGAGAATTACGCTGACCAATATAGTGCCCATCCGGATACTACTGCAGCTATGTGACGGATTGTAAGTGAGATTTTATTTACGTATTGTGTCAACCTGTGCACTCTAACTCTGCATTCAGATTATTGGCAGTGCGTTCAAGGGACCGCGCCTTCTTCTTCGTCATCGACCGCCTCAACCCAGAAGGGCAGCAGCACAAGCTCCAGTTCCAAGTCCACACAAGGTGCTTCAACTTCTTCGTCTTCCTCATCCAAATCTGTCACGACGGCGACTACCCTTACGACGACCTCACACGCTACGACAACCACTGCGGCTGGGGGTTCGACACAGACCAAGTATGGGCAATGCGCTGGGAGCGGCTGGACTGGACCAACTGCTTGTCCAGCGGGGAGCACATGCTCAATGGCTAATGCATACTATGGACAGTGTTTATGAACGACCCGTGTTTCCGAAGCAGATTGTTCTTGTTTTTAATCCATACAGAGCTGATAGCTACATCTTTTTATGCCAATATAAGCTTTCTTCTCAAGAAGCCGTGCCTCTCATCACTTTCATGTGCGATTGAAGTGAGGCATTCAGGTGAAAAGATACAAAACTCACCACTTCAATTGCAATTAGTCAACTAATAGTTTCTTCAGAGGTTCCTAAGGCAAAATTATGTACTCAGCCTGTGTGACTTCCAGTCCTTTATTATGTAAGGCAGGGGCGAGGTTGACTATTTGAGTGGAGTGACCTTTATGGTGCACTTTAACTTTCTGCCGCTGTTTGCTTACGGACCGACAACGTGTTGAGACTGGACTGTTGAGGCTGACGCCAAGCGGGGTCGATTTTGTCCTGCGTATCCCAAAGTTTCGTCAGTGACATTGCACTTGCCCATTCCCAGCGAGCAGAACCCAAGATCGACCAGTTTGAACAGCGCCATGGCATCCGATATCGAACCGGAGATTGTTCTCTACGACCTAGCTAACATCAAGAATGTTTGCTTCTCCCCCGCTGTCTGGCGCATCCGCCTGCTGCTCAACTACAAGCAAGTCCCTTACAAGACCATCTTTCTGGAGTTCCCGGACATCGAGCCCACGCTCAAGGGACTGTGAGCTTAGCCACGCCGCGTTCTGCTTTGGCGTCTCATTCCGAATTCCATCCATGAATGTCTAACTGCAAAACTCGAGAGCCCCCTGGATCATTCGTCGCGATTGCTGACAACCGTGTGAGCAGTGGCCTGGTCCCGGGCGAAGCCGCCAAGGGCTTATACACGGTCCCAGCCATCCACCACGTGCCGACCGACAAGCACATCATGGACTCAGCGCCCATCTCCCGTTTCCTCGAGGCAACGTACCCAGATCCTCCGGTGCCACTGGAGTCCGAGCTGGGCCGGGAGATCGAGGCCCGCGCCCGCGCCGTGATCGGCCCCATCATGTCCAAGTCGGTGATGCCGCGCGAGATCAGGATCCTGGCCCCGCGCGCGGCAGAGTACTTCCGGCGCACGCGCGAGGCCAACCTGGTGGGGCGACAGCTTGAGGACCTTCTCGACCCTGCCTCCGAGGATCAGGCATGGGCGGAGGCGGACGGGCCCATGGACGCTGTGGGCAAGTTGATACGGACAAACGCGGCCGATGGCCCGTTTGTGTTGGGCGCGCGGCCAAGCTATACCGACTTCTTCATCGCGGGTGCCCTCCAGAGTGCGAGGACGGTCGATGAGGGTGTCTTTGGCAGGCTGGTGAAGTATCCTGGGTACTCGGATGTTTACTCGGCTTGTCTGCCTTACATGGGCAAGATTGACCAAGAGGCTGCTTTGCCGGTACTGACCTAGGTCATCAACTGTCCATCAGAGACTACAAATCTTTACTCCTTTTTTTCACCCGCTATTTACGGAGCTTCTCCAGCCTACAGGCAGCAGAGTACTGCACGTAATGTGGCGTAACCAACGTGAAGGTGCTCATGTGGGGACAGCTGCCTGACAAGCAAGAGCCGCCCACTCCACCGATACCTATATTTCTGTGGTCTCTTTCTCCCCATCAACCTCTCTCCACCTCGCGAACGCTTGATGCGTTTGCGAATTATCCACCTGAAATGGGCCAGTACTGGAAACTTGTTGATATCGACAGACGGGAGAAACTCCTCACCAATGATGCAATTGAACTGTTGGAAATACTAAGGAGCGGGTCGTTGAAGCAACTCGTCGAGCTCATACGGAATCCGAAATGGCGCCCTTTCAGAACGTCGACGAATCATCTCTATGCTTTCAAATTGAACAGGTAGGTGATGTCTTGTGAAGTCAACATACAAGATTGCTGACGCAGTTCCGTGCTACAGCGCCAGGTCTTCACTTCTCAGACTTCCTCAGGAAGTCATCGACATGATAGTCTGCAATCTTTCCAGAGACTCATCCGAAAGCGTCATATATCTTTCACTGACCTGTGCCTATTTCTTCCGACTACTTGGCCCGGCCGTCCAAAGTATCTTGGCCAGGGACACCGCGCCCTGGGCAGGCGACCGCCTGATATTCGTTGGTGAGTTTGCGGATGGCCTCGACATTGGAGGCATCTGCACGAGTGACGAGCTCGGTGAATTTGACAAGAAAAAGATGGAATACATCAACGATCCGTTTTACTACATGACTGGACACAGGATCACGTGCGCAATGAACCAGCACATCAAGACACCACCGCCGTCCCACGGGCTCCTCCCTAGCCCTGATTTGCGCCGCGCCGGGGCTTTGGAGCAGCGCGTCACAGGAAAGCTCACGCTTGACGACTTGCAGCTATTCTTCCGACTCGCTGCCATCGCGAGGGCCCCACAGCTCAGCGCCGGCGGCCAGAAGTACGCCCCAGTCCTTCGGAACCTCACTGCCAGGAAATACGTCCGGCACGATACCATAGCCGAGTCAGACTACGCGTACAGTCTGGGCGAGGTCGTCGCCGTCTTCACACAACGGACCAAAGTTCCTTCGGGCACGGACGGCCTGGGCTGCATTGGCGAATGGGCCGGCCACCGTTTCGACGTTGCGACCGTTTCGGACGTTGCGGAGGAGGACTGGGCTGACGCCAGCCAATTGGCAATCGAGAAATTGAGGAAGGGCACTAAGAGGAGAGTAAAGAGAAGTTTGGCGAACAAGCTTTATTGGACGGGTCAGATCTAAATGATGTGATTTGGAAGCCATGAGGGTCTGGTGATTTCACACACAAATTGGGCATCAAAAGTCTCTATTAGCATTCACCAGAGACGACACTATATCTACGGTACGGGTAACAGCGACTTAGACCTGACGATTTCCCACTCAGTCTTGGGTTCAAGCCGAACAATACGTAAGTGAGTTCGCAAGCGAAGAGAGTTTAAACTACAACAGCTGCCAGCCATCCATGAACCGATAGAAATTGATAATTACCCCCAGCGCACGCTGGGTTCCCACTTTATCTGTTTGTTTCCTACTACTTCTTGCTTCTCCCGTTTCACTTCCACTTTGTCTGCGCTTTTGGTTTTGCGCATTTCGAGCTTCCATCGTCGTGCGAGCCCCAAAAGGAAAACGTCGGCGTGGTCCCAGTAGGAAATCACTAGAATCGGCAAGCGAAATTCACTGGGCACGCTTAAAGGATGAGGACAGGGGATATGTGTCAATTTTAATCTCACCTACATTCTGCCGTGTGTCGTAAGGGAGATGTTTCCATGCCCTTGCTATTAGTGCTTCCTGAATTGTGTGATTTGAGTCACATACGCGCTTAGGCCTGAGGAGTTTTCGCCTACATTGCTAAAACAATACTAAGTTTGAAGTGGCACCTAGGCGTGGTAGTCATTTGAACTGAGATCTAAGAAAGGCTCCCGGACTACTGGGCCGTAAAGGCTCGATTAACTTTTGGTACCGGACTGTATCTCTCTAGTGCATCTATAGCTCGACATAAATCTTCTTTGCCTTTATATGTTAGACTTGCGCCTTCATTGCTTATATTCTATTAGTACTTCTTTGCAACAGCCTCAACATTCGTCCCTTCGTCGGGTCAACTTTCACAACTGCCAGGAATTTGAAACTCTCAAACAGGACAAAAAAGCACTCGCGACCTCCAATATGGGTCAGAAATTAGTCAACGAGTTATTCAAGACCTTGGCGGACGGTCACCTTCTGTGGAACACGATCATCCGACCCGAACACAAGCGCCGCAAACAACGCGGACCTCCACAACCAGGAAAGAAGTACAGTGACAAGCAGACAAAGGCGCTGGCATATTTCGCATGCAAGCCGAGGGAAGAAAAGAAAAACAAGGGCAAGGGAAGGGAACAGCCAGCGGCCGAGCCGAGTCGTCAGGCACCACCAAAACCAACCCTCTTTACGAATGCAGCACCCAGCTCGTCGGCGGCAAGCAAGAGCGCTCGGCGGCGATAGTCCATCGGGGCTACATTCGAAGGTCAGAGACCCATGTGGTATATGTTGATTTGAGGAAGCTCATTAAGTCACAATGAGATCGGGAGCGTACACGCAGTCTAGAATACCACTTAGGTAGCGGCAGCAGCTGAGCCGCCTGCAACGGTGGGGACGGGAGAATGGGCAGAGCAGCCACGGAGCCAGAAATTGCTTCTTTTTCCCAGATCTAGTTGACCTCGAGACTTCGCTCAAAAGCAAGAGCACATTTCCTAGATGCCTTATCTCCCCGCGGCCATCAAAACGAAAAGAGTCTCAACCTCTCTTAATTTCATCGGCGTTTTGAATACCTTGATTGGAAACGGACGGGGGCTTTCGGGAAAGCTGGGACAAATAGCGTGTCTTTGAATATGTACATTGCCGGCGTTGGGACGCACCCGTGTAAAGCTTTACACGGATGTGCGCGCGGCTGATGAAAGTAGTTACATGAAATTCGGCAATGAGAGGAAATTTGAAGCTCATATCCTGCAAAGCTTGCCATTTTGCGTCGGCAAGCCAGTCTCCGTCTCGACCTTCCAATTCTCGCTGCCGACTGCATTCCGGGCGTAGAACACGTCGTTGGGGTCGTATTTCTGCTTGATGGACAAGAGCTGGTCATAATTAGACCCCCAGAAGGATTTTTGCCAGTTCGGCTCGGCGGAGTCGGCCTGCGCAGCGAAGGTGGTGTGTCAGCTACTTAATTCCTGCAAATACGGCACAGAAGGCAAAGAGGCATTCAGATAACTTACCTCGCCGAGATATGATCCAGAGTTGGGGGTCACAGCCCGCCACTGGTCCAGACACCCGTACGTCATGCCATCTGAGAGCGCCAGGATGTCCTCCGGGGAAGTGGGATCCGTCCACGACACGGCCGTAATCGCGTGCAAGACGGAGTTCCGCCATGCCGGGTTGGCCGAACTTGCGGTGTTCTCGGGGTAGAGCTCGTTCTTCATGTTGAACCCGGTGAAGTAGAATCCGTTCTCGGTCGTATTCTTGACAGCGGCCCAAGTCTCGTTCAACAGAGTCGTGTTCTCCCAGTTCTCGCGCGGGAAGAGCCTGGAAGCAATTCTGCCAGCATCAAGGCCAACCGTCTCAAGAGGGAACGCCTGTGCCCAGGCATCGTAGAAATCGTCATAATAGGTCGGCTCGGAGACCCACGTCAGCGAGACGTTGAGGGCAGACAGTTCGTCGATCCAAGGCTGGAGCAAGGCATTGTGCTCGTCGACGGTCATGTTTGGCGTGAAGAAAGGGGTCATTCCGAAGTAAAACGCGTCCGGGCCGGTCGCGTACATCCGGAAATAGGAGTAGGCCCCAGCATCCGCAAGATCCACAAAGTGGTTCCAGAACAGCCGCATCGCCTGCCAGTAGGTCTCCGAGTCAAGGTCATCACCCGTCGTCAGCGTGAAGTTGGAGATGGTGACGCCGATCTTCGGGTAGGCCTTCACGGTGACGCTCGTCACGACGCCAAAGGTGCCTCCACCGCCGCCACGGAGGGCCCAGAACAGATCCGAGTTTTCTTCGTCTGATGCGGTCAGGAATTGTCCATCGGCGGTGACAACTTGGAAGGCGAGGGCCTGGTCGGAGCCCAGCCCGTAGACACTGCCCAGCGGCGAGTGTCCGCCTCCTTGGATGTAGCCCCCGGCAACGCCCACCGTCTCGCCCTCGCCGCCTATGACAGTGACACCATTCTCCCTGGCCGCAGCGTACAGTTCAAAGGTCTGGACGCCGGATCCCATTTTGAAAGCAGGCCCGACGTAGCTGCTGCTGGAAAAGTCGGGCAGGTACTCGAGGCCCTTGAGATTGTGCGTCCAAATGCTGAGCGCGCCTGCGCCTGTTGACTTTCCTGCGAAGTCATGTCCGGTGTTCTTTATGACGAGACGAAGGTCAAGGTTCCGGGCTAGATTGATCGCGAGCTGGATCTGCGCAACATTGGTCGCGTTGACAACATAGTAAGGGAATCCTCCCAACGTACAGTTTCCCGGGGCACCTTCGATGGGCATGCAGGTCGCGCCTTGATAGAAAGGACTCATGACGGAGGAAGGGTGGTCCATGTGGAGGTGGCTGTCGGTGAAGCCATCCGAGATTGACGCGCACAGTGCTTCATCGTAGTTGTCCCAATTCGAGTAGCATGGCGAGGCAATAGGTGGTACCTCGAGCAGGGCAGTGCCAAGTAGGAAGTCGAAAGCGAACCACACGAGTTCGTCCGGCCATGAGTAGTCACCCGCATAAGTCTTGCAGTCTGCCGCGGATCTCTTGGTGACCGAAGCGTCCTTCGAGAAGCCAAAGATTTGGTCAAAGGCCGCGTGATCAAGACCGATGGACTGTCCGTATAGAAGAGAACCCAGCTCAGTCAGCGACTCGTCGGTCAGCTGGGTAGTCTCTTCAGCGAATAGATTGTTCGTGTTGATCGAGCGGGCTGTGGCTGAAGATCGCGACAGGGATGAAACTCCGGCAGCAGATGCCAGAAGCAGGCCCAGAGAGCCCAAGTGCTTCGCCATGTCGATCCCGCGGCTCTTTGATCAGTCACAAAACCAGAGGATGGATGTGCCCGTTCTGTTCGATTATGCAAAGCCGTTTCACACACGTCAACTGATGTGACGCTGGTTGCAATTGTGTCAGCTCTGGCCCACTGCGCGAGTGAGACTCTTGGAACAACATACAGGCGTGTCTTGTGCCGGGTAAACCGTTTGACTGGCTTTGGGAGGGCTTGAGAGGCTGCCTCGAGCACTGAGATGCCCCGGAAATCAGGGACGGAAGTTTTGGAAGACGCAGCACGAGGAAGAGCAGGTCTTTCCAGGAATGCCCCTCGAAGAAGAGTCGCCTCCATTCGCGGTGTCGCCCGCCTCACCGTCGGGGGCAATCTTGAAGAGGCCTCATCTCTTGCGGTCATTGGCCTGAGGAAGTCTTCCGGACTCCATTCACCAAACCCCATCTCCGTGATGGTGTTCTCCACTGCAATTTGCAAGTCAGGCGAGACTGTGCAGAAGTGGGTATCTGCAGGTTTTGTAACTTTGAGGAACGCGGGTTTTCGGATGAGGTTGCGAAGGGCCGAGTTGGGAGAGCCGGGATGATCGTTGGCGGTCGCGCCGGGTAAACATTACAACCTCGGGGCCAAAATGTGCACTGACGGATCGTCCTCCCGCCGGCGCCCTTTTCCGACATGTCACATCCATCTACTGATTCTCCTGACCTGCAAACTCCAGAGATGTTCACGATCACTGTGGGCATCTCACGCGTCAAGACGATCGTCTGAGGGCCGATCTTCCAGAACACAGCACATTCCCGCGTGTTTGGAGCCGAGATCGCAATTCGCCTGTGGGCAATAGATCGCCTCACAGCCAAATCGGAAATAATCAACTGCCGCCGACGTGCGGCTGGCGCGAATCGTCCCACAGTCCTCCCAGGCGGCTGGAACGCCCGCCCGCCGTTCGAGCTTTCAGCGCCCTCAACTTCGGATGTGGGCAAGACATGCCAGCAAGCTGCCTGTCTACAATACGTAAGTACACATGTACCTAGGTCGGCTGCAAAAAATCAGCCGGAAATGTTGCAGGCATGTGTCAGCCCGTACATTCAACATCAAACGACCCGATGTGGCGCCGACTCTGGCTTGAGCCCCTTATATATGCAGGTGCAGGACTGAGTCGTGGCATGCGCCGGGGGCAGGTTTACTAGATACTAGATAGCCGCAGCGGGCAGATCTAGGTGGATGATCCCTCAAGTATTTTTGGGTCCAGCCTGGAATCAGGCCAGGGGTTTGGAAGTTTCCGACGCAGCCCTGTCTCCACGGCCCGGGATGCGATCGGTGGCTGCGCTCGTGTGGCCAGTTCAATATACAGCAATGCCGTCCCAATTCCTTTTTTTTTTTTTTTTTTTTTTTCGAGGCTCTGTGGTTCTGAGGTCACACCCATTGTCACGTCTGTCTTTTCAATGGCACTGCGGCTCTTTTGCCTTTCACCTAACCCAGCCGCGGATCTTTTCGAGTCCCGTGGATATCGACATGGCGGCTGACACGGGGCTCCAGCCACTGGCAATAGGAATCTCCATTGCAGCACCATGTGTTGCATTTGTCTTTGTCCTGCTCCGCTTATACAGTCGATACTTTATCACCAGAAATTTGGGTTGGGATGATGGTCTCATCGTGTTGCCCATGATACTCTCTATAGCCCAGGCCTATACCACAGTAATGGGTAACAATTAACCCAATGACTACCAAACTCTTAGCGAATAACCATAACTGACGTCTCCCAGGTATCAAGATCAACTTCCTTGGATACCATGCAAAGGATATTCCACTAGATCAAATGGACCCCGTCCTTGGCGCCAAATACAACTATGCTACTCAGCTCCTTTACAATCCCATCCTGGCTCTGGTCAAGAACGGAATGCTTCTGTTCTTCCTCCGTGTCGGCGGCAGTATCGACAACTTGCGATTGTTCATTATTGCCATCATAGTTCTGAATACTTTGATGATGGTCTCAATTTTTCTGATCGATTTGCTGCAGTGCATACCCATCAAAAAGACATTCTATGCAAACACGGCGGGAACATGTATCCAAATCGGCGATTTCTTCATCGGCACTGCGGCGGCGACTATTCTGACAGACATTTTGGTCATGGTCATCCCAATCTGGCTGACTTGGAACCTGAAAATGAGACTAAGGAAGAAATTGGCAGTCATTTTTCTACTGTCTATGGGGTTATTGTGAGCATCCATCCCCACTATTCAATCACTTGAAATTGCCACAGCCACTGCTAACGCTGTTCGACCTCCAAAGCGTGACCGGCATCAGTGTCTATCGCATGTACTACCTCATCGAGGCTTACTACGGAGAGCCAAATCCGGACGCGACATACGGCGTTGGAGGAACCGCTTCGAGTATCGAGGTGAACTTGGCCATTGCATCAGCATGCGGTCCTTTCCTCAAACCAATGATTCTGCACTTCTTCCCCAGCTTCTTTGGCCGCGACTCTACGAATCGATACTACGAGTACTACGAAGACAATCCTCCGGACGTCATGTACCGAGGCGGCGCCGCAAATTATTCTGCTACCGCCTCTGCCTCCGCCACCAAAATTTCAAGGAGGACTTCCCTAAGACGAAAAGATGATAACGGGAGGTATGACCCAGAAATCGAGCTCCAGAGCCCGGTCGGGAAAACTTCCAAGAGCCTCCGACGCGGCAGGACAACGATGACGTCTGCGCTTGCGGAGGACGGAGAGGACGACTCGTCTGAGAGGAGAATGGTGACGACGATGGATTTCATGGATATGTTTCCTGGCCACGAACAAGAATCAGAAACAGGCGGGGAGGGGCAATGGATGAAAAACGGAATCATGAGAGAGACCAGTGTCAACATTACGTACTCCCCCAAGTTCAGCGACGAGGACCTGCAGAATAGAAAAGCCACGGCGCCAGGGTCGGCATTCTGAAGATCGAAAAGAAATGATAAATCCTGATTCTCCACCATCGCGGACAGATCTAGATTAATACCTAGGTACTCGTGACATGCCACGCGCCAAAAAGACATAGCTCGTCCCGGGACAGCATTATGATAGCATCACATCGTACAAGACCATGTATCTGAGTGATTGACGACGACGAAATGAGTTTTCGAACACTACCACGAGTCACACTCGGCGTATTTACTAGCTCGCTCACACCTGCACAATTTTAAACCCTCGGGGCCCACACATCTCCAAATATCCTAGATCATAAGTAAGCCTTGCTTGGATGCTTCGGACTGGACACCTGTGTTGGTAGATGAGACCGTTTGATGTTGTAGCTGGGCTACCACAACAAGACTCGCCCTCGCTCGCGAGCACCTGAGATGCCATCACAACCAATTTCACCCACGTCCATGCATATCCAGTCAAAGCAAAGTCAATTAGGCGCAGCAGAAGTTGGTGGTTACACAGCATGCATTCCAAAATTTGGCCAGGCTTTCCAGCATGCCTAGCCCCCAGATTACGGGGACTGGGGCTGTGTGTATGCGATGGACTCGTGTGACATTACAAAAAAGGTACTTCTTGTGCACCTGTGCCATGGTATTAAGACCACTGCGGTCTGCCGCGTCTCGGAAAGCTGGGTCTTTCTTTCAACAGCAGAAACCGCACTTCAGAATATTAGATCCACATTATATCACGGCCTGTACTATTCATTGACTCACTACGGCCACGAGATTCTGCACAATCCCGCCTTTCTTGGCACTTATCCCACGCGTTTCCCTCAGCATTGCTCTTTTGGTAGCTGACAGAAGTCTTTGGACGTTGACCGAAGATGTGGCCAAGCTGGTCGCGGCAAACAGAGCAACAATGCAGCTGCTCGTTCAAATTATCGCCAACATTCTGGGATTTGCAGTTATATCGGCTATATGCAGAATCTTCAACTTCAACATCCGGGTCATGCTATCCACCAAGTCAATGTCAACCATGTCCTTGGCTTTCTGGACCGCGTTTCTTTCGCAACAATTCACCATAGAGATCCCATTTCGCCTCATTTTATCTCTCACATTATGGCTCTTGTTTGCAATACTTCCTTCGGCTCTTTGGGCTGGTGCTCTAACGCCGGTCATTTTTATTGTAACTCAAAAAGCACAGATACAGCTGCCTGACTACACGAACACCACACTGCTCAATTACAACTGGACTTCCCGCAGTAATCTACCGGCAGTAAGTAATAGGAACGGGATCTTCGCATACAATGTGGGGGAGACTTTTCTCGGTCAGCTATTGCAAGCGGCCTCCCAAGCGACGACCGTTGACGGAGGGATTGGTATGCGACCTAAGTTGGACTATACCAGCTTTGAGTATGTGAACAGAAGCCATGGCGTTGGTATGCCTTTTGGGGTTAGTGATGAAGATATCCGTACCAACTTTCGTGCACAACGGTATTGGTATCTGGAGAACGGATACAGGGCGACTGTGGAATGCATCTACAACAAAAGTACAGCGTACTACATCGAACCAGGCGGTCAAGAGCGGGTGTGGGAGGCAAAAAGCTTGCTTCCGAACAGTCTTTCCTCCGAGTTTGCCTCATACTTCGGGTGGAGTGGTGACACCATTGTGGCTATCGCGGCAGCAAGCTCCACCAAAGTTTCCCGGCGCATCTTGGGCATTGCAGCTGGTACCACGTACGCAAATCTCAACCGGACGCAGTGCGAAACTTTCTACACGCCGACGATGTTCAATGTCTCTGTCGAGCTCGGCGGCAAGAACACCACCGTGGCTCCGGTTACCGGCAACGACACTGTCCAGGACATCGAACCTAGTGGTAACTCGACTTTCCTTGTTAATTGGCAAGTTCAATTGATCGCGAGCGATCAAACAAGCTTTTACTCATCACCGGTGGGGAATTCCTTCAATACCAGCATCAGAAACTATATGTCTTCTCAGTTGTTGCTTTACAACTCCACACCATCCGCCGAGAACGCCAGCCTTCGTGGGCTTGAGAACTCGATCACAGCTATGGTGGATAGCATGTTGACAGTGTATGCGGGCCCTCAAGCCATGGTTGGTAATGAGACATTCTCCGCTGATGCATATGCCGGAGTAGAGGCTGTTCGTTTGGGAGGATTTCACTATATCGTGGCGGTGATGGTGCTCAACCTTTTGGTCCTTTGCATTCCTTGTGCTGATGCGCTACGTACAAAGTATTGGTGGTCTCTGGAAGATTTCGACTTCATGAAACCGACGGATATCCTGTTAGGTGTAGCAGCAGGGTACGACAGACAAGTAGAAGGTTGGAAGAACAGTCCGGTCTGGCAACGTTGGAGAATCAATCACAGAGGAGAGAAGCTTTTGCTGAGCAAGAACAGTATGTCGGCATCAGAAGACTTGAGTTATGAGCCTCTTCAACAATGAGCCTAAGATGCTGGGAACAGTTAACTTCGCCAAGATAGTTGGATTATTCTTTAAATGGCTCTTTATGTGTGATTCTCACAAAGTGAATGACATCTGAGCAGCTGATTCATCTCACTGACAGCAGAAAAATTGCATTCATTACCATAAACCACCCAGGCTCTTGTATTTATCCCCACCAATCCAAAGAATTCAACCTCAACTTTAAGTCATGGCTTGCTTCATTACATGTTACACCTCTTCCTCACCTCGCTCATACCCGTGTCCGTTAAGCCTTACCTCCGGCGGAGTTCGGATCCGCATCCCATTCGTAAATCAACTTCTTGGCCCCGAACACGTCAACACCTTGCCGCCCTTGACATACCCAAAGCGGAACCTAATAGTGACATTTGCCCATAAGGTAAAAAATTCTAAATTACTTTGATATTCTTCATCCTGCCAAACAAAGTACGCTTATCCACAAAATGGGCTTCGTTAGAGCGCCTGGGACAGTCGCCACCAGCTGCGTAGATCATGCCGCCCGTGTGCTTAAGTTATTGGTGGTATCTTGCATCCCTTCACGCTGTTAAAAATGTAAAGCTTTGGGACGGGACAGTATACCAATTATTTAGCGTTGCAAAACTTGTTAAGCACCACTACAAGACTAAGCCATAACAACAGACCTTACTAGCTACGTACCAGCAGATTCCTTTCGATACGATTTAATGTACAGCAGTCTCCCCAGAATTGCCTTTCAAGTCCAAGAATAGCATTCCTCCGCGATTGGCACCTTCACATCATAAATCACCTGGTTGTACCATTGCGTCACAAAGGCCGTCAGGCTGAACTCGAATTCGCTCACAACTGCCGCCCCATTCGTACACGCGGCCGCACTACCACCCTCACCGCCAGGCTGGGTCACCGTGGTGTTCTCCCCACTGCCAGCGCCAATATCCTGGCCAGCATCAAGCGTCACCGCCGTGGGGAAGCTCGCCTTGGGCGTCAGGCCGCCGCCGAGGTCGAGCGCCCCGCCGAGCAGCTCGAACTCGACCCCGACGGTGAAGGAGACGAACGGGCTCACTGCCACGGTAGCCTTCTCGGAGAGGCTCACGTTGGCGTGGTACGTGGGCTCCCACCCCGCCGCAGCGGTGGAATTCCAGTCGACAAAATCGATGTGGACGGTCCCGTTGGCGACCTCGGCGCCGACGTCCAGGGCAACGTCCACCGCGGCCGCGACGTCGAGGTCCGCGCCGACGCTGAAGAGCAGCTCCGGGCCGAAGGTGATGATCCCGGGGACGTTGACGATGTAGTACACGAGCCCGTCGGGCGAGTACGCGAAGGTGTTGTTGTACGGCGCCGTCACGCCCAGCTCGAGGACCAGGTCCGACCTGACGGCCGTCTCGAAGTCGACGTGCAGCGCGTCGAGGGTCAGCGCGCCGACGTCGAACTCGAGGTACCCGCTGAGCCCGACCGAGAGGTCCAGCTGGCCCGACTGGGCGGTCACCTTGACGTACGGGTCGTACTCGTACAGGACCTGGGAGGGCAGGTTCCAGGTGTTGCTGTATGTCAGCTTGTCTGGGTCGATGATGATGTCTCGTCTGGTTGGGTCCGCGGAGCTTGCTGCGGGTAGGCCGTGGAACTGGGTCTTCATGTAGGCTGAGTGAGGGTGTCAGATTTAGTGTTCGTACCATAGATGGCCACTGGGGGGGAACTTACAGCTGGCGCTGTTTACATCTGTCTTCTCCGCCGTGGCAGTGAGGGTCAGACTAGATGTATCTGCCGTATAAGTGCCGGCCAAGAAGAAGCCACGCTCGAACTCTGTGTCGCAGTCACCCATGTGGTTGGTGATGAGCAAGAGCTTTTCATGCGATGACCACTGTGTATACGCATCGTTGAGATCCTCAGCATTGTTAAAAGTTATCGCGACTGAATCTGAAGAGCAGTCAACAGTGGTGAGATTAGAGATGGTCTCCAGCAATATGGTAGGATAATTGGTCGACAGGGTGACGTTGACTGCAGCGAGGTCCGTGTTGTTGAGACCGTAGTCCAGGGACACATTGGTTTGCGGGACCAGACAATCAGGCTTCGTCGGCACCGGAATTGGCGAGAGAGTGACATTGCTCACGACCGTCGCGTTGACCGTGTCGCCGGTCTGGCGGGCGGCCTTGAGGCCAGGAGCAGCGGCAGCCGAGCTTGCGAGAGCCAGCACGGCTAGGGAAATACAGCGAGGCATATTGATGAATGATAATTCGTGTCTGTAGCTGCAGCCAGGTTCGCCGAATTGGGGCGGGAACGAATTACTTCCTAGCCAGTGAAGGGAGAAAAGTAAAGAGCGGCGTTGGGCTGTTCAGTGTATTCTCATCATCGCGCAAGTGAATAGACGGGTAGATATGTGTGTCCATGGCTGTTGGTCTATCAAGAGTGTTGACTCGAGTACATGTCTGTCAAGGGTAGCCTTCGGGTTGGCAGCCCGGATGAGGTTATCTTGAGCCAGGCGGAGATGTAAGAGAACCCCACCTTCACGATGCGTATCCATGGGACGTGCGGTTGCATGGCCGGGAATGATGCCCTTCACGGCGAGCAGTATGACCCACGTGTATACTCATTCTTGATCGAGGGCAGACAACTACGAGGGCTTGTCTCTAATGATACTCCCGGTAGCGGAACACCTCTGCTCTGTGCTGCTTCAGCTCTTCTTAAGACCGGCTGTCACCCGCGCCTTGAGGCCTTGTATCCAGGGGGAGCAGACCTGCATCCTCGCCGGCGATGCTTGTTGCAGGCATCACTCCGCGCAAAAATGCCATGATCTCCCGATACCACTCAAGTACCGAAGCATTAGTCTGATCTGATATCGGTAACCCTGTACCGAGGAACTCAAATCACGTTGGGCATTCCGCAACGGCGAATGGCCAAACACAATCGCGCCGAGAAAGTTAGATAAATCCATTGGTAGCGACCGAGCAAAGATGGCAGGAGCCTCAGGAAAGCAGAATGTTACCATCATCGCGGGGTGGGTGTCCGCGGGGCCCATCGCATAAGCACATGTCTCCGAGAGTGGAGGTCCGAATCAGGACTGCTGCTCCGGCTCTATTGGCGGGGACGAATGAGTCGGCTGCGAGCTTCTTGGCTCAAAAAGAAGCACGCATGAGAGGGGTGAGGAGAAGCAAAGACTGAGAGGCTGACAGAGGGCACGATGATGATTTGGATAAGAACAGAAGGGGCTTGCATGACAAGAGTCGTTGAACGACAGGCTGGAAATAAATTTAGTACCTGGGTTCGGATGGACCTCGAGGCGATCTTCGGAATGTGGGCAGAAAGTTCCTGTCAGGAGCAGGGGTCAGATGCTTATTAGGACGGCCACATTCAAAGACGGACCTGCACATTGGGAGCGTCTGTCTGGGCACCGAGTACCTCAAATCCATCACTCTGTATGTTTTTTGTACGTCAAATTCTCAAGTGGAGTAAACTGGAGATAATTGCTTCCTATATCAACTTGTTTCAAGCATGAACGCTTGAGCGAGCATCGATCAAACGGCACAAAGCCCACCAAAGTCATCCTCCATCGTCCAAGTACCGGCGAGACCGGCGACCTCGACCTCCTCGACCGGAAGCTGCTCCTTGCCGAGGAAGAAGTCGTTTCTTCCTTCCCGGCGCGGCTTCCGGCTCATGAACCTCCTCGCCCAATCGTCGACGGCAGGCTCGCCCGTCTCGTCGCGCGCCTGCTTGAGGAATGACATGAGCTGGGTGCCGCCCGTGCCCGTCAGGTCCTTCTTCCCGTCGCCGCTCGTGTCGAGCGCAATGCCCTGAGGCCCGCGGGAGGGCTTGGCAGGCTGCTGCTGCCTGCGCGAGGCGGTCGCGAGGTTGACGCGCTGCCTCACGGCCTCGGGGCTGCGGCTGCGGCTCCTGGCGCGGACCTCCCGGCTGGGTGTCACGATGTAGCGCGTGACGATGGCGATGTGCTTGTCGCGCAGCGCGCTCAGCATCGAAAGGCACGCGTCGTATGCGATGCGCAGTCCCTTGTCCGATGACCCGCGCAACTCGACAAAGTCGCGGATATTGGCCACGGACGAGACGTCATTCAGGAAGCGCGCGTGAGGGCCAGGCATATACTTCCTCATTTCCATGAGGAAGTTGTGACGGGGCGCAGGGGCCCTGCCGCGGCTGGCGTCGGACTCGGAAGCAGACCCATCGCCAGATGGGGCTTTCTCGCCGGTCGGCCGGTGATCGATACCAAGCGCAATATCGAAGAACTGAATGATCGAGCTCTGGGCGTTGCTACCACCGCTGTACTGGCGGTACTCGCCGCGACCAGATTCATCGAGCTCGTAGAGGACGCCGTTGGGCAGACCAGCCTCGGCCATATTCTTGCTTCCTGCGAGGAACGGCCGGATGCGGTGATAGAAAATGGTGGGGTCACAACTCTCGTGGATGCGCTGCAGCAGGGTGCCGAGATCGTCCAGGCGCTCTGCGAATGCGCGCAAGCAACGGGCGACGGCAGCTGCATCGCCGTCGCGGGCAGCGGCCATGGCCGTCAACATGAGCGGGATAATGGGCGCGCCCCGGGCCTCGATAGCGACAGAGACCAGGTAAAACCAGGACTCATCGATGGCACCGGTAAAGGTTGTCAAGGTGGCGAGGTTCTCGAGCGAGTCAATGCCCTCGTCGACGAACAGCGGCTTGAAGTTCCAAAGGCACACCCCGGCATAGGTAGCAACGGGGAGGACCTCGAGCCTCTCCGACACGGTCAGGAGAGGCACGGCAATGGAGGGCGGGAGGCGGTCGCTGGGGCTGTCACCACCCCATATGTAACCGTGCGCCATGAAGACCAGCAGGCTGTAAGCCCTCCGCCATTCCGCATCGTGTTCCAGACCGACGGTGGAGAGCACAGGGAGGCGGTCGATGACGCCTCGGAGGCGCCTGCTGAGGATCAGGGCCTGCAGGTTCGCGACGATGGCCTCCCATTTGTTGTAGTACGGGTCCGGGAGCCTCGTCAAGGGAAGGGCTTCCGGCAGGAAGCCATGGCTAGGCGAGATTCCATAATCGGAGAGTACCGGGATGGGAGGAAACATGACTTTGTTGGACGGTTCTCTGTTTCAAGAGATCCTTGGGTGGCTGATAGAAATTTTCGTTGCTGGCACTGGCACTTGGCGTGGATGTACGAAGCCGCGTTGGTTGCTTGCCGTTGGTGAAAGGCTTGAGATGGGATGGTAGTCCTGACGCAAGGAGTATACAGAGTGTTTTCTGATATACTCCTCAGCCGTGCGAGATCACCGTTGTATCGTGTGCATGCGTGTCTGGCCTGGAGACTGACGATTGTGGTCAAAGTAAGGCTGAATTATGGCTGTTGAGGTAGGAGAAGGAGTAAATTGGACGAGGCAGGGGATGGCGTGGTTTATAAGGGAAGCGAAACAGACGGCCGGCGCCCGGCTTGACTAATCAAAACAGGCAAAAAGTGTTTACAAACCAGCGCAGCCCGTCCGTGAGTTTAGGGTGCGACAGCGCCCGGCTGACCCGCGTGGCCCTCAAGGGACTCAAGGGTCTAAGGGATCTAAGGCCTTGCTATGCTTTGCTGTGCCTGAATCGTGGCAAAAGTGAGAAGTGATGGCTCTTGTTTCAATAATAATTTTGCTGATGCGTGTCGCATGTGTGTGTGTGTGTGGTCGCCGTTAAGCCGACCCAATCCACCTGCATCAGACCAGATGCGAGTCCTCTTCAGTACACCATCACAAAAGTGAAATTCCGCAGGCGGGTATTTTTGGATGGCTGGCTTTGACAATGAGACGATTCCTGCATTTCCCTGCTCCGATAGCGCCCGGGTGGATGGGATGGGTCGATGGTGGACGAGCGGGTGGGAGGGAAAAAAACATGCACTTTCACATTGCAATTGTCGGCTCAGCCCTGTCACTGTCGGCATGTGGTCTAGTCAGTCATCTGTCAGTGCGGTCATCCATTTTTGTTTGACGTTGCTGCTCCGCAGTCTCGAGCCGCCATGCAAGTCCAGGCATCCCTCCGTGCTCGAGTCTGCAGGGCAATCGAGGCAGATCGAGACGAGGAGGCTGATGAATGCTTGCTTGCTATGACGTGGGTGATGGCTTCGAAGACGACAGCCATCGACCAGATGAAGGATGGCAAGGTTGAGGAGACACAAACTTGGGGTGTCCCTGAAACCGAGCCAACCCGGCCAGAACGGCCAGAACGGAGCCCCCGGTTTATCACAAGGCGCCGTTTGTCGGCGGCCGTCTGAACAGAGCGCACGTGCCACAGCATTGGCCCCCTTGGCAGTATTGTGCTGCTGTGGGACGGAATAATGTGGGTTAGGCCCAGGGTCAAGCTCCAAGCAGCTGTGCTGCCCGCCTGCCCAAAGCTGGATGGAGCCTCGACCACTGCCAAGGCTGGTGGAGTGTGAGGATGATGCACTCCCAAGGTACCAGGCCTCCAGGATGATACACCTCTGACTGCCACAACATCCTGCGATGAAGCTGTTTGGCGACAGCTGCTGACGATCCCGTACAGTCGACAATGGTTGTCCAGCGTCATGTCCTCAACTGGCTATACAGCGTCCTGACAAGTGTACGTTCCTGGCCCACCCGTCGCGATTCGTACCCAACCATCGTCTTCGTGATGTTGCTAACCCCTCTCCTCCACCGCCGCAGGAATACCACGATGTCAACCGCACTTACAACGACGTAGCCCAGGCCCTGTCCCAGTATCCCTCACTATCGCCTCGGACAGATGTGCACAGTATGGAACGCCCCCGATTGCTGCATCAGAACCTCATACTGACTTGGATGTCTCGCGACATCAGCATTCCCCAATGGCAGCTCTGCCCTCCTCCTCCATATCTCCGGTACAATACCAGTCAACTTTCGCGGCACCACATACCGTTTCCCCATATCGATATGGGTCCCTCACGCATACCCACGAGAGCCGCCTCTCGTATACGTTACCCCAACCGAGACCATGGTCGTGAGGCCAGGGCAGCACGTCGACCCTCAAGGACAAGTTTACCATCCGTATCTCGTTGGCTGGGCTGACTTCTGGGATGTACGTTCTATGGCATCAAAGAGGAGGCGCTCCCTTTGTTTGAACCCGACGTGGCTGACCAAAGCTGTACACAGAAATCCAACCTATTTGACTTCTTGGGCGTACTACGAGATGTCTTCGCAAAGGAACCTCCAGTTGTCGCAAGAGGCCAGGCGCAACAACGACCTCCCTCGGCCCAACCACAAGCCGCTCCCACCCCTCCACCCGTTCCTCCTCTGCCACAGGAGCTGTCTGCTCGACCACCGAGCTCCGTACAGTCGCCTCCCATAACGAACGGCGGCCCTCGACCACCACCGCCGCCCCCAAAACCCAACCAGCAGCCTTCGAGAGCAGAAGGCCCTCCTCTACCTCCTTTGCCGCCAGGTGTGGAGCGTCCTGGGAGTCGTTATGGCTCTCCCGCCTTGCAACAATCACCACAAACGCAGCCGCAGCAGAATAATCGCATGTCGAGATACGATAGTGCGCCTCCCCTTCCTCCTGTCCCTCAACAGCCACATCAGCAGGGACCACCTCAAGGCTTCTCTCACGCTACTCCTCCTCAACCTCCTTTCCAAGGACATCCGCTACAGGCTCAGTATCAAGCTGGCGCGCCCCCCATGCTGATGTCTCTCGCCGATCCGCGTCGAATGTCAAGCCTGCCTCCGCAAACCCAGCAACAATACGCTGGTCCTCCGCCATTACAGCAAACATGGCAACAAGGACCGGCACAGAATATACCTCCACCGCAACAGAAGCCCCCACCACCGCCTGATCTGATGGACGAGCCTCTGACCCTCAACATTCCGTCGCCGTCTTCTGTGCCAGCACCGCCAATACCCCCTAACCCCGAAAAGGACGCCCTCCTTCGCCAGCTTGGAGCGACTTTGTATCAGATGAGAGCCCGTACTCGCGAACAGAATGACTCCAGCATGCAAGGTCTTCAGGCACAGCGCACGGCCATGTTGAATGCCATGAGCACAATGCAATCAGAGGTCGGCGCTCTGACGCAGCTGTCTAACTTGTTGCAAAACAACACAAACATTTTGCGAGATACCATGCGTCGTGCGGATGAGACTATCGAGAACAGCAAGCGCCTTCCCGAGCCAGATATCGATCAGCTGCTTGTCGCACCAACAGTCGTCGGGAACCAACTATACGAACTGGTGGCTGAGGAGCGTGCGCTGGCTGATGCCATTTTCGTTCTTGGACGAGCTGTGGAGAGAGGACGGGTTGCGCCAGCTGTATTCGCCAAGACAACGAGGAGCTTGGCCAGAGAATGGTATCTCAAGAAGGCGCTTGTCAAAAAGATCGGCCACGGAATGGGACTTCACTCGGCTGTTTAGAGGGCAGCGGGTCGTGCCCCAGCCGAGCTCGATGGCGCTGCTGACGAAGCTGCGAAGGTTATGGAGGGACATTGGCTCAACGGGTCAGAAAGTGCGACTGAGCCACCCGTTGACCTTGACAGAGGCGGCGAGTTCCACAGGCGCCGTAAGATGGAGGAGCGTGGTACTTCAAACGAGGGTCTGCGCAAGGAACGGTTGAGAGCTGCATCATTGTCTGAGCGAGTTTCCCGCCATGTCGATAAGCATCGAACCAGGCTGCGTCTTTCAGGCAGCTTGGAGGAGCCGAGGGAAGTGCATGACTCTTAGAAGCGAGCAATCCAGTGCTTTTTGCCACAAACACCGTGACCTTTGGGCTGCCTCGTTACTTCCCCTCGTGACGGTGGTCGTGGACAACTCATATGCCTCCTGTCCATTATGACAAAGAAGTCTCTCAAAATCGTCCGTTTCTAGCAAGGTATTCCTGACGTTTCATAAGAGGATGTGTTAACAAAGAAATAACCCCGGAGGAGTCCAAAATCATGTTCTCCCTGCCTTTGGTTTAGTACTACACACGCTTGTCTTGATGCCAAATCATCACCGTTGACACCGTTGACACCATCATCAGCCTCATCGCCACTCTCGTCATCAGCATTGATAGACAGCATAAACATGACCAGGGTACGTTCAAACAAAGGCACCAAGAGGAAGAAACCCATTGAAGCCAAGATGAGTCGGCCACAAACGCGCAGCAGGGAAAACCTGCTGTCCCAGTCATTGTCGAGCTGAAAAAAGAGGATACATTTAATTCGGAGGTCTTCAATTCGATGTTCTCCGGACAAATATACGACGTCCTGGTCTCGGGCGAAGGAGCCCGTCCCGAGTTCCCACGCATTGAAAAGGAGGCTTTGGCCGACAGGTTGGCTGTCCCGGCAGCCAAGAAGGACCTGGCCACTTTCAGCCACCTGCTCCCGCGCCTCGCCGCTATCACCGCGAAGAAGCAGGGCAGGCGTAACGTCGAGAAGATCCGACTCGTCACCGACAAGCCCGCCGACTTGCCCTTGCTGGCGCAACCGGACTTCGGGTTCAAGCTCGTCGGCGCAAGGCACGGCGACTCGGACTGGATCCTGCCGGGCAAGCTGCTGCCGGACCACGACGAATTCCACTCGTCTAATTTCAAACCCGAACCCGAGTGGACAAACCTCTTCATACCGTTCGTGCCGGGCGCCATCGCCTGGGCCCTGCAGGAGCCGGCGGCGTGGGCGCTCGCCAGCAACATCCCGTGGGTCATCACCCATAGCAGCCGAGAGCTCGTCGTCCTGCGGTTCTACAGGATCAACCCCGAGGAGCGGGATCTCCCGGCATTGCACGAGGGCGAGGTGCCGGTCGGGGCTTCGTACTTCGCCGTGCCTGCCTTGCCGCCCGGGGCGGCCGCATCCACGGCGTGGGAGCACAGGGCCCTCTTCGCGCTGCCGTGGTACAGGAACGCGCCGCCGGTACACCGCAGGGCCCTGTCGTACCACCTCGGCCTCTGGGTGGCGCTCATGGCGCGCCTGTGACACCCCGGACGAGCCGGTCGGGACGGGACCCCCCGTGGAGCTGAACAGCTGGTACCTCCATTCTGACCCCCATGAGGGGAAAGTGCACGAGGCGCACTACTCCACCGCGTTCAAGAAGGCGTTGATCCATCTGGGGGAGGACAGGCGGCCGTACTCTGTCATCAACGCCCAGAGGAAGGCGTCGGAATCGCAGCACAACCGGGAGTGTGAGGCGGTGGCTGCGGTGATGAATTGGAGGCCGGACTCGCCGGTGGAGTCTGAGAGGGATGAGCAGGAGCGCCCGCGCAAGAAGATGAAGTGCAGGCTCATACGGGTGGGAGGGTGCGCGCAGATATTCCATAATGATGACGGACCCTGGGTAACGAGGTAAATGACCATCAGCTGTCTTCCCTGGCTCACGTTGATGATACCGCTGTAAATGTGTAAATACTAGAACAGATTTCCACAGGGTGTCTGGACCTTTTTGGACTGGTCGAGTGTTACTCAATGCGTCCATTCGGTGCTCCTAAGCCCACGGCCATAATTCCCTCGCAAATGCCACACTATCGTACTCCATTGTCTCCTTACTCTACTCACAAATCTACTATATTCGCGATCTCTGCTCGCGAACGTTGGAACATCGATATACCAGGTCGATATACCTAGGTATGTGGTTACACGAGGCTACCACAATGTCATTGACAGCAATGATTGGTTGGAGATGCTTTCAAGATGTCTCTCTCATATTCTTTTCCGCGGCATACCGTCCCTTTGCTGTAGCAGCATCGGAGTTGCGTATTCTTTTCAGCAACGTCAAAGGTATGCGTTATCGAGTGGACCGTACAGAGTTTTGCAGAGGTTTACTCAAGATGACTCACATTTGAGTTGTCGATGGCTCCCATTAACTTCTGAGAAGGGGATGTTTGGCCCTCGATTATGTTCTCAAACATTAAATGAGGGGCTATGCCGCTGCATCAGTGAGCATGACGTGCTGGTTCTGCGTTGGCCGGCAGTGGTACGGGTGCAGGACTTCATACAACATCTGACGCAGCTATGAGGCTGAAACTGCCGAGCAATCCTTGCACTATAACCGTTTGTGAAGTTAGGTGGAAAGCAGTCAGCATGCCCGTCGTCTTACATCGCTTCACTGCATATGTACTGCTCTTCGACGTCCGTTCGGCCATTCAGGTTACAGTTCCTGTCCCTGGTCCTGCTTTATGAGATGTGCCAAGTCTGTCACTTTGCTGACGTGAGCCCTCTGTTCCTCTCATCCTTTCTATGATGTTGTGAATATAATCCTACCCTAATCCAGTTTTGGTTTTCGTATCGACATTGTAAGTCCGTCATAAGCAACCATAGAGTCCACAGGGCTTCAAGCTTTGATTACGGCACTGTGGACAACAAGAGGTAAAAAAATGGTTCTCAATCTTTTCAAGCCCCCATCTTTTGGGAGAGCACACTCTATTAGGGGGTGCAACAGCTCAAGGAATTTGGAGCTGAAAGACCGATGTAAGCACAGTCTCCGTTTTGGGAATATATGGGATGATCTCGCTAGACATCGTTATTGATAGATCGTCATAAAGTATAACCTTGAAGTAAGAAGGCACAGTGTAGGCAGAAGCGTAGTGGGTAGAGACAATTGGGCGGATCATTACTGGATTGCCACAGTATCTCCGATTGCATTTGAGATCTTGCAGTCGTGCCTGCCGAAGCCAGTTTTCCCTCCTGCACGAACTCGATGTCATCATATTATAGACTGAGCTCGTGTATATGTGGGATACTAAGCTGAAGATAACACTGTTGCCTGCTACCACCCGTTGTCCACTCGCATTGGGGTGTCTTTAATTAGCATCCTCGGCTGCGACGCTACACATGTATAGAGTGTCGGGGCATCCCCTGCCCATGCCTCCCGCTACCACGGAGCGAACCAGATGACCGGATAACTTGGCACCCATGGCGCCGTGTGGGGCTATTTGTAGAGGCGCGGGTGTCCATTTCTTCAAATGACTTCCGCATCTCACTCGGTTGCTCCATACCGGTCCATTTGATGTGGCCTCCCGGCCTATTCAGACCGGCTCTTTCAGCACAGCCCCATCGATGAGGATGACGAACCATGGACGAGGCCCTTCACGACGTAGAGCGCGCGGCCGGCGTCGCACTGCACACAGTAATAGGCCTCAAAAGGCGGATATCGGGGCAGCTGAATGCCTCGGATCTTTATTTGATCCACGATGAGCTTATCGAGCTGACCAAGATGTTGGAAGATGTCAGCCATCTTCACACCAAGACGTTTTCCGGGACAGCCAAAGAGAATCTCGACATCCTCAGAGCTATATATCGGGACCTTCGGGTGATCCTAAAGACTTTTGAGGATGTGCGGGAGGTGTGCCCTGACATTGAAGACGGTAACTCAAACAACCCAAAATTATTTTCGAATTCAGAACTCATTGCCGAGAAACGGTCGAGGAGGCCCATCAAGGAGCGCATAATCATCATTTCTCGCCTCCTTAAAGAACGCCGTCTCTCATTACTGTCCAAGCTTGTCGTACTGAACACGTAAGTGACGCCCAGCATTGGCACAGTCGTCGTTCTATCGTTCAAAGAACTCTGACTGTCTTACTGCCAACAGTGTCAAGTTGATAGAAACATACTACGATGAGAACTCAGCCGGTCAAGATACCGAGAAGCGATACGACTCGCAGCATCGCCCTCTTTCTTCACCGTTGCTTGTCTCAGGACTGCCTGAAGACGATCAGATTATCCTGGACTGGCCAGAACAAAAGAGTATCCCGCAGAGTGTCGATAATGAAAAGTATCTGTCCTCCGAGATGTTTCCTGTGTTTAAACACATGCACCAGGATACACTACGAAATATCCCATCGAAAAGTGGCATCTCCCATGATGCTTTGCAGTCACCGCGATCTCCGAGTCTGCACCAGCTTGCGCTTTCCGATATGCGCTACGAGCGAACCAAGAAACAGGATTCCTACTTCCAACATCTGGATCAAGCTTTCTCGAAGATCACGCACAGCCCACCGACGAACGAGCGTGGGACCCGGCCGTTCTCGGTCCAAGGGCAGCCAAAATTCGGCGACTCAATGTGCAGTCCGCGATGCCGTTGTCGTTGCCATAATAATCGCAGTGTCGCTCACCTCAGCCTCTCTGCTTTCACAAACACCCTTGGGGCCTTTTCGTTCTCGTTCACAGGGCCTAATCCCGGCACCTCCGTTTGTACGGATTCATCATGTAAAGCGCGCCGCGCGAGGTGGCTCAGGATAACATATCTCTTTCCCTCCTGGTTGTTCCAGGCAGCGATAACAGCATCATTCTCGGACGGTATCGGACCCCCCGAGCTACTCATTAGGGTGTGCAGAGTCGTCTCTACCCGAGCTTTAGACGGATACTACAATATTTTTGGTTGTACGTGAAAACCCTGGCCGTTTGCAGTACTCTTTTCTCAGGGGACCCCCAACTTCTATCCGTGTTAGTCTTGAACACCCTATTGACAATGTGCAGATATCAGTAGGAGAGATGTCGACAGTATCAAGGCGGCCGTACAGCGAAAACACGTGTCTGTCACCGATGTCCTCGACACTGGCATGACTCCGATTGGGTTCGCTCTCCGCCACTTCAGTATTCCCATGGTCCGGTTCCTGCTTCAAGAAGGCGCGGACCTTTTTCAAGAGGGACCGTCTGGAGTGGCTCCACCAGGTTTTATGATGGCCCTCGAGAAGATCTACACGGACCCAGACATGCCGACATCTGATCGCACCCTCCTGGAGGAGCTTCTACCTTTGGACACAATCATCGAGATGGCTGGGCTCTCACCCCTGCACAAGGTGGTTCTAGGTATCCGATGTCTAGATCTGGGCGAGCTCCTGCGACTGGAAGTCTGCCCCGTGGACAAGCTGGATTACTCCGGCCGGACAGCCCTCCATTGGGCAGCAGCGAAAGGCGACGCAACAGCCGTCTCCGAGCTCTTAGACGCAGGCGCCCAACTAGAGTGCAAGACCCGCCTGCGGTCGGAGAGCCCGCTCATGATCGCGTGTCGCACCGGCGCAAACTCGGAAGCCGTCAGGGTGCTCCTGGCCGCCGGGGCGGACGTCAACACCAACGACTCGTACGGGCAGACGCCGCTGTGCCTCACCGCAGGAGCGCCCGGGGGCCACAACCGCGTCGAGATCGCTGCTGCCCTGTTGGATGCGGGGGCCAACGTCAACGGGGAGCAGGGGTATGCGCGGGCGACGGCGTTGGATTTCGCTTGTGTCGGCAGTCACTATGAGATGGTCAAGTTCTTGATCGACGCCGGTGCGGATGTTGGCCACCATGACCGCGACGGGTCTACGCCGCTCAGTAAGTGACACTCCGCCCTCTGACCTTTCAGACCGCTGTAAACTTCAAATGTGCCAAGATATATCTTTGATGTCTGGCGCTCAGTTGCTATTAATACAGCTCTCATTCTTCTTTTCCTTCAATGCCATATGGGTGCTAACTTATAGCTTTCCAGTGAACGCAGTTATTTACCACGCATGTAAGATAGTACAAGTTTTCTTACAACGTGGGGTTGATATCCGTATCAGAGACAACGATGGTAAGAACGTGCTGCATTGTGTGGCCGAGGTATCCAATGAAGATATGATGAGGACCTTTGCCACAACTGGCCCTTGGTGTGTGGTAGACCCGGAGCAGCGGGACAACAACGGTCGAACGCCCCTAGACACATTTGATGCAAGGACAATTAGTGCACCACCCGGGCTGAGAGAAAAGTTCGTGGAGCTTTTGCAGATATTTGCCGAAAGATACAGACACAGTCTCAGTGTTGAGGATGACGACGCTGATGAGGAGCAGTTTTTTGATGCCTCAGACAAGTGGGATGATGCAAATAAGTCAGATCGTATTGTGTAGACATGAGAACAAATGAATGAGAAAATAAAACTCAAAAACCTGCAGTCAAGGTCTTCATTCTTTCTGCAAATTACTCAAAACGGTGTTCCCTGCCAAGGAGCGTCAATTGTTCACGCATATTCATTGCCCAAGCAGCTGTCATCAACACTCAACTCTAGCGAATGGAAGTGAAGGTGCCATTTGAAGAGGGGCAAACAAGGAAAAGGACTGAATGGAACAACTGATCAGACGTGTTCGCTGATGAGATCAACCTGTTTTGTTTCATCATCGCGAACGGCCCTTTTGGGACAAGGAGCAAACGACCTGCCACTACTTTCCGTTCAAGTTTGGCACCTGCGTGATATTATTTCAAAAGCTTTTCAAGCCGAATATTCCACAGATTCGGCAACAGGCTACTTCCAAGACAAACACTGAGTCACAACGCTGTGGAGATCTTTCACATCTAGTCACCTTTCAGTTCTCATCTGAAGAGGGCCCGTATGTGACACACTGCCGCTGTACTCACACTTCGGAAGCTTATCCAAGACTGGTAGCATACAATACTCAACCCATCTTCCATCCACACCTTCTCTACGTGGCAACATAGAACTTGCAACACATCCTCCATCTTCGCACTCTCTGATTTCGATCCAGTTGCAGCATCGGACCAAGAATCGCCCACCATGAAGCTTCTCACTTCTATTCTCGGCCTCTTTGCCGTCCTTTTCGGCCTGCTGGCTAGCATGGCAGTCGCTGCTCCGTTTTCGACCGTCACCACCTGCACGACCACCACCATCACCCCGGAGCCCTCTGCGAGTCTCACGACTACGACCACGCTGCCACCCTCTACGAGCGTCACTTTCACCACCACTACAATCACCATGCCGTCGTCTACTGCTACGTCTTACACGACCGTAACGGCCCCCGTTCCCACCAGCACCACAGTGCCAGAGTATGGACAGTGCGGTGGTCTGGGTTATGCGGGACCGACCACTTGCGAGAGCCCGTTCGTGTGTGTCTGCACGAGCGCATGGTGGTGTCAGTGTCAGCCTACAACTGTCAAGGAGTTCGAGCTGGAGGACCACATCCCTAGCACTGGCCTTCAGGATGAGGCTTCCCAGGTGTTCCACCCCAACTTCTTCACTTCGACGTACTGGCCCACGGGTTTGCCAGTGACCATGGCATCGGCATCCGAAGCTCCTCAGGCCAGCTAGTCCGATCGAGATTCAACGACCCCGTGTAAGCCACTTCATCGCTAACTCTGTGGATCCTGGCACTAACAACGTCACCTTGCAAGGTTACGAGTACCCATGCCCATAGGCCACCTGACCCTGCTATCGACGAAGTCCGGTCTCGATGGAAGGGACAAGGGCTTGAGTACTAGGGTTCATGGATTCGAATATACACTGGTGGCACAGGGTTCTTTTCTGGTTGGCGAAACGGACGTCGAGATGATCAATAAACAGTCACAGCGAGGCACGAAGATCGCCTTCAAGTTCCCTAGGCATGAGCGACAAGAATCCAAACACTAATATGCCTTGACAAATTTGAGGTGGCTGAATCATTCTGTTTAACGTTCGTCAATTCTTCACACCTGAGTGTCATCCAGCTCGACTCTTTCGGATCACGCATCCAAAACGATCTCATTGCTGAGGGTCACTCGTATGCTTCAGTTGTATCCATATGATTGCGAGCATGCCCAAACTCACATGTCATGATTGCGTGCCACGGTTCAGAAAAGTATGCAGACATTCAACCAGCTCCTGCAGGGACAAGCTGACATATATAATCGCATTATGCTAGAAGTCGCCCTTGCTAGATGACAACCACTGAGTCTTGTCGGTGACGTACTCACTGAAAATGAGGCAACCATGGTTATCAGAATGGGATAAGGAACGCCTGTGAGTGATCCGAGAAGGTGTGCCACACTTTGGACCTCAGTCAGGTGTAGTGGGCACGGTGACGAGTCCGTCACAGCAGCTCGACACTCACATCCATCCTCATTTAGGAGTATAAATTGTGGACATTTCTTGCACTAGATCTATTCCCTTTCCCAAATTCTGCAGGCCAACCAAAATCTAGAACCGAACCCGCCAATCACCAGCAAGCATCCACACATGCTGCCCCCAAAATCAACTCAAGTACTGACATACTCAAGTACGGACTCTCTCCTCGACAGCGCAGCATGAATCTCACAGATATCTTAACGTTCACATCAATTTTAAGCCTCACTATGGCTTTCCGTGCCTCCTTGTTCGGCATCCCTACCTACCATCCAAGACTCACAAAAGATGACCCGCCGCCTTGCGACATATCACAGCCTGTGCTTCTGAACATCACGGAGGAGAACAGCCCGCCCACAAGCCCATGAAGCTGAGATCATATCGGACAGCGCTGTTCTCTCTAACAAAGTCCAACACATGGGTGACGAGAATGGGAATTTCGCCATACCCTGCTCCCCAGCCCCAGACCCTTTCGTGTTAACCTCGTACGGTAGATGTTCGCTCTCGTTCCAGTGCGCAACGAAAAACAACAATGGGGATAGTACAACGTGAGTGCTCAAAATTGTGGTGCGCAGGGGGTTGTGTACTTGGATGCCCAAGCAATAGAACGGATCAGCTGATGGCGCTTTATCATAGAATATGGGGCTTCCTTGTCCAGCTCACCATCACCGCCGCCACTGAAGAATTAGAGGACCATAACTCCAATAAGACTCTTACGGGAGCATGGGTCCACATGAACTGCCAACATCACGATGTGCATACGATTATGGGCTTCAACGGCAGTGATTCGGGCTGAAGATGGACCATGTTGGCAGCTGGGCAGCCCTGGAAATGAGATATCTCGAGTCTGTCAAGGAAGGTGCAGCAATTCTGTGGGCTGGTGAAAATAAATGACGTGGGCAGCTGGTCCATTTTTATCCATGCATGCAGGCAAGGATGAGCAAATTCCAAGAAACATGCCAGTCTACCACTGGTTTGACTTTCGTTGGTTTTATACTATACTATGTTCTCACAAGAGTGCTAGAAAGGATAAAAGTGACTTTGGCAGTGAATGTGGGGATGGGTTTACTGTACGTAGCGTACATGTTTAAAAAGGGTGCCCTGGGGCCCCTTTTGCACTCAGGCTTACCTTCCGGCGGCTCCGGTCTCGCCTGGATTATCACTAACCACGACCTGAACTCCATGCAGAATGATATCAAAAAAGATGCAGACCAACAAAGAACAGAAGAAACGCTCTGGCCGAAAACAACTGTCCAAGCCAGCGCAGAAACCATTGCCCAGGCTAGCAACGAGATTGCCAGATACGAAGTTTGCCTGACCAAGACCAAAGACTATCACACCTACTCCAAGAAGCTTGCCAGTGCAAAACTTGACGAGGTCGAGCTTGCGGAGAGAAAGATGGTAGCAGCTGAGAAGTGGGCTGAAAAACCTGAGAAGAAGAAGGTTTCTTTCTCCAACATCTTCAGTTTCCGCACGTAGATGACCCACGTAGCTTCGTCCCATACGTCGGTCAGTCCTTATTTACACACCCAATCGACCTCTGCACAATTGATAGCTACAATCGACGCTCTGAGCAACAACATTCGAGAAGATCCCGGCTCCATTGATGATAGAGGTACCAAAAAGATGTAGCAGGGCCAACCATCGCCAACCTCGCAGCTGCAGCGCCCGAAAAGTCCTGACGATGGCACGCCAACAATACCCACAAACAGCAATAGCTTTGTCAGTGCACAAAAGCGTGATAGATGCCATCCGTTCACAAGGAACACAACGGGGGTTCTTTATGACAAGCGGGACATCTTCACTGATCCAAGATCGAAGATCACTACAAACAACAAGTTGGAGGACAGAAAACGAAGCAACAAGAAAGGAAAAAGGACTTCACCATCTTGTCTTCAATCATGACGACTGTGACAGTGAATGGGTGGTACATAAGTATTATCCAAGGGAAGGTCGTCCTACTGGAGGGCAGTTACCTCAGAAGAGACTGTCTTCTTGGAGATTATCTGGTTGAAAGTAAATGCTTATCTGACAGGAAGCTAATGTGGTCAGCCAGCACCACATTCAAAAAAAACCACGAAGGAGACTGCATCGTGCGTGGCGGTGTCAAGGCGATGGTAATGCTGGCTTGGGTGCCTGGCAACGTCGGGTGCGCCCAAACGCCATCATGTGTCAACATGGTTGTCGAGAACGCAACATGCTGACTATCACCGACACTGAAAGGTTAGACAATGGTTTTTGGGCCATTTGAAAACCTTTCCCGTTACAGTGCGGGCCAAAGTTATGAAGTGGTTCACCGAGTTCCCTCAAGTCAGAGGTTTGGGGGACAATGTTAACGATTCTCAAGCACAATACGAAGCTCCATGCCACTCTGCCGCCACTGCGATATGACAAGTTGAAATAAGCTATTTCTGCAGCAGCTATATCAATTAGCCATGACCATTCCATTATCGCCGAGATTGTTTTTCCCATTCTACTCCAAATTCCTTGATATTGTGCTCCGTCAGGCGCTGCATTCTCTTTGTCCACAATCATGGAGCACTCATGGGTACTCCTTATTTTCTCGCCGGCTTCGATTATAAGCCACGAGGCACGGCATCTGTTAGCTTCCCAGCCTCTGCTCCAACTGATGGTTAAGGAAATCTTCAACTTCACTCCTTCCGAGCGAAATTTGGAAATCTGAGATTTTCCTGACCTCAGAGTCCTCAACATCGACTTCACAAAGCTCAGCGCAACCCAGACCAGATACTTCAGGACTGCCTGGGGTTGAGATACACATACTCGCACACCCTGCGCCTGCTTTCTTTTCTTCGACCAACCGAAAAAACATATACGAGAACCGGACAGCTTCAGTCGGGACAGCGCCGACCCAATTCGCACCGGAATCTTCCTGAGACCGCCTTCTGCGGTGCGTCGGAGATATCTTGATTCGCATACAGTTTCCTAGACTTTGTCAGACTGGGAACTTTCTTCCGAGCGTGAATATTGGACCAAAGCTTTACCCAACGCAAGTTGACCTTCCTCCGGAGGATACGAACTCGGGGCCACGCATAGCGAATGCTGTTACTGATGATTGGGCAGAGTGGCACATTTCTCTCTTACATCGCCACGACTCCAACATGGCTACGATGACAGCCATGCCGGCTGAGCCTGGCCTGAACTACACGGCCATGGGCATGGATGACCCCCTGAACCAGAATATCACCTTTACGACGCCAGACGGCACCCTGATGGTGATATCACTCACAGCCATCGACGCCAACCACGCATACGTCGTCGGCAGAACAATTGGGTACTCTGTGGAGTTTGGCGCCAGTCTCATGATGCTGGGCGTGCTCCTCGCCATGACTCCCCGAAGCAAGTTCTGGCGGTTGGCCTCGTACATCAACATAGCCGCCCTGTGCAACAACATGGTGCGGACGATCCTCCTCGCCATCTTCTTCGAGTCGTCCTGGGTGCGCTTCTACGTCCTGTACACCGGCGACTTCAGCCACGTGTCAGAGGTCGACTTCCGGAACAGCCTCTGCTCCACCGTGTTCAGCATCCCGCAGAACTTCCTGATGATGGCGGCGCTCATGCTCCAGGCGTGGGCGATGGTCAAGCTCTGGCCGAGCCTCTACAAGTGGGGGATCCTCGCCTTCTCGGGCGTCCTGTCGCTCGCGGAGGTGGCGTTCATGCTCGTCGCCCAGACGGACCAGATCCGCTCCTTGTACCCGGACTACAACACGTACGACTTCCTGCACCGGCGCCTGTGGCTGCGGTACGTCTGGCTCGCCCTCGAGCTCGCGTCCGTCTGCTGGTTCTGCTTCATGTTCATCCTGCGGCTTGTGACGCACATGTGGCAGAACCGCAGCTTCCTGCCGAGCACGAAAGGCGTTGCGGCGATGGACGTGCTGGTCATGACCAACGGCGTGCTGATGCTAGTACCAGGTAGGCCTAACAATCCCATCTCACTAAACGTGACGAGGCCTGGCTAACATAGAGTTGCAACAGTTCTGTTTGTCGCCTTACAGATCTCGGAAAAGATCAACTTCGAGACCGGCTCGTTGGTGTACACGTCCATCATCATCGTCCTCCCGCTCGGCACGCTCGTAGCCCAGCGCGTCGCGGACCCCGGCGCTTTCAACAGCGAGGTCAGCCGCGCGAGCGGCAACGGCAACGCCCCTGGCCGGTACGATGCCTCTTCCTCGGGCAATAAGCCCCTTCTCCCTGCCTGGAGTCAATGCGATAACACCGCCACTGTCTACTCAGGCCATAGGGGTAGCAAGACCGGCCAGGGGAAGACGGGCGTCGTTTCTAAGATCTCCAGTGGCCCCTACGCCAAACGCGGCTCTGATGCGATGGGCCCGGTCGACATGGAGCTGGCAAAGATCGACGGTGACCTTGAGAGTGGAAGGGTGAGGGTGAATCGGGATTTTCAACAGTCGGAAGAGGTGCTCTAGGAGATCAAACCCGAGATGACTGAAGAAATTTCCCTGAAATGGTGAGGCGGGCACAAGAGATATGTGGTGTGTGCTCAATGAATTTCTGAAGGCTGAGCTAGTGGGTTAGAAAGCTCGGAAATATCAATCCTTTTCGTACAGGAGACACTATCAAGCATAATGATTCATTCAGGGCCACAATTCATGCGTTCTACATGGAATACTTTCCCCAGCTGCCATCATCGTTGTACCTCGTTTTGATGCCAATCATCTTACATTCGGCTGCAGCAGACTCGTTGTTAAATGAGAATGTAGGAGCAATGGCAACACGGCCGTGCCACGAGCACCGTGGCAGATTATGATCAGGTATGGGTCTTTGAGGGAGCTCGGCAACCTTCCTGCTATTCTGTCCTAGTTTTCTGTAGAGAAAATGCAATCAAGGTGTGCAAACGCACTGAGGGTGTAGCAATTCGGAGCTGCAAGGCGATGGGTAACCACACCAGGTAGCTGGTACACTGTCCCCCGGGCCACCATGGGCGCCATTCCGTAGACACGCCCACCTTGAATATACAAAAGCTTCTACAGAACTGAATGGGGAGGATGTTCCATAGAAGGATATCCTAGAGGAGGCTATCCCAGAGGAGGTTATCCTAGAGGAGGTCAGGAGGCTGTCTCATGCGAGGTTGTCTCACAGGAGGCTGTCGTCTAGGTAGGTACCCACAACACTGACACCATTGGTGTGTTTGCCAGCAGAAGATACCTACAGAGGGATAGGCACGGAGAAGTTATGCCCGAATAACAAGTCAGTCCCCTCATCGAGACCTGGGCATGGCACACCATTGAGCCTTCCCGCCTGAACTGGGGTCAACTGCCCTCAGAAGTCCAACTCGTTCCTGCCGCTCAAATTGCCATGGCATGCCTTACTTCGTCCTGCATGCTTTTACCTCGTCTCTATGGGGAGCAACACACCCTCTCCAACAGTATCCCGTGTCTTCATCTCATCCTTGTTGGCCCTTCACCTGCAGCTTGAAGCAACAACATCAACATCATTGCAGCACTGCTAGAAACACCCTCATATCATACATCCCGTCCAAGCCTTCCATTTCCTCGAGGCTGATCCCATGGCGTTCGACGACCTCATCGTGAAGGCTACTGAAACATTCTTTTACTGGTTCGCCATTGCATTTGTCTGCGGACTTTGGCTGGCTCTTCTCGCTTTCATCATCTTCTGTGTCTATGGGTGTCTGGAGCACTGTCTATCGAACTGTTGGAAGAAGCTGCAGCGTCGAAGTCAAGAGGGCCAGGGCAATGAACTCAACACTCTACCCACCTCCAGTCGGGGAACCTCACGGGCATGCCCTCCCTCCAACGCCGCCAACGAAAGCAGCTCCACACTTGTGCCGTCTGAGCAGTGACGGCCCTGTTACTCAGTTCAATCCCGGCCGGGCCCAGCATGCACTCGATGGTCCTGCACCAAACTCGAGACCCCCATTTGGCGATGCGACCGGTGACTCAAAAAACAACAGAGCTGCAGAAGAGAGCACATGGGATTCTGGTTCAGCCACTCAAGATTGGGCTTCGTCGGTAGCCAACAATAGCCTTGACCAACCCGTCGAAATGAGCCGGTCTGAACAATCTGGAAACAACAGTCATTCACGAGGTAACCACCCCTTCCTTATATCCAGTCTCTCCTTGTCCTGCTAACATCTTGTCCTCCAATCCCAGCATTCTATCCCACCCGCGTTGAATCCACCATCTGCGATACCTCGAGCCCTGGCTATTCCGTCTCGCACATCCCGAAGTCCAAAACGTGGAGCATCATTTCCACCGTCCAGAGAGTCCCGACAGATAACAACGGCTTCCCCACCGAGTCTCGTCCTGCGAGGGTCTCCTCTGTTGTCCAATCGACCCCATTTTCGGTTCCACCCGGATCGCCAACAGCTACCACTGGTCGTACATCTGTAACTAGGCTGCGAAAGTCCTTCGACCTGGGGATTCATCAGAATGACGGAATCCACGAATCCAGCTTGGAACAAGCATCCGGCAACACCCGGGCCAGTCCAGTGGGGAAGTCGGCGCCACTCCTTCCCGTTGACGAGCACCCAGCCGAAGATTTCCTGCCACGAAGATGTCTGGCGCCCAATGCAGTGGGGAGCCCAGCACGGGATGGAGTTGCCGAGCTTAGTAGGTACGACGGTCGTATCCCAACGCTACTGCCGCACCACCTCGATGGGACTCCAAATCCGCCAACGCCTCCAGACGATCCTGTGGGGCCAAAGCCACAGCGGAAAGGCAAGGTTTCGGAGCTGAAGAAGGCTTTCGAACGGGGACTCTCAGGCTTCGTGCGAAAACGACAGACCACAGAATCCAGAGAGGAAGGTGCAAACCGAGAGGCAATTGCCAAACATCCACGGCGCACAAGGCATTCGGTGACGGCCGTACCGGCAGATACCAGCTCTCCCGAGGACAGCCTCTCAAAGGGGTCACTGTTTTGCTCGCCGCTGCCTAAGACGTTTCGTCGTGAACCCACTGGTCCTTCCTCCCCTCTGAAGGACAAGATCAGCATTTTTGAAGGCTTGGTAAAACCTAGCTCATCCTCGCCGCTTACTACAAACTACCACCAAGGCAACAAGAACCCAGCTTCATTCCTCACAGGGAACAAGATCTTGGAGGGCGAACATGATGAACTGACGTCCCGCCTGCCGAAAAAGTTCCCGGGCGGTCCGGCCGCGGCCGAAGGATCCCCGAAGCAGCTGCGAACAGGGCGAAGGGAAGCTGGGGATGGTAGCAAGCAGGGCGTTGGCGAAGCTGACCCACCGAGCTTCCTCAGGAGGCTTTCATCGACGTTCAAGAATAAGCACAAGTCCTCACGGAGTTCAAGAGCGGATTGCGGGGCCCAGGAGGAGACAACTCAACATCCTTCCCGAGTATCACAATCAACTTTCACAAGTCAAAAATACTCTCAGAGCGAGAAAAGACGAATGTCGGCAGCCGACTCGCTTCGGAAGCGTCTAGAGTCTGAGCTCAGGCCTAGCGCATCCGCGAACGGCTCCCGAGAAATTCAGGCCGACGAACTACTTGGCGGTAAACAACGGCACGATTCGTTGACGGGTTCATCAGGTCATCGGAATGCTGAAAACCCATCAATCGAAGGTACTCGGCGCAAGACAACACTTTGGGACATTGAAAACCCTTTTGATGTACCGAAGGCCAGAGATCGGAGCAAACCAGAAGCGACTGGCGGCAGACCAAAGACGAGTGGTGAGAGATTTTCTGGGCACACAGAGGGCAGCGACTTCTCCATAGTTGCTCTAGCACGCATTCCGTCTAGTCAAGACGTTCCGCGCCAGAAATCATCAGCTTCTCGGTACCTTGAGCTAACTGAAATGCCTGAGCCACACAGAACGCAGAGCAGCAAACAGACAAACAGTACGTCGGGACAAACGCAGGGTGGCAGTGACCACAGTGGTAGTAGCAATTTCGTGGTTATGGCGAACGCAGATTGTGAGCTGACGCATCCGAGACCATCGAGGTCTAGCGACAAGAATATGATCAAAGTTCTTTGCAAGTGCGGTCGTGAGACGGGCGAGGAACAGGATGGCCACGGTCGGGATAGTTCTCATAGTGTCAGTGAGGGGAGCTCTGCGAGCTTTCATACTGCTCCTATAAGTACCTTGACTTTTTGAAGTATAAGAATGGCGTCAGGTTTGATTAGACGGGTGTTTCTGATTGAGAAGGTTGGGATCGTGGTGGTTACGGACTGGCTACGAGGGCTTCCGGATTGGAGCTGTCTTCGCACAGGCGGGAAAAGGTGTTCGGGTTTCGGATTCATTGGCCAAGGTTGTCGCTTATGCTTTTCTTTGGGTATATTTATTAGACGGTGGGGTAGTTTTTGGTCTCCGGGTTTTGTTTTGGGCTTGGGTCTTCGTGAGAATGCTGTCCATATTAGGCATAGAGTAATCGCCTACGAAATAACAAATCGTCACCCTTTTGTCAGAACATCTAGGCTTCAGGCTTCAGTGGCTTACAATGACCGGCAGACGTTCACTAACGGAGATTCGCTTGGAATTGATATAACTGTACGGCCTGGAATGTGCCCTTTCCTGGAACTTGACATGAAGAGGTTCTTTCAGAAGTATTGGGTGCCATCGGTCAGAGAGCCATTACTTTGCTTGCACTCATGACAAGGTGGGTGATCTCGGACCATTTGCGCTGGAAGACCACATGTGTATTCAGAGTAGCGAGTTTGCTGGTCTGCGTCTAATCTTCCTTGTTTGTCGACTGGGGAGGGATTCAGTGTCCTCATTCCTTTAAACCCCCTCCCCGAAACATCCAATAAAAAATAATTAAAAAAGCCTCCTCCTACCACACAGAGGATATCTTTTACTGCTGAAGCTCTCCTGCAGGACTGAAGTTGCTTGTGATCTTCTGCAGTTGCGCTGTGGAGTCCCCATCCTGTAGTCCTATGCCTGGTGCCGACCTGCTGCTGTTGAGCGCCACGATCCAAGTCGTCTGCAGAGACTGGCACTCCGTCGAGGCACGCACTGACAGAATGCTCGTGTTCTTGTAGATTCCAAAGGGTCTCAGCCCGTCGGTTGCCCGCTTGATGACGTCGGCGATGTCGCCGTAGTCCAGCCTAACACACAAAGGTGTTGTCAGTTATCGCATGTTCACCACTTCGCTGCCTGGAGGCAAATTCTGCCCAAGCATAGCGTTTTTTTTTCAGAGACTCACGTCACTTCATTTCGAGAGTCGTTTCCGAAACAATCGAGCCAGAGCGAGCAGTTGCCTTGGGAGCCCAACAGGTTGAAGCCCCGGGTTGCGCGCCTGCTGGGGGGTGGGGGGTTCCCGCACGACTGGGTGATGTTGCCCTTCTCGTCGGTGATGTTCTTGAACGCCTCGGAGAGCGTTTGGCAGTCGGACAAGAGGTCATTTATGTCGGTCTGGTTACCGTGCTCATATACGACGTCTGTTGACGCAGTGCAGAGGTGGTCGTCATCGCGCCTGGCGACCGGGGCGAGGGACACCCGGCTATTGGGGCTCAGGGAGCGGGCCACGGCGGAGAACAGGGAGACGGGGGAGGCCAGGGTCAAGCCCAGGAGGAATTGGAAGGTGAAGGCCAATAATGTGAGGAGATTGGTGATATTCATTTTGTCTGACGAGGAGGAACTTGCAAGTTCGGCTGCTTGGTTGATTCTGACGGTAGAGTACGTTGGCGATTGCGTGCTTGGTGGTTGATGAATGTGCTGTACTCAAGCTGGTTGACTCTGAATTTATGGACGCAAGTCCAGAATCGACGGATTGGCAGAGGCGCAGGCAATTTATACCCTTGAGTGAGGGTGTATGTGAGTCCCGAGCTTCTGTGACGGACCGCTGGTCGGCTCAGGTCGGTTCCAGTCACTCGGGCATGTAAACCACCCCGTTTGAACATATTTTCGTCCCATCCATCAGTTTTATTGTACCTTAATTAAGCTCAGGGCGACTGACTATGCCGTCAGGCCAGACTGGCTAAAGCAGGCCCTGCTGGCCAGTGTGGCCCTGTTGGTCTACTTCACATGCGTCATCCTGGGGAAAATGCCGCATTGCCTCAAAGATCGTACAACTAACTAGTCATCATTTTCTATAGCGTCTTTGGGGCGGCACGTAGGAGCGTACAGAATCTATCGTCTTTCATCAACCTGCTGCAGTTAGGAGAGAAATAGTTGGTATCGACCTAATGCAAGCTGCCCATAGCAGCCAGGGCTTTTGCTCAACCACCGGGCATCGGTTTCATGGTGTTGAGAGACCAACACAATCCAGTCACATTCTTCGTCAGACGTGACAGTCCACCTCCAGTTTGAGGAGTACTCTCCACAGGCAAGCCAGATAGAGAACCAGTGTCTGGGCTTATGGTTATAATTGGTAGCCTTCAACGTACTTCCAAATCAAAGAGCCACGTACATGCCGGAAATGAACTACAACTATGAACGCCATCATGCCTCGGTCGCACTGCTGGGCCGCATAACTGACCCTTCTTTGTGGTCTAGCGACGACGGTTGGTGAAATCACTGGCAATTTTCGGCATGGAAGAATCAACATTTAATAATTACAGCACAGTACGCCCGACAACGGCTTTACATATGTATCCACCCCGCGATATACTGCTAGCCATGTTTTCATTGACAATTCTGTCACTCTTTCTGTGAGAAAGAAAAAAGAGAAGAGAAGAAACAAAGTAACAAGGTCCCCAATGTACTCAGGTTGAGCTTCATCGTTGTCACTTCTTAGTCCGATCCAATGGAGGGCCGTGGATAATAGAATTCATCTGTAGACGACTCTCTCCAGTCGACCGGGTCAATCTCGAAATCACCGTCCCTGGGCGCGAAGAATCGCTCAACCGACACGCAAGTCGAGATATGAGGTAGTCTTCCCAAAAGATCCTTCAAATACGCCTTTATTTCGGGCAGCCGCTTGATTTCACGAGCTCCATCAAAGTTAGTAAAGTCAAGAAGCAAACCGGGCCGCAATTCGATGGGAAATTCAGCCAAGACTCCCTTGTGGAGGTCGTAAAAGTCTTCGTCATATCTTGTCAGCTCCCAGGTTTGACCGTCCTCCAACAACGCCTGAATAATGAACCAGCCGTCACGCTGAGTGCTGGAGCCCTGAGAGATTACGCGTGCAGAAAGAGCAGTATGAAGAGGTGTGCCAGCGTCAGGCATGATTTTCTCAGCTCGCATGCTGTCTGAATCTGTATTGTCCTCGGAGTCGAGCTTTGTGTCGATGATGTCCTCGACGTATGCAAGATCTTGAAACGACAGTTTTTCCCGGGGTACTCTGATCTTAATACCCCCTAACTTGAGCAAAAGAATCTTGTCTTCCATGCCAAGAAACTGGGCTTGAACATTGCACGATCCGGAACGGTTTGTCCATATTCGCAATTTCGAAGGATCAGGTTCTATACCCGGGTCAGCCGGTTAGCTCTCCCTAGATCAATCCAGCTAGCAGTACGCACTGAGGTCTCTCAAGGGCATTGAGGGCATTGAGGTAGTCCCGATGATACTGACCCCCTCGGCTGGGATCAGACCCTCCTTCCCGGTCCTTATCACACGTACCTGCCATAATTTCTCGTCGAACATGTTGTCTAAGATGATAACCTCGTCCCCTTTGGCAAATGATAAGCCGGTGCTGTCATTGGATCGACGCGAATCGAAAAGAACTATTCCTTTCTTGTATTCGACGGTATCGTCTTGGTCGAGGGTTTCTTGAATTACAAGACCCTCGATATATAGAGGCAGCGCTTCCAAGGATATTTGCTGCAAATGCCTTGCGAGATGTCGGCGGAACTCCCTAAGATTCATTGCTTCCTCTAATGGTGGCACCCATTCGGAACACAGCGGGCACGCGGAGGCAGCAAACTTACTAGTAGTCATTGGAGCCTCGCATGCGTCTAGAATCAGAACCATCTGATTCTCGGTAACGATGTCTTCGTGCTGTTCCGTGAAGTGAGTTGCGATTTGTACCCTGCGTAAGAATGCCGGTCTTGGGCTGTCACAGAGTATGCATTCCCACCGCCGACGGTGATTATCCAGCTCGTGCTGAAACCAATCATTCCTCGTCGAGAATGGAGTGACACTGCAGTTCTCGAAAGTGCAGATGTATGGTTGCAGATCGGAGAAGATGTGCTTCCTGAGGGTGGTCGTGGTGAGTTGCCCACTTTCTTTTGACCAGTATTTCGGAGTGACTTACTTCCACGTGAGACGATCCGTGAACAATTGAATTGTGCGGCAGTACGGGCACTCTATCAACTCGTTATAGCCCAGCTGGACACCATCAAGGGTCATATCTGGCAGCTCAGGTACACGGCGGCCCATCTGACCACTGTCATCAAAGTCACTAACAAAAGAGGTTGCGGTGGTAATGACGGACTTCTGGTCCAGCTGAATATCTCGGGGCTCGGATGGACCTCCATCGCCCTCTTCAAAAGTTGTGGCTACAGTGGTGGCAGCTTCCAAGGCCGCATTATCGTTGGCAGACGAACGTCCTGTCGCTTCGATTTGATGCCCAAATGCCCTCGGTGTTGTTGTCGGTACGTAAAAAATTGGCGACGTTGGTCATTAGCTCTTCCCAGTCTGTCGGCGAGCCAGGGTATTTGTTTCGCCTTAGGAAATTTGTCCAGAACGGTTACAACATCGCGGTGGTTGTTGGTCGAAGGTGAAAACGAGCTGAGCTGACCAAACTTTCCTTTGGGCCTGAGGCGTCGAATGAAGATTGATAGTCCAAAGAGATGGTCGACTTCTGCAGGTCTTCATGTTCAAATGGAGTTCATCGAGCTCATCCAATACTGATTCATTGGTTTCTTGATTGACTTCTTCAAGTTCTCCTTCTGCCTGCCTCCGATTTGGCTGCTCTCCGGCAAGAATATGAGATACTGTATGGGAGGCCTTTGATAAATATTTGGACCGCATGGGAGAAATGATGGAGATGCCTACGTACTTCTGGTCTGCACATCCGACAATCTTTTCAATCCGGAAACAACACTGCCTCTCATTAATTTTGCATCTTTCAGTCGAAAGTCGAGCGACTTCAGTGAATGTGGAGGCTGCAACGCTCCTAAGTTTGCGGCCCAGACATTGAACCTCCCGCGGGCGTCGTCGATCGCATCAAGCTCACGGTCATGGCTGCTCATAGCGCACAGCAGGAAGCCCGAGGTACAGTCACTTGCAAGAGACGAAATTGTCGTAGTATCCAGTCTAGCTTCAAGTTTCGCGCGGTCCATTCTTGAGATATCAGGTTCTTGTTGTTCCAAGGACTGTAAAAGCCTTCAAGAGGGGGGATACACGGGTATGTTATTAACTTTAAACACTGACAAAAAGGTGCATTCAGCTACAGGCTAGCCGCAGGTGAACAGTTTGAATGAGTGGCACTCGGTGAACGGCGGCACGGGGTTTGCAGAAGGTACGAGGAGGGGAAATTGCACATCACCTGGTCTTGCGCCAATTGATTGAAGCCTTTTAAAATGCTGGTTGTTCCACTGCATGGCGTGCAGAGCCCAAAACTGATGCTTACATACGTTCCGGAAGCAATGTGCATCCAATCAGGGGCATTACTCCGCTGATTCTTGTCTCATGCATGCCTGGGTGTCGCCGGCTGAATCGAGCTGTTGCCCCCGCGCGGAGCCGCAAGTCTTGAACTCAGAAACACTCTATGAGTTGAATGCGTTTCCATCCTCGTGTGCTTGTCAGCACCATCGACCTTTTTAAGTTGTTATGTCAGGGATTGAGATCGCAGGCCTCGTCTTGGGGGCATATCCCGTCCTTCTGAGCACAGCCAAAGACCTAACGTCCCCGGCCCAGATTCCGGCCCCCCCCTGATCCCGGCCGCCCCACACCCGCGTACACGCATGAATGCGTCTGGCCACCCCTTATATATTCCCCTTAATATCTTTATAAGGGAATTTCCTTTAATTACTAAACTTCTTTTAAATATTAATTAATTTATTATAAAGCAATATATTAAAGATAATATACTTAATGCCCTTATTATAATTAAGGATAAGATATTAACTTAATAAGCTTTTAAGATATAATATATTCTTTATAATATATTATTTAATTGCCTTAATAATATTTAAAGTTATTATATTATTATAAATCTTTAAAGACTTTTTTTTAATTATTAAAAGGCTAAATTAGCTTTATTTATAATTAATTAAAGTAATTTAGGATTAATATTAATATAATATAAAATAAGGGCTTTAAAAATTTAATTAGCTTACTTAAATAAAGATTATGCTTTTTTTAAAAGAAATTAGGTAAAAGCCTTTTTTTTTATTATTTTATTTTTTAAAGCTAAAAGAGTTAATATATAAAGGCTATTTATCTTTAATTAATTATTAAAAAGAATATTAAATTTTAATCTAACTTTTTTTAACTGCTTATTATTAAGTTTATTTAATTAGCTTCTTATTAAAATATTAATAAAGGGGGGTTAATAAAGGGTTGCTTAAAAAATACCCTTACTTTTAATTATTTAAATAATAGCCTTTTTTTATAAAAACACTTTAATTTATAAGCTTAAACTTTATTTATAAAGTATATATTTACCTTAAGTAAATTATTTAATTCCTTTATTATTTTTAAGGGATTAAGTATATAATAATAATAATTTCTTATTACCTTTAAGGATTATAATAGTTAGTAATTTATAATAATAAAGAAAGGGTGAATAAAGGAAAGAATTATTATTAAATAGCTTAAAAAGGTATTTATTTCTTAAATTACCCCCTTAAACCCTTTTAAGTAATAATTATTAATTATAAATAAGCATTACATATATATAATTATTAACTTTATATAAAAGTATTTTTTATATTAAATATATATAATCTTTTTATTTATATATACTTTTTATATGCTGCAGCCCCTTAATGTATTAATATTTTCTTTATTAAAAATAGCATTTCAAAACTATTTATACTTAATAAAGCAGTATAACTCCTTATTAATAATAGGAATAAAAGGAAGCTAAAAAAGGAAAAAGGTAAGTATTTTTAAAAATTCTTAAAAATAAAAAAGCTTAATTAAAGCATTAAATATATAAGAAAAGAAAAGAGTTAATTTTTTAAAAGAATATTTAAAATAAAAAAAAAAGCTAGCTTTTATAGCTAGCTGGAATTTAATATAATATTATTCCTTATATATTTCTTTACCCTTATTAATATACCCCTTTTAAAGCACTTTATAATAAATAATATAAAGATTATTAAAATAAAACCTTATTACCTTTAATTAAATCTTTAAATCTTAAAATCTACTTTATTATAATTTTAATTATTATTATTACTTTTAATTCCTTGCTTATTTATCTTATTATAGTTTTTATTTCTTTATAAAAGCTTTAAATACTTTTATAATGTTGATGGGGGTAGGGAAATATGTGTGAAATGGTATTGCGCTAAATTCCAGCTGGCTATAAAAAGCTAGCTTTTATGCTTATTTTAAATATTTTTTTAAGAAATTAACTCTTTTCTTTTTTTATATATTTAGTACTTTAATTAAGCTTTTTTTATTTTTAAGAATTTTTAAAATACTTGCTTTTTTTCTTTTTTAGATTTTTTTTAATTTTATTTTCTTTCTTTATTATATTAAAGCTTTTCCCTAAGTTATTCTTAAAAAAGTTTCATAAAACCTATTCCTTATTTATTTAAATAGCTTGTTTTTATTAATAATTTAATTTAAGTATAATCTTAATTTTATATATTTTTAATTAATAATAAAAAGAATTAAAAGTTATTATAAGTTAATTATTTATTAATTTTATTTCTTTTTTTATTTTTTATATTAAATATTATTAAATTATTTATATTTTAATTTAAAGCTTTAATTAAAGCTTACATTTATTTTTATTTTATTATAAAGAAAAGTTAAGTATAATTAAATTTATAATAATATTATAAATATTTTAAAATTATTTTTTAATTTTAAAATACTTTTTATACTTTTAATATTTAAATAAAATATTACCTTAATTTTATATTTATATATTATTAAGCTTTAAATTTATTTTAAATTTTTTATTAAAAATTATACTTAAATATAATAATATAATAAACTTAAAATTAAAATAATAAATTTAAACTTTATAAATATTACTTAATATTAATTAAAAATGCTTTAAATTTTTAATTAATATTATTATTATTATTATAATCTTAAATTTAAAATAAAAAAAATTATAATATAAAATTAAAATATTTATTTTATTTATTTATAAGTTTAATAAATAATATTATATTATATATTTTATATTAATTAAATTATATAAAAAGTTTAAACTTAAAATATTTATTTAAGTTTTAATTAAATTTAAGTTTAAATTATTAAAAATTTAATATAATATTAATAAATAAAGTATTAAATATAAATTTAAAAATCTTTTTTTATTATAATTTTATAATATTTATTTTTTAATAAAGTATTTTTTATTAAATTTATTTTATTTATTATATTTATTAATATCTTTAGTTTTTAAGTTTTAATTTAAATATTTTATAATAATATTAAAAATATATTTTTTAAAAATAATTATTTTAATTAAAAATATTATTATTTTTAAATTTCTTTATTTTATTATTATTTTAATAAAATTTATTATAATATATATATTATACTTTTTAATTTAAAGCTTTTTTAAATTTATTTTTATTTTAAAAATATTTTTAAATTTTAAAAATTATTTATTTTTTTTATTTAAAATTAAAAAAGAAATTTTAAAAAACTTATTTAAAAAAACTTAATTTTATTTATTATTAATTAAACTTTATAATTTATTATTAATAATAAATTAAAAATTTAAATTAATATTTTAAAGATTTTAATTCTTATTAATATAATAATTTTATTATAAATAACTTTATTTATAATTTATAATTTAAATATTTTAAAGTTTAATAAAATTAATATTA